GCGCACACACGACCCAATCACTAAAACGGTATAAAATAGCAATTATTGGACACGTTTAGTGGCCATAACGATCGTTTCAAAATTTTGTTGTCATTGTAATTTGTCTCCGTCTCCATTTTTAAAAAATCGCTTTTCTCTTCGAATACTGGACCAATTGCTTTGATATTTTCAGTGGTTAAAGATAAAATTTTTCTCCAGAAGGCCACTGCGTGTCCATATATTTGAGCATAGCTCTCTTGTTTCAACAATTTGACCTGATGAGAAAAAACGAACCTCCAGATGTATGTGCACCAAGATGTAGTACAACCATAACATAGTGTGTGTACCAGGTTAGGGTTCAGGTTGTACGCCCTATTGTTGCACATACTTCAGGAGCGCTGAAAAAACTAGGATGATTTTCGTACTCAGCACTCCTAAATTATCCCAAATCAGCCTAGAAAACTTGGACACCAAAAAATGTTGTATTGGCCAGTGTTATCAATCATTCAAAACGTATAGGAGAGATTTTTGAAATGAAATTCAGGGTAGGTCTTATTTTTGGGGTAACACGGTAGTGTGCAGCAGCGCCCTCTTTGGCATCCACTGAACTAAACAATTACTTTCTGCGCTTTAGCGCCTCCATTTGCGCTGTGACTAAAATCTAGCTAACGTTAGGGGCTTAGTTAGATTTTTCGACGAAAGTTACAGTAGAATGTACGGCGATATTGGTACCGGTAGCGCTACAGTACAGGGTAATAGGCGTTCTGAGCGATAGATTTCGTGTTTAAATCGTTACATGAACAGGATACAGACAAAAGAATCCATACTTTGACCGTGGATATGTTTTTAACCATTCTTAGAATTTTGTCTCAATGGTTTGTTTTGGGTTTGATTTTTTCATTGAAGATTTTGCAGTCAATTTAGTACAGTACCGGTACCGTAGTTTAAAAAGATTTGATTTTTATATGCTGTAAATTCTGTAATGCCAATTTCTGAATGTGACAGTCCCGAGTTGCATTGAATTTCATTATAATTTATCAAGTCTGCAAGTGGTATTATCTCAAGAATCTTCAAATTTAGACTATCGCAGAAGATGTGGGCTGAATCTCCAAAACCGATTTCTGGATTTAGCTTGGGTTGTACGAAAATGTAGCCATTTTAGTCACTACCAAAAAAATTAGGCCGCTAACTGAGGTTCCTAGTTTTAACTACTGAACTATTTAAAAACAGTAAAATCACATTTGCTAGGGTCATTCTTACTTGTTTTGAAGGTTATTATGACTTATTTTACTATCAAGTCAGCAAGTTCATATTCTACATCTCAAATATGGAAATGGCTTCATAATATTAAACCATGTTACCGACTTTTCTCTCCTTACAGCCTTCGGAAAAATATGAATATCCTATCCTTTTATGCCAGTCTGGATTTCATGGCCTTTTTGAACGAGAAATCGGGCGTGCAATCAGAAATTCCCGCTTGCAAATAGGTACAGTACGGCACACTGTATAGATCGGGTGACATTGTCTCGTTTCAGAGAAACCTATTTTACTGATGATCAGAAACCCCTCTTTTGGGGGTCGTCTGGACATTGATGTCCCTCAATATCGGTAATAATACAGTATAATGAAGTTGCGCAAAATACTACAAAAAAATCGCGATATAATAACGTCATCATTGAATTCCTCGTGAAAAAATAATCCAATTCACCGAAGGAAAAAATTTTTTACCGTGGCATGCGAGAGTTCTTAGAAAAAACGGCAAGTTTGGTCACGTGACAGCCGCGATTAATTCAGATTATTATTGAGAAAAGCATGGCGTGAAGCATCTGGTGTGGTGCCAGACGCCCTTCGTTTGTAGGACAAATGGAGTGTTTGTTTGATTGAGCCGAATGGAGGGAAATTCTTGGAATTTGGATAGTGTGCCGTACTAAAATAAGGATTCCTGGCGTGCAAAACAACTGCGCCTGCGCCCCGCGTGCAACTGACTTTGACATTAGATACCTCTCAATACATCCGCAGAAAATTACCGGTATCGGAAAAAAAAATACGTTGAATCAGAGCAAAAATGCACGTTTGACCTTTGACCCCAAACATTATTTCTACAGTTTGTCGCTAATTTTGAGAGTGTTTGTGCGACTTTGGATACCGGTACTGTTCAGTGCATCCACGTAAAATTATTGGATAAACAATATGTCAAATTAGAGCAAAATGGACGTTTGACTTTTGACCCCAAAGATTATTTTTTATACTTCGTCACTAATTTTTAGAGTGTTTGTGCGACTTCAGATACCGGTACTGTTCAGTACATTCGTGTAAAATTATTGTATGAAAAATACGCTGAATCAGAGCCGAACCTGACAAGCGTTGGTGCGGAGGCAATCTTTTCGTCCATAACTATTCTCACAGGATTCCTATCGTTCAACACGGTATGGTCTTTATTTCTTCGCATTTTCCGATCAGACCATATCTTGCAAGCTAGTATTAGTCGACAATCGATTTATAATATTTTGGCATCTTTATATCGCTGATTTTAAAACAATTTAAACCGATTTACATTGGTGAGCAATTGCAAATTTTCAGCGTGCAAAATTGAATTCGCTCGCATGCATTTTTGCGGAGCTCTAGCGCCCTCGGGCGTGCACCTGTCATGGAATCCAGTCTGGCTTTTATGTGTGTGTGCTTTTTATTATAATACCCTAATTACAATTATTAAAATCTGAAAAATTTGTTGTAACAATGTAATTATAGTATTTTTATGACTCTCTCAACATGTCGTGGTGATATCCAGTTTAGATTGAGGTTAAAATTTCAAATTAAAAACAATTTCAGTAAAGGATTCAAATATAAAATTCTGTCAACAAATTGTAACAATTTTTCTGATTCTCTGAATCGTAGGGTCTAGTATAGTTATGCACCACAAATACTTCTATTGGGTCTAACATAACGAATTTTGCATATGTTATTTGTAACCCCCACCTTGCTATGCTCTCTAAAAATTACATCACTACGATGTCACAATCACCTCAAAAAACTTGCCGAAATATAGCTACGATCAACCGAAATGGCATCTTCGGCGCCAATAAATAACAAATTTACTAACGCCAGTTACCTCTCTCATATTCGGATTATTGCGACGAGAAAACGAGAGAAATAGCTTGCTCGATTTTGGGTGGTGATCTGCACGTTTTGATTGACTATCCATGTCTTCTGGAGTGCCTTATTACAGTATTACACTGATGTAACATCGCAGTGACATAGTCAGGTGGGGGTTAGGATGGACATATGCAAAAATTGTTGAGTCAGGCCAACTAGAAGTGCATGTGGTACTAAACTATACCAGACCCGAATATTATACCATTAAATTGCCACACCTAATTATATAAGGAATCAAATTGAGCGGACATTTAGTAAAACAAATACAGAGGCCCAGAGTTGAATGAGGGTTCTTCGGGTTGAAAAGAGCTTCAACTGCATTAATTAATTCTAAGAGGTTTAATTTGAATAAATTACTATAGTGTGAGAGTGACAGTGATCATTCATTCATTTTACTACTCTTTATTAGAATGTTTGAAATATTGTTTTTTTATGCAGTAATATTATTGTAAATTGGTTGAGGTAGGAACTAAAGAAAAATCATGTTTATGTCTTGTTTATTTTTTGTTAATATGATTATGAGATAGATATCAAAGCTGAAGTTAATGTGTGTTTTCATAACTGGAGAAGGCCTCTTGCAATACTTCATTTGCATATTTCAAAAGTTTTCATTGTCACTGTATTGATTTGTGAATGGCAAGCTGGTGTACCAACAAGACATAAATATATAAATGAGTAATGTATGGCTACAGCCCAAAGTGTAGTAATGGTTAAATTTTTGTTTTCGTAGTATAGTAGTAGAATCTCAATTCTTTTTTTCTCATAAAATTTTGCAATAAAATATTTGTTTCGAATTATGTTCGTCCCTGATTCCGTTTATTATATTGTCTTTTTATTGCCAAAATACCCTACCTGTAATTTCTAAATACGGAATAAAGTGTTTAAATGTTAGACCAGGGATGGGCTAGTAAAGTAAAAGTAGAAAACAATAAGCCTTGTGCCAAAACTAGATTTAATCAAAATCTTAACAAATTCATTGGGCTAATTGGAAGGAAGAATTTACATATTTATTTAGGAGTCCAGCAATCCTCTCGCACATGATCATCCCCGCATTTTCAGCTAGAACATCAAAATTTGGTTTCAGTTTGGTTGTGGTGCTGCCAGACGGGCCAGATTGAATTACACAACAGGCCAGATTTGGCCCGTGGGCCATGTCAGTGTTAGACTGAATTTTGTTGGCATTGCCGATTACACATGTATTGTTCAAATCCCATGCCCACCACCTCACCCAGGTTGTAATAAATTGGGGGGACAACGCCGAGCAAAATGATTCCTGTTCTTCAAAAATATCAGTTTCTTGCATATCGTCAGATATTAGTTGCAGCTTGTACAGAGCCTTGATCGGAGCGAAAGGCCATAAGTAAGCGCCTTATAAAAGATTTCGTAATAATCTGTTGCTAAGCTATAAAAACCCATTACGACTTTAGTTTCCATGGATATAAATTATAAATTTCTGTTGAAAATAACGAATAGTCAGCTACAATAAATATTGTAATTCCCATGTGTTATTCGCACCTGAATATGATGTGCAAAACGAGCCACCTAGCTCTCGTGTCTCTGCCTGATATATCAGCGGCAAATGGATGTTTCCCCGAGCAACAATTTTCTTGTTTATTTCGGTAACCATGGCCAATCAGCAATAATTCAAAAATGACAACTTGCGGCTCAGACACTTCTTTCCCTCAGACAGACATTTAAGCATGGGTATCAATATCAACATTACCTGCTTTTGAATGTTGTTTGTAATTGCCCACCCTTGCCAAAGATGAACAAAATATCTCACAATTTGGTATTGTAAGATGCTCAGTTGCTCACAATTGCATGCTTTTTCATGATGACTCAAGAATTCATAATTTGTTATATTGTATTTCTTGCAGCTAGGATTTAATTAATAGTTCCACGTATGTAGCTTTTTAAACAATATTCGCATTCATGGAGAAACGGCGTGAAAGGATGGAGGTAACGCTGTGTGGCGGGAAGCCGTGGGGATTTTCTATAAAAGGTGGAACGGAAAGTAATAAATCTATCATTGTGTCAAAGGTTAGTATGATTTTGTTTATTATACTCCTATTTATTTTTAATTATTGAACACCTATGGATCTATGAAAATTTATTTGAATACTTTACTGTGGTAAATGAATTCCATTTTATGTCTGTTCCATGATTTTGGATACCGGTAAGTTATTGGAAGTGGTCAAATATTACCATTCTGTTTACTGATGTTTCTCAAACTTTTATCATCACGACCCACTAGGCATGTTCAAATTTCCTTCGCAAGCCTTCAGAACTAAAATAATGATAAAGGTGAATTTTATAGTACAGAGAATAGAAAGAAGAATTAATAAAATTAGCAATACCGTTAATGAGACCGATTTGCTTTCATATTCTCGCACAAAAGATCATTTCTTTGCTCCATTTCGGTTATGGTGGGTTTCAGTACTGGTTCCAAATCTTTCAAATTTGATCGATATTTTATTTTAGCATAAGTCTGTGTCGAAAAAAACTTTACTGCGACCCCCATTGAGCCCTTTTACGACCCACTGCGGGGTCAGGTCCTCCGATTTGAAGGGCTCTGCTTATAGTACCTCAATACGAGTCTCTTAATGTTTCACCGTTGTATAGGACTGCATGCTATAGAAACCTTCCTTATGTTTTGAGCTATGTGGAAAAATTTTAGCAATCCTATGGTAATATTTTGCATGCATTGAATGCAATGGAGAGTAGGATAGTAGGATTTTGAAAAGTACTACATTGTTTATATAAAAATTGTAATTAGAATTGGTTGAAATATGAAATAGAGATGTTTTGTTTAGTTAGTTCAGGGTGGTCCAAACCCAGGCCCGCCGCTCCATTATCTGTGGCCCGTGTTGCAATTGTGGAAGGGTGAACAAAAAATCGCATTTAGAGGTGTTTCGTCATAAAAATAACTAGAAAAACATATTGCTACATCACTAATGTCACTGAATTGATTGATGTTATGGCAAGCTGAGGCAACCATCGAAGTTGAATAATGTGTTTGGCTAGTCTGAATTGTTAACTTTTTGGTAGGGAATATATGCTGACAAAATAGGGTTCATAGAAAACTAAAAATCGAATGAGGAATCTATTAGCCTAGGTTGGCTAATGGCTATGCTTGATAACGAAATATTAATGTTATGACCAAAAAATATAATTCCTGCCGGGTGGATTTTTGCATGTCAGAAAATTTAGTAATTGCCGTCCTGTATCTCAAATTTGGTAATGTTTTATAATCAATCAATTTGCAGTTATTTGAAATTTATTTTGTAATCATGAGTTTGAAAAGAAAGCTGACCAATTCAAACAGATTTTTGATTGGACATGGGAGGGAAAACACCATAATGCTTGCTTAATATGTCCGCAAGTTGTATCAGTGACAATCTAAAACAGCATTTTCTCCTTATGACACTTTCGTTATGAAGAGTTTGTAATCTTAACTAAAGTGACAGAATGTAGATATAGTAAGATTTTTGCAGGTTTAGCATGTTTTAGCTCAGATAAATGACAAATAATGGGTAATGTGTTTGGACAATAAAAGTGTTGTTTTGTATTGCACTGTTTTTCTTGGCAATATTGTGGCCCACGAGGCCTACAACCTTGGACCACCCTGAGTTAGATGTTGCAAGCAAGAAACTTTAAAAAGTAGACTTATAGAAATTTTAGTTAAATTAGAATTTCTGTTATTTTTGAAATTTCTGCCATTTTTGCTGTGGGCATATTTAAAATGGAAATAATTTGAGAAGCTTGGAAAAATTCTATAATACTTATTTATATATGGAACAAACATTCTGTCTATGAAGATATTATAGCTGTATCTAGCATGGGTGAAAGCAGCCTATATTATTCCATCCGCATGTACAAAAATATAATTTCAACATGTATTTTGAATAGTAAATCATACCTGTGGAGATATTCAATCAAGCTTAACTTTACAATATTTTCTTTTCCATTATTATTTGTTCTGCTGGACACTAGTCAACATGGCCATTGATCAGTGATTATGTTAAAATAATCAGACAATCAAAACAGCTTTTGTTCAAACCCAACCTTTTTCACCTACATTGTTACGGATGATTGAACATATCTATTTGTGAGTTTGAAGTGATCGAATGGTATTTCTGGTATGCTTTCATTATAACACTACGCAATACTACATTAGTTCTCCATGAATTCTAATTCTGCCAAGGGCAATATTTTAGATCAGTGTTATTTTTGGAAATTTTCTCTTGATAAAAACATTTTGTGTCAATCGACGTTGATATATAAAGTTTAATAATACATATTTTTTCTAATTTGATTCATAAAATTAGAGTAACACACACCCTGAAGTTTATGAAGTTCATATACATGTTAATAATATTGTGAAATTTTTTTTTTCTGTTCAAATCAACCATATAGTCCTCAAAAAGGCTATATATATCAATTATCAGTAGACGTTTCCATTTTTCACATTTATGATCGTAATCTTTATTTGTGATAATTCATTAGGTGTTATAAATAACACTCATAATTTTACTTTACATATTTCTTCGATCAATATTTTTTTAATTTTTTTGTAAATAATTTCCAGATTTGCTGACAAATTTAACTAATTATAAATCAATCCATTTTACCCTTAATAAACATTGTGAATAACTTTAAGTGTAGGCTATTAAATGAAATATTACAATATATTAAGTATAATATCTATGCAATGGCTTAGCTCTATAATCATTGCCTCGAGCCGTCTTGTTACTCAATTATTGAGAGTTTTTTCTTATCGCGGTTTCTAGACATTTCCCGTGAATTTATTAGAATATTTAAAATATGTTGTCTGTACACCACAAAGGAATAGGCTATATAATTTTTCTGTAAAATATGAAATCACATATTATTTATTTTGTCATAGACATAAAAATGGTCGACTAGCTTAATTTTTTTTTTCCTATTCTGTATGAAGTATTGGCCTATTATCATATAACAGAATGTGTAGTCTATGAAATCGGTCAGAATTGCCCACCTCTGTGATCTCTCATTTTGGTGATACATCTATCAGTTTTCACTCCTTAATTTGGATGAATGAGAAAAATTGACCCTACCAGATAATTCCATATCTACTACATTTCCTGATGCATGATCCATCATTCTCATATGCTTGGCCGAGTGTATTTTTACTGTCAATTTTACAATTCCTCTGTTTTTGTTATTAATATGATAAATGAGTTCTTTCTGGATCACTATTCGTAACTGAATATTCAGTAATAATTATGGGCCATACTTGAATTACCTATATCTTTGTTCTCTTTGGATCAGTATGTGAGCTATTTGTTACTGAATAAATTATCCATCATTCTCATATGCTTGGCCGATTGTATTTCAGTTTTATGTTTCCCCTACTTTTATGTTATTAATATGAAAAAAGATTTCTTTTTGAATCAGTATGTGAGCTATGTGTAACTGAATGTTCAATAATAATGATGGGCCATACTTGAATTACCTATATAAAAATTCTTTTCCTTTTTTTAATAATAAAAACTACTTATATTTTTTTGTTACTACTTATGCTTTTCTCCTATTTCCAGTAAAGGTGTTTTATAGTATTTTCTCATTGTAACTTTAGCCTACATTCATTCGTTTTGTGCCAGTATAAAGGTATTGGAATTTGTATCTAGAGTTTTTCTTTAAATTTTTTTTGGTTCTTTCCCATTGCAACAAAGAAAAATTTTGCAGAAGTGTGAATTTCTAAGTAGGTCGTGTGAATTAAATCTGTTTGCTAACCAATATGTACTTAATTTAGTTTGTACAATTGTACTTGATTGAGAGTTCCATGTATAAATGATCAGTTGAACTGACAAAAGTAGTAATTTCGCTTATATAACCGAGTACCACCTAATCTTAGATAGAGTTGTTGAATTTTTTTTCAAAAATAAACTATTTATAAATAGTAAATGTACTGATTATTTTGGAATTGCTTGTTTTTTACTGTTCTCTTTTTATTGCTTTTCATTATTAAAATCATATGAATACCTATTAAACTCATTAGATATTTCATACCATATAGGCTGCCAAAAAGCCATGATTGCCTCTCAACAACAATATGCTCTTCATTATACACCTCCTTTTTGATTTTTTAAATTTATATCAAAATTTATATATTTTTTGAAAAAAAGATAATAATTCAAATTTGCCAAGCTTGGGATTGATCAAATATTTTAAATCAATTAATTAGTGTTTTTTATTGAAGATTTTAATGATTCTATTTTAATCTTGGCTAGTGTCACAAATAGCTTGCTGTTGATAAGTACATTACTGTCTACAGGGATGATCAAAACGGATCAAATATTCAAACTTTATTATATTGTTACAATTAGAGATTTTAAGCTGCCAGACAAGCAGATCAAAGCGTATGATATCTCAACTGATAACAAACAACACAGAGAAAACAATGCCATTTTATATTCATGTCATTTTGAATGTGATTAACATGAACATAGTAGTGATTTATGTAATTTTCCTCATGAACTTGCCCCAATTTAGAATGTATTCGATATTCAATATTCCCAAATATTTTTTCATGTATTTAGAATTGTGAAATATTCAGTTTCGGCCATCCCTGACTGCCTACAAACCTAATAATAAATACTTATCCCAATCCACTATTAGAAAAGGTTTTGGAATTCTTCGTAGATCACCAATAACAATTATCCAAGTGACGTAAAGTCCCAAAACCAAGCATTGCGTAAATGTGTACAATGTGGTGGATAATTATCTGGAGTGGTTGTTCTATTGTATTGAAGTGGCCCCTTTTTGGATTTCGTTTGAGAGCACCAATCAATTTTCTTGGTATTTGGCATTCTAATTCAATATAGCAACCAGACAATGACGCTGAATTCCTTTCTTGGTACTTCCGTAGTATGTATATCAGGTTAGGGTTAGGCCATAATTTTATTCTGATTTTCCTCATTTTAGTTCTATTATGAGTTCGGGGAATGTCTGTGTTAGCCAAGTGAGTATACCCCCTTCCCATAGGTTTTGGATCCCTTTACACAACATGATGTAAAATAGGTGAACAAAATTAGTTACTTCCATTGTGGTACACACACTTCTGGAGCGCCCCTTGCTTTCATATTACCAAACCTATCCTTGGTAATTTTTATCTATGTCTGTTTAGAGCCTTTTCAAGTATTCATTCCAATTCAATACAAATGATTTTATTTGACTGGTTATGACCAAGTTTAATTACTCTTTTACAGTTGGAGAATCGTGGCAAGGGTGAAGCGAGTGGACTCCGAGTTGGTGATATAATTATTTCTGTTAATCATGTTGTACTTGGAGGCATTCGCAGAGAAGCTGTTGAACTTATAAGAAGGGCTGGGGATCGTTTGATGCTTGAAGTAGAACGGTTAGTATGATAAGATTTGTTTCTTCATAATATTTTGTTGTTCAGTAAATTGTTGAAGTTGTAAATGTTGTAAAATTGTTGGCCATTGATAGATTGCAATTTTTGAATTTGAAATTTTAAAATACGCAGATCTTGTACGCAAACTTGTTCACATCAATTTTTGTACTACCAGTAATTATATTTTTAGTTTGTGACTTCACTTTAAGTTGATATTTATTTTTGTACCATTCAATAAACAGTAGCTATAAAAAAGGCGGTGATGTCATCGCATTCCTACAAATCAGATTGACTGCTTTCTCTTATATTAACAATCATTTACACAGGTGTTGCGCTGTGCTTATTGCCAATCAAGTATGGGCATATGATAAAACATGCATGAATTTCTTGAGTATCAATTGATCATACACGAACAGGCCATTTTTCTAATCTGACCATATAAGTTGTTAAATATGTTTGACATATCATTGAGCACACTGTAAACTTTGATGTATGTTTGGCAATTCGTATACCGATTTTGTTTGACTATCTCGGTTAATAAATTGCCGATTGTCATACGTCATCGTATTTATCATAAAACTATATTACGCGGCTTCATCAATTTATATTCTGATGCCACACAGGTGATTGTACCATTCGTTTTTATTACCTCTTTCAAACAGTTCCGCACATTTAGCAAACATAGTCGAATAGATAGCAACCAGAAACTAAAGAGGAGTTAGAATCGATTTTGTTTATTATCACAAGAAAGTCTAACGCTGAAATAGGGCAGGTTTGGATAGTTTGTAAATGTTGATAGGTTTGGTGACTGAAATATAGTTTTAAAATGGATGCTGGGATTTTGTGTGATTGGCGGAGAAAATCATTTGCGAGGTTTGAAATATATTTTTTATTTGGTAGTTTTTTTAAATAATTTTCCATCGCTCGTTATTTTGAATTCATTTTTTTAATATTTATACTATATCTGGTACTCGGGTAGTATATGTACCAAGTTAGGGTTAGGCTATAATTTTATATTACAAGTTCAGGGACTGTCTGTGTTAGCCAAATGAATATATCACCCGCCCATAGGTTTCAGTCCCATTACACAACTTGATATAAAGTAAGCGAACAAAATTAGTTGCCTCCATATTGGTATACATACTTCTGGTGAGCCCTATATCAAACCAAACAACTTGGTTTTAATGATTTTAATCATTTTATCGAAGTTTCTATTATGAACTATCAAAACATCTTCTATAATATACTTTTTCTTCTAGAACATTGGTTTCTAATCTTTTAAGGCCACAGGCCACAGCCCACAAACCATTTTTTGATGATATGCTTTAATAATGAAGTTTTTGACCCTTTCGATAAAAAACAATTAATATTGGACCTCATTACAAAGCTCTTTGAAACGCTCTCTACCTTCTGTTGTTTATATATAAAATAATCCAGTGTTACACTGTGGCGAATGGTCACAGACTCAATTTGACCCTTGGGGTTTGGGGGTCGAAACCCCCGCTTTTGGAATGTGTAAAAACGACGACTAATAGACGCGACTTGCCATGCGCCGAATAAGCGCATAAAACTTTATGGCTCCGGATGCCGTCAAGTAGAAGCGATGTGATTGTGACTGAATAAGGCGATTTATGGACCTTTCCCCGACCTTTGACCCCTGTAAATTTCTTCCTATACTTTGCCATCGCAAAATTTTCGGTGCTCATTTATTAAAGAGTGGTTTTGCGAGTTGGCGCCTGTAAAATGGGGTAACATCCATTCAGTCCGCAATTTCCATTTGATGCCCTTATTCCTGGCGAATCCTGACATATTCAGTTTCGATTTCTAGAAACATTCAGTATCATACATAGCAATTTTTAGAACATCAGTTCTCTTAGAAACTCGCGTTTTGCAGCTTCCGGCCAGACCACCTGTTGCTGTCAAACTTGGCAATTACAAATTTCGGCGCTCCGAAAGTATTCGAACCAAGATGACGCACAACCTGAACCCTAACCTGACACACATACTATTTTCAGGTTGTGCGAAATTTCATACACACCTAAATTTCAGAATCCCCCCCCCCCCCCTTGAAAATTCCTGGCTACGCCCCTGCCTTGGGGGTTCATGGACCAACGATTTGGAAACCCCATACTACAAAATATTATGTTATTTTATTTCTTTGCAGTGTATTCCCACCACACATGATCAACCCTCCGTCTCAGTCAAGATCAAGTCATTTCGAGAATGTGAATCCTGGATCTCGTATGCCTTTGGTGTCACGTTTTCAAGATGAAGAAATACTTGAGTTGCAAAATAACACGAACAATATGAATACAAGTTATAATAATAATCAGCAACGTAGCAGGGAATATATTAATCAGAACCAAAATGATCAACGTCCACGTGGATATATATTTTCAGAAAAAAGTAATAGATTGCCAACATCGCCGCATCAACATTATGAAAAAGATACACAAAATAAAACTGCCTTTGCGGAAAGGATTGAAATAGGTGGGTAACTTTATGTGGTTTTTATACGTGATTTTATACACGTATTAATGATAATTCGACAAAAAGCCTTCCGGTAGTTGTGTGTGAATAACACTATTATGGTTGTAGTGTATGTACGGTATATGTGACCGGAAATATTTTTGTTGTGGAACAAGCATGTTCCTATTATTCATTGCAATGACAAGATAGCGATGCTCGAATATACGGACACGAAGTCACCTATCGTTACTGTTAGTGGTAATGTAAGGCGTGAGTTCGCTGAAGAGATGGGCAAGGCCGAGTAATGCAGAATAAAAAGTGTTCGCATTTTAATAAAATTGAACAGCAAAATTTTTAGTGAAATATTGGGTCTAAGAGAAATTTGAAAAAAAAAATTCCCACTGCAGTATTACTTACATTGCGGTAATCACTTGATGTTCCTGTCCATTTATGCTCTCTTGTTTGAATACCTGAATTTAAATTTTAAATATTCCAAATATAAATTGTGTTGCTACCGCAAAGCATAAGTTGTTAAATTTAATTAAGTCATCCCATTTTTAAATTAGAAATTATTTTATTAATAAAAACTTTTCAATTTTTTGAATTCTTGCGAAAACACCATTTTGAAAGCATTGATTTTGAATAAATATTTTTGCTAACTAATCTATATGTCAAGCGCTCTTATCAGGTATCGATACGACTAATCTTACTCTGACACGTTTATTCACATCGATTATTATTCTTAGATCATCATCAAAATAAATCGGGTAATGCATCACCGTCGCCACAAAAACTTGCCGAACAAGAACGTCGTGGAATTGCAAGCAGAAGAAGTGTAGGTCCTATATCATCTATGACAAATTCTAATGAAAGACTTGTAAATGATGAACCAGTGCCTCCTCCGAGACAAGTAGCTACGAGAAGAAGGTAAAATAGAATAAAATTAATATTTTTTTTGTAGATATATAGATGCTAGCAACTCAAATGGTTAATAAAGCGTTCGTCCTAACAAAATTAGTGTGAGAGGTTGAAATATATGGTTCAAACTCATACCTATAACCAAGGCTTAATACGGGTAGATTAATAAGACAATGCTGAACCTGAAGAATACGTTCTATGCCAATATAGGCGCTCCATAAATATTCTTGACTGCTTATTCATAATGAAAGCATGAAAACGCCACATAAAAATTGGAAACGAAATGTCACATCCTTGTCTGAGCAAGTTTGACTTTAGTCAGACGAAACGTTACAGAAATACATTTTTGTTAGTGTGCAGCAGGACTCTTGAATTGGATAGAATATGTCACATGCCAGAATTTGCCTCACATGTTGAAAATATTTTAGTATATACCGGTATATCCTATGGATATGACTTCGCCATTTATTCATTTTCAATTGCCTGACTATAACCTGATAAACTTTCCCTAAATTTAATTATACTGATTATACATAGTAAAAATTTCCTGCATCTTTGTAATTTATGCATCTTACAGTCTTCCACATAACTTTGCCATCCTGATTTAGATTAACTTTCTAATCTTAGGTGGCGGTATTTGTATATGGTGCTATGCTAGTTATTTCAGGTCTTTTGTAGAAAGCCCTCGCTACTAGGGCTGTCCAAAATCGAATAGTTTTTTGATTCGAATCGAATCGAATATTTTCGCCGAATCAAACCGAATAATCGAATATTATTGCGCAATCCTAAATCTGTCTCTATTATACAATAAACGCCTGCCCTTCGATGCTGTGGTGACGTATGTGCAGTTACATCTTACTTACTGCTGGTATTTTGCAATACAATGTTTTCAGATTTATGAAAGGAGTCACACGCTTGTATGAACTGGTCAAAAAAATTGGAGGACTCCAAAATTTGGGTCTCGAAAACTGTTGAGTGTTAAGAGTAAAACTTGCACAATTCAAAAATTGCAATCTCAATTCTAATGGATTCAGTTTTAATAGGACATGTAAAGCCTGTGGATGCTATTTTAATCCTATTCACTAGGGTTATGTTTTTTTGTGTTATTTTCAGCAAAATAATAACAACCATTAATATAGATAAAACTGTTGCTCAAATTCAAAATTGCATTTAACAAATTCGAAGCTAGTTTGATGACTATAATATTGTTAGTGTAAAACAGCCATCAAAATTCAAGAGTGCAATTATTTGTCTTGGTATATAGATGGATAATACAGTACCGGTATTGCCATCATAAGAAATTACAAATTCCATTCAAAGAAGGTATTGCCATCATAGGGATCCCAAAACACCTGTTTCAGCTTTAAGTTGCCTGTACCAAGTTGCTATGATAACTAACTTAACAGCTTCAAATCGATTCTATTTATAGAACTATCGTTTTTAAATTGCCTTTTTCTCCTTGTTCTCTCTCAAAAACGTCAGTACCGATAACTTTTAAGTTATGATGACCATGCATGAAATGGCTAATCACGTGCCACCGGGCGGGCACTAGGAATGACATGTTTATCACAAAATGAAGGCGAGAGCAATATCGGGAAACCAATTAAGCCAGGAGCGAGAGTGGTCTAAACTCGAAGCGCCGCCGCTTGCCCGAGAAAAGACTTCCTGCAAAGGTGGTTTCCGCTATATGTACCGAATCTTAGCGATTCGAAAATCAGCCGAAAAACATTCGAATAATTTGCGATTCGATTCGATTTCGAATATTTGGTTCGCTTGGACAGCCCTACTCGCTACTAGTGCAAAAGAGTGAGATTCGTCAGAAACTTCATTTTAAGTGCTGCAGATTGCCTAAGCTATTCACCTAAGTAATTGCTTGTTAGCTGATTCTAACCCTGTCAGTGCTGAATTCCATCAATGAAAAAAAATTGTATCTGTATAAATAATTTTTTATTTTTGAGCGGTTGTGTTTTTTTGGGGCGGGCTTCCTACAAAAGATCCAGAATTTTCTGACCTTGAATTATGCCACAATTTTTCTTATCTACATCTTATTTTTATCTACATCTTGGCCATCTAAACTAGGCAATTGTATAGTTATTCATCAATTACTGTGTTTTTATATTATGTCAATAGATTAAAATTTTTTACAAGAACAAATCTTTTTCATCCAGATTGTTACAGATGAAATTTATTGACGGTATAATCGCATGTTTTTTTTTATTGTTTTCAATATCATTTCATTACAATTTGGTTTCATTTCGTTTTGTGAAGTGAGGTGCATGTTGCCACATTACAGTTGTGTTTATTATTTTTTTTCTAATTTGCCATTACCGCATTAAAAGCTTAGCAACAGTATTAGCCAAGAATTTATATTTTTACCTTATATTATTCGATGCCATTTAGGTTTATTGCGGAATAGGTATTAGAGAATTTGTTTTTCTATATTAAATCAAGATAATATTCCTAATTAATTCACAGTGTTTGAAATACCAGTATAGGAAAAACTGTTTTTCTGAAATTTTTTAAATTCAACGACATGAAAAATTGAAATAACAGTTTTTGTAACTTGAATTTTATTTTTTCACTAAATACAATGAACAGTGATAAGCGTCTTTCTAAACATTGAAATAAAAAAAATCCATAAAGTGACACAGAGCTTTTATAAATTCTACTTGCTTTTTAAATATTTCGAATTGTATATTCTCATCTGTCCGCCATCATTTTTATCTGATAATAATTTTTTTTTGATCAATGAAAATAGCCTCATTTAGACCTATGTAGGCCTATACAAAAATGTTAGATATTATTATGAAGACCTTCCTACAATTGTAAATTTTGGTTATGAACATTTCATATGTTTTTCATTTTTGTCATCCAAAGTAAATGTTGTATCTAATTCACACAATAAGCCCTTTGTATGCATTCATCGAGTTAATATACCATGATGTCATTGAATTCTCTCATTTCAGCAAGTTTATTGTGAAATTGACTCATATCTCATGTTTTATTTCAACTCCCTTTGTTTATCATGGAGCATGATATTATGGGTTGTAACTAGCTTATTCAGCCCATACTTAATCTTTAAAGAAAGGAACAGTTTTTTCTCTGTTTGGTTCCCAACTGATTGTAATGTATGATACCTTTATTTTCTAATACTACTTTATTTTTATATTAGAATTGTGCTCCCAGTTTGTGTATAATGATAAGGTTATCAAATCTGACAACTAAATATAATTCTATTTAATACACTTTTGAATATGAATATTTAATAAGTTCCAAGAAATAAGGTTTTCATTTTTTAGACTATTTTTCAGATGAAAAAATGCATTTTATTTTCGTTATCTTTTGATAGGCCTAATAAATATTTTATCATCTTATTAGGCAGAGCAATCAAAAATATATAATAAACTGAATTTATTATTGAGTCTATGATATTACATATATTAAAGCTAAATGCAATCTTTATTTCTGATTAGAAATATTTTAAATTATTTCCCAGGCAACAACAACAAAATAAAAATCCTGAGCGTCCAAGATCATGGCATGCTTCGAAACATCCTGATGTTGAGCAGGAACTACGTTCGTATATTGAAAAGGTTTGTATTTGAAAAAAAAATTCTAATTCTTATGATATGTCTGTATCGTGATTTTAAGTTTTTTGTTAGATTAGTATGATGTTATATATAGTCAAATCCATTGGTTGCATCGATAAATCATGCTTATTGTTGATTAGTTTTTTGTGTGAAATTATGGTCATATTATGCTGTCGTCTAGTTGACCAGAAATTACTATCATGGTAGCTGTTTTTCATATAAAATTGAAATTACTAAGATTAGTTATTAATATTTAATTTATATTCCAGTCCACATCTCAAAAGATGACAAAAAGGAAATCTAAAGGCTGGCTAGAAACCGAAGACCTAAAATCAACACTAGAGGGAGATTCTACTGAATGTAAGTTAACGTCTGTTGAAATTTTTTAAAGATGTCGTAAATTCAGGCCATGCTGAACCGCAATACCAGCTCTCTACATAATGTTAGATATCAGTCAAAGCTTGGGCGCTCCAGAAGTGCGTGTACCAATATGGAGGTAACTAATTTTGTTCACCTACTTTACATCAAGTTGTGTAAAGGGACTGAAACCTATGAGCAGGGGGTATATTCACTTGGCTAACACGGACTGTCCCCGAACTCGTAATAGAACTAAAATAAGGAAAAATTGGAATGAAATTATGGCCTAATCCTAATCTGGTACACATACTACGGGAGTACCGAAGCTTGTGCGAGGCCTTGTTTGGGGCCAAATACATTGATTCACTTGGCTAACACAGACTGTCCCCGAACTCGTAATAGAACTAAAATAAGGAAAAATTGGAATAAAATTATGGCCTAATCCTAATCTGGTACACATACTACGGGAGTACCGAAGCTTGTGCGAGGCCTTGTTTGGAGCCAAATGCATTGATTCACTTGGCTAACACAGACTGTCCCCGAACTCGTAATAGAACTAAAATAAGGAAAAATTGGAATAAAATTATGGCCTAATCCTAATCTGGTACACATACTACGGGAGTACCGAAGCTTGTGCGAGGCCTTGTTTGGAGCCAAATGCATTGATAAGTGTTGCATAAAAAAGTAGTAGTTCGTTGTTACATTTCAATATAGTTTGTAACTTGAGGATATGAATAAATTCCCCAGTGTCAAAATGTTGGATTCGCAATTTTTTCACATTAAACGAATTCATTTTCAAGCAGCTTGTAGGATACACAGCTACTAATTTGGAAAATCTTGTTTAGTACTATTTCCCATTGTCATTGCTTACCCATGGTTGTTAAGCTTGATTTGAGTAATGCTCGTTGTCATAAAACAAGGCTTTCACTAGGGATGGGGCGAGTCCGGCATTACAGAGATTCGTCGAATCCGAGTAATAAGTCAAGGACTCGAATCGAATCCTCCGAGTCTGTGACTCCACAATGTAAAAGTAGAAAAACATGTTTTTAACCATACTACAGCATCGCGCGCTCACAAACATATACGCCATAGCTCATATTTTTCCCTAATGGTTCGCAGATAGCTGTTGAATCAATTTAAAAATATATTTTTCTTCTTATTTGGCGGCCATAATACAAACGTAAACATGGGTCAATGTGCGCCTTGGCTAATTCTAAGCGGCTATTTAGAAATTCTTACAAGTCAATATGAAAAATAAAAAAATGTTGACTACAATGCTTATATTTCTAGCTGTCAATTTACTATGTCACGTGCGCAAATGGTAGAAAAATGCCACTTGTTGTCAAGACAATGTGGTACATCTGCTTGCAATTTAGTAGTACATGAAAACTCTCCATGCTTTCCATTGCTCCCTTTATAGAGAAAAGATTGCACGTAATAAACTCGATTGAAAAGAGGTATTGATGAGATTCCCCCTTGGGTTGATCCTTCACATGTTTCATATTTAATTACGCGAATCGAATGAAACTTCAAAATATTGCACTTAACACATATTTTATTGTGTACCACAGTGGTTCTCAACCTATTACCATCGACAAAGCTCCTTTTTTGCATGGGGAAAAAGACGCAAGAAACATACTAAGGGAGTATTTTATAATGTGGCACTACATCCTTTGTGGCGTAACACGCAAAACGGACAAAAACTTGCCCATATCGCTTCAATTAAGGTGGGCAATAGCAAGCGAGGGCGATCTCTAGAGACAAGGACTGAAAGCGCACCAGCGCTATGGACGTTTCTCCGACCATTGACTCCGAAAAATTTCGCCTATACTTTACAATTGTAAACTTCATGCTTATTCTGAGAGTGTTTTGATGTGTTGGCGCATATAAAATGGTTTACGTGTTTAAAACCATCATTTTTATTGTTTTATTGTTTATTACATTTCGTTCTTTGTTATTCTAATATTATGTTTCCCTGATGTCCTTACTTTTGGGTTCATGTCGATGGCAGCCCTAGATATAGCTAAGTTTAGCTTTGTCCATCACAGCATTTGCGAGATTCAATTTCGATTAGCCTACTGCAACTAAAGTAATAAGTTAATTAATTCACAATCATTTTCTTGAAATACAACTGAAAAATATCACTCAAAACTACAAAAACGAGGCAATGTTTGCAACCATGCTTGAATATCTGTTTGAGCGACAAAATGGTCTGATCGGCTGGGTGCAGAAATTGTAATTGTTACGAGTTACGTCATTATTGACTTATTGCTGATTGGTTATAGTTACTGAAATAATCAAGGAAACTGATGCTTTGGGAAACCTTCATAAACGCTACAGTAAGGAAGATAAAGCGTAGCGGGCATATTTTAGCCAACTGAAAGGTTAATTGTTGCAATAATTAAAATCTGCTTGCGAACCACTTGAAAAGCTCCCGCGTACCACACAGGTTGAGAACCACTGGTGTACCACATGTATACCAAAAAAAGTTAGATAATTTTAAGGCGACTGGCGCATCATTGTTATAAGTAATCAATAGTTTTTACCCTGCGTTATATTATCTGGATATCTGTCGTCGTTTTTATTAGGAATGTTTCTAATACACACGAGTGATATTGTTACATATCTAACCTTGAATTTCAACTATTTAAGATATGTAGTGAGATTTATAGGGGTAAAAGTACAAACATAGGCATAAATTGGTAAAAACAGAATTGATTATAGACTCGGTAAAAACGACGTGGACTCGAAATCGAATCCGAGTCCAAAAAATGCCTGGATTCGACCCTAATCCGAGTTCAGATCCGAATCTCGGCCTGTCCCTAGTTTTCACCCAATAGGAGCTTTACCCAACTAACCTAGACACTGGGTGGGTTACCGTACAAGAAATAATGATAATAAATATTACATTGTATGAGAATTTTTTTTTTTGTGGTTTTCAGCCTTGACTGGAAGGGAACAAAGATTTCAGAAGGAGAATAAAGCGTCTCAAGAACCTGCTAATGTAAGTAAATAAAACAAATAGAGAACAATGCTCAAATTTATTGATACAAAGGTTATTAAATGACTAATAGAGTAAACGCAATGTCATCAAATTTCTAGCTCTTTCTTCACAAGTTTATTTTAATTTATTGCTTGTAAAACAGAAGAAGAGACATCGTTACAATGATGTATTTGAATGAGCTGTATTTTACAGACCACAAAGTGCATTGATTTATATGGCACACTGTTAATAAATTGCTTAGATTGTTTCTCTTTAATTAAACATGAGGCGCACCGGAAGACTTAACAGGTAATAGTGGTTTCGATAGTAGGCAATAAAAAGAATGAAGCACTACTTGATCAATACATTGGCCACACTGGTTTAATTTTAAGAAAAAAATTATTTGAAGTGCACCTTTATGGTTTGTAAAATATGATGGTTAATTTTTTTTTATATTCATGTCCCGATCTGACCAAGTCTTGCGAAATAAAGTAAGGGTTTGGGTAAATTAGCGAAGATAGAAAAAAAAGGGTGTTAAAAAAATTGTTATTGTGCCCTTTGTTATTGAAGATATTGTGCCCTTTGCTATGTAGTATTAGAAAAATAAAAAAAAATAGTAATGAGTATTTCAGCAATTTCTCCTTTTTTAATTTAGTAATGAAATTTGAGAAACGATCAATGAAGGAGCCTCAATAATCCTAACTAGGGCTGGGAATGGTTAATTATTAATTACAAGCTGAAATTATGAATTATTACCCAAAACGTCACGCTGCGGTTACCCGGTTACTTTTACCCGGTTAACGGTTAAAGTGTTTTTCCTAAAATCCCCAGCACCAATTCCGACATCGATATTGCGCAACTATACATAGGTTCTTTCCTTATCCAGTGAAATAGTTTTAATTTCATATTTCAAAAACAACTTATTTAATAAAATGTTATCAATATACCTCAAACTTTTACAAACCAGGACATAGACTTTATCAAGTTCATTATCTTGAATTTCAACTAAACTATGTTTTCCAACAACCTATGGCATTGAATTGAACCCTATTCAGATATTATTCACTTCATTTGTGTACTTTAGTACGGACCATGTGTAAATTTGTGCTCTCAGTAAATGACTCTTGTATGGCTGATCATGGCAATATAAAAATTTTATGGTATTTGGATTCACATTATATGAACTATTGTTGGTTTATGTAATTGCCTTTTACCTTGTGTTCTGATTCTATTCATCGCCACCTGTGTAATACATTGTCAAAGAACTTCAAGATTTTATTTAATTGTTGAAATAGGAGTGTAGATTATTGTTGCTGTATTACTAGGTTATTCGAGATTTTTTGATTATTTTGTTTCATTGAGTTGCTGAGTACGCCAGGTGCTTTGACTTTTGTCATCTTTATTGTAAATAAATGAAAAAAATTGGTTACATACAGGCAGGGATTTCCAAAGCTAATAAATCTATGAATCAATAATGACCAAAAACTGAATAATTATTGCTACATTTCATTAAAATAATATTCTCATATAGGGGAAATTGGATAGGAGGAGACCAATTTAGTATATATCTGAATATATACTATAAATATAATATGTTTTTGAGAGAATTTGCCCAATGTAAGGCATACACACTAACTCAGAAGTATAATAGACTTGTTACTGACGACTAATGAAATGACATTGTAGATTATTTTGTTTTGATCATCCCTGGTAATCACATACTACTTAGTATTTGGGGTGGGCATTTCGGATAGAATAATAAATTATTCCAATCAGTTCGAAAGAAAATTTTGAATCTCTTCCGACCGCTATCTTTTTTGTTTGTTTGGTAGGTCGAGATGAATCTGTCAATTTAATTTTTATTGAAGCCATATTTTTAAAATGCAATTCTGTAACATGACTTTTTCTTTTTAGTGAGTTATTGGTGAAACATGTTTCTTCTTATGGGTGAACAACTCAGGGAACTATCTGAGTGATGAATTCTATGTTTTCAGTAATTTATGTGTCTAGGTGACGCATTACAATAAGAAGTCACATAAAATTACCTATCTTTCAAGTATTTAATATTCAAATCAATTTTGAAACCATCAGATATCTGAAAATGCCCAGCCCAACTTAATATGAAATGTGATATGTAACACCCTTTGAAATAATTATCTACTATAACCCTTGTACTGGGCTGCTATAATATGCCTCATGTAGCGCAAACTGATTTTATCTTTTGCACAAGCGACATATTTGTCAAATGATACTTTTATCTATTTCTATCAATTTGCGGTTCAAATTTTACCTAATGCTCGAATTTCAGAAATTCCGCGGATCATGTCCAGACACTATGAATTATGAAGAGCTCGTAAATTATCGCTCGGAACCTGTTAGTTTGTCACGAAGTTCGCTGGATAATTCAAACAAATCAATAAATAATAGAACAGATAGAGAATCAATATCTTCAGGTAACTGTAGATTTTTAAAACTTTGAATGAAAGATTCTTGATTGTTTGTGAAATGCTAGGTTTGTTTTAAGTTTATTTTTTACAAATTGTGTTTAAGTTATGATGAGGTCAAATATGAAGATATGTGACTTGGTCATAATATAATTTAAATGAATATATCAGATCAATATGTTTTTTTGCAAAATGGTCTTCCTTCATATGTAAATTATATTTAAAGATTTATTTAATCAAATATTGTGCATAATTTTTGCTATAATTTTTTGCTAATAAATGCTGAGCTGCTAAATTTTGACCACCTCAAGTTCCTTTTTCCAATATTTTTATGTTTCAATGCTTTTTTAAGAATCAAGTTGCAGTATGCGTATTGAAGGATCACTAGGAAATAAATTTCGTTCTTCCGGCAGATATGGAGAAATTTGGAAATTGCCTCAGGTATATTTATCTAAGATTTTACTATTTAAAATAACAACAACGTTTTACGCACATTTGGTTTAAACCACTGTATCATAAATATACTAATAAACTCTTTATTTAGAATCAAGAACATCGTAGAGCGAGGTCGTTCGATGCATTATCGGAAGAACCAGCAAATCATAATTCGATGAATTCAACAGACGTTAAACGATCATCGTTGCGAAAATCTACTGGGTCGACAGGTTCAGAATCTTCGCCGCATATTCATCAAAATTCAGCATCGAAGCAAACGAGTCCGTCAAAGTCGAAACCATCAACTTACAATTTCGAACAACAAAGTGGGAAAGAGCAATTTCGTGTTACGCAACATTTTAACCTCGATAAAGGCGAATTATCAATATCCGATACGTCAAGTTCAAGTATGGAACAAGCTCCAACTGGAAACACTCCAAAACAAGTTACTACGCCTGGTGAAATTAAATTTTCATATCAAAGTGACAGTATGGTCGTGAAATTATTACGAAATCCAACTACTGCGAATCCTAAAGCCGGAGATTTTAGCATTATTCAAACCAAAAGGCCAAAGTCTGCCTCATCTAAGTAAGTTACTTTCTTCTTGTTAGTAAAAGTTAGATAATTTTCAAAATATGTAGACCTATATACGGTTTCATATTTTAAAACTTTTTTGGTATTTTGAGATTTCAAAAACTCTTGCTTCCCCTTCTCTGCTCACCCATCTAGGCTGTGTATAGGAATAGTTAAGCAGTCTTTGTTTCAAATGCATGATGGTGGAGTAAGCCATGAACGATCATTAGTTACGTAAACTACCCTACGTTCTCGAAGAGTCAAGCTATCCCCTCGCAAATAATCTTCACTTTGGGATTCGAATCTGCAAATCCACTTATGGTAATCAGAGGTGTGATGGTAAGACTAACTTTGCAGAATTCAACCTCATCTTTCAAGAACGAGTCTAAGTTCATTGGATGATTTTAACAATGCCGAAGATAAAAATAATGAAGAAAGTAATGCAATCATGCCCAATAATGATGAATATAAGAAAAACATCCAGGGAATGTCAAAAAAGGTTTGAAGTTTTGAATACTTTTTTTGTGTAGCCCATTAACTGCTTTATATTATTAAATTTAAAAGGCGAACTTTATCCCACTGTTTATCTATTTATATCTTTCATCTATACAAGTGAGTATATCATGAAACTCATTGAGTAAAATTTGATTTTTAGATTCGTCATCTAGCATTTATATTAAAATATTCCTAAAACTACATAGCATGCAACTTCCTTTTTTGTTGTACAACCTATGTGCAAATTTTTAAGGTTTACATTCCATGCAATATATCACCAATGTTGGTAAAAGTTTGTGATGACCTAAAAATTTTAGAGCTCATCAAGAAGCCTAAGTGATTTAAGATTCTCGCTCGTTAGCAAAACATGAAATTTTGTTCATATTCCAATCATATTCCAATATTTTCCAAATTCTCAAATTTTATTTAACCAATTTTAACTAAATTTCAGGTTTTGAGGGTGACATCATTTACAAGAAAAGATCTAGAATTGTCACCACCGTACCAGAGTTCATTGCAACCAGTGAAACAAGAGTTTGGTTTTCCAGCCTTATATGTACAAAAGAGTTTCTTATCAAATAATGGGTGAGTTCGATTTTGGATTTGATTGTATTTATTATTGTAGTTATTCTTTCACTTTTCTAGAGTGGTTGGGCCTTTGGTTTAATATTGAGATTTTTTAATGTGACTGTCTATATATATATATATCTACATGGGTTGCACTCCACTATATAGAACATTAGCGTATATCATACTGTGGTGTTATTCAATTGATTTGATATTATAAAATTCTTGTTTTTTTATATTACAGAAGTGCTCCGGTTCGTTCAAAGTCAACATCTTCGTTACTTGAAAAACCTGTCATGTCTACCGTAGCAATTCCAATCACCCCAGATAAAACTCAGTATTGTGAGTCTGTATCTGCGTCACAGTCAAGGCCATATGGTAAGATTATTATCTAAGAATTATTATCTATTATTATCTATCTTTATAAAAGTTTTTTTCAGTATTGAGTTTGGGCTTCATTAGTTTCTGCCAGGGATGTCCAAAATTAATGAATATTTGAATTACTGTATTTTATATACCATGATGTGTAATGAATTCGTTTTTCTCACTCAAATATCTATTGTGTGCCTAATGTATTAAGGTTTGTGCTTCATACTTTATTTCCTATACCCAAAACCAGTACCAATACAATTGTTTTATAAACAAACTTCCATTTTATGTTGTTTTCGAAAACATCCAATAACCATGAAAAATATCGATTTTTTGTTTAACTTGATACTCTTTGCGTCTTATATCAAGGTGCCTCTCATGTATCGACAAAACCCCAATCTACGCAATTTATTGACTGTGTGTCTTCCTGGTGCAGCCTATAATTGTTATAATTCAAAATAAGGTATATTCAATAATTTAAATTCCTGATATTCGGAATAAGTCACCCATTTCCACACCCATGACAAGTTTGAACAGTCTCTATTTTTGCGAGTGTTTGTATCTGTAATTTTCGTTATTTTTTCATTTACAGACAGTCCAAGAATGGCTCGGCAATCCAACACCAAAAAGATTGATGACAGTGACAGTTGGTGGATTAAACATACAAAAGAATCTCGGAGTAATAGCCTAAAGAAAGGATCTGTGCCGCGTTACGAGGATACACAGCAGCAAGATCGGGATAGCATGAAGCAACGTCACGGAAGTACTAGCCCACATTTTGCACGTTCTCCACCAAAAGACAGAATTTCCCAACCTTCGTTCGGAGATAAATATGGGAAATCTGCAGATATTATAAAAACATCACCAATATCACATGACATTACTAAATCTCAAACACCCTCAACTGAAATAATTTTACGCGATACAGAAACAAAAGTACGGGTCGAAGAAGATAAAATTTCAAGCAAAATTTCAGCAAGAAGAACTTCTCCTGCTTCTCGTGAATCTGCTAAGTCTCGGAAATTATCAGAATCTCGTTCAGCACAAATAAATAAACCATTGAGTAGTAACCTGCCCATCAAGGATCCAATTTATAATAAAAGTTCCGCTCAAAAAGTTGGCATAACTAAAACAGAAGTTCCAAAAAGCAACAAACTATTCACCAGTAAAGGTATAATTCCATCATATTCAAATGATAATATACCACCTACAAGTAAAAATCTTGAAAAGAATTTCAAGCGCTCGAACTTCGATACTCCTCAGCCATTCCATGACACATCGAAAGCAAAAAGTATCAACGAAACTGCCACAGCCAAGTTGAAACCGCCATCGAGTAGAAATTATGGAAGCCCGATACATAGAGTTTCACCACCGAGTCCAAAAGCTTCTCATTCACGCGAAGGGTCAGGTGAAAGTTCACGAACTGGTAGTATATCACCTAAAGCCACAACGAAGAGTACAGTTCCATTAGCAAAGACTACTTTATTACAAATGGAGACATCACCCTCTCAAGTTGAAGAGCCAAAAATAGAATTGGATGAAGCCTCAAAAATAAAAGTTTCAGAACCTTGTTCCACATTTTCAGTTCAAAATGAAAAGCCTGTTCTTCCAGACCCAAAACAATTTTACGATGAAACTGTTCCTTCTGAGTCAAGTTCCAATGCTCCAAAGTCTCCATTATCTCCGATCAGAGATGATGTTTTTTCGGCCCAAGTTTGCAGACCAAGATTGAGTGATAGCTTAACAATGCTTCCTATCGATCGTGAAGATAGCACAACAGCAGTTAAAGTGTTACTTGCCAAAAATGAAATGTTACCTACGCAGAAAGAAGTTGACGATGAAATGCAAAATGTTACTGAAACTAATGCAAACTTGCCCAAAGGTACGTAGCAAATTCACATTCATTCAACTTTTTTTTATTGTGCTTTTTTTATTCTCCCATCGGAATTCAAATTTCCACCTTTTTCCAGATTTACCTCTTTAAGGTGTATCATGTAGTTTTCAAAACAAGAACTTTAGTGTAGTGGCATAGCAGTGACTTTTTTTTTGGATAGCATAATCAGGAACATATGTCAGGAATGACATATGCAAAAATATTTACGCAATGCCCACTAAAAGTACTTGCAGTAAACTACACTCACAAGTACAATAGCCGTTACACAGTGCCAGCTTCAAAATATGGTCTGGGTGAAATTGTGGGACAATGTGGATAAAATATTTCGTTTTGGCATTTGTGTTCATATTGATCATTGCTTTCTGTTTACAGATACAGACCGTGTCGATGAAGTACCAGTGTTTGAAGAGACCTGTCAGCCGACCACACAACAGAGTATACTGCCTGTGAAACAATCCATGACTACAAAAACTAAACCGACAACTACTACTAATGTTACTACTGTCTCTACGACTGATTCTAGTTTACGAAATACGATTCTTAGCACCCCTGCACTTACTAATTTTAGGTAAATTTTTTTACTAGAAAAAGTTTGTAAACAGTGAGTTTATATTACTATTAGAGGTACTGTTGTAGTGTACAAGGTTAGACCACAATTTTATTCTGATTTTCCTTATTTTAGTTCTACGAGTTCGGAGACTGTCTGTGTTAGCCAAGTGAATATACCCCCTGCCCATAGGTTTCAGTCACTTTACACAACTTCTCCAGAAGTAAGAACATAAGGCTCTTGTTCTTTGTTACATAATTTTGTAAATGTAATGCTTTTGTGGTTAGTTCAGGTTTTCTATTTTTTCTATGGCGCGGAACCCCAATGCTGTTCCCCGAGATTTGGGGAGCTCCTGTGCAATAGTTTTATTGTCTAAATTTAAATATAAAGCTTTGATTATAAATAAGAGCAGACCTAATACTGGCGAAACAAAACTATCTTTAAATTGTAGCAAATTTAACAATAGTGGCAAACCTATAAGATGAAATTATGGCGCTCCAGACGTGTGTGTACCAATATGGAGGTAACTAATTTTGTTCGCCTACTTTACATTAAGTTGTATAAAGGGACTGAAATCCTTTGGGCAGGGGGTATATTCACTTGGCTAACACAGACAGTCTCCGAACTCGTAATATAACTAAAATAAGGAAAATTGAAATGAAATTATTGCCTAACCCCAAAGGGACTAAACATATGAATGTAAATAAAAGCAAACCTAATACTGCCATACCAAAATTATCTTCGAGGTGTAGCAGGTTTATTAACAATAGTGGCAAACCTATGAGATGAAATTTTTATTTTTGCAGCAATTTTTTCATGTCGCCGACATCTACGTTGCCAGCATCTTCTACATATTACCAGACATCAGCATCGAAAGGTAAAATAATAAACTTAATTCAAGAAAAAGTGGAAGGAGGTGAATTTATTGTGTCTGAATCTGATGAAACTGAAGACGATATGAATAATAAAAAGGTAATCGAATAATTCACTTTCTCAAGTACAGTCTATAACAGGGGTGTGCAGCCTTTAATACTGGAGGGCCAGATACAAAAAATGGGTGAAGCCGCGGGTCGCACCCTTATTTAACATAGGCTTTCTACTTTTCTAGTAGTTGCGGGCACAAAAATTTTGATTATTGATCTTATGGCATGCATTGTTCGCTTCTCACAAGCTAGCTGTTAGGACAATGTAACATAGGTATAAATAATAAATTGAACTCAGGTATAGGCTTTACAACACAAGAAATTGGAATACTCGCACATACTCGATCGATTAAACTAAATTGAAAATTCCCGGGCCGCACACCATTCAAAATTGGCACTTCTTCGTGGGCCACACTATTTTACCTCATGGGCCGCATTTGGCCCACGGGCCGCAGGTTGCACATCCTTGGTTTATAATACTATTTTGAAATATCGAGTATATTCTAAATTGGGTCAGGTTCAACAGAGACATCTCAGGATTATACTCGGAATAAAATATCCCTTTTTCAGTTCTTTCACATGGGTATTACAAATAACACCTATAAAATTGTGGGTCGGTTGCTATTTTATAGTTTTATATTTACTGACAGCGAACAAATTATAATTGTGCAAATTTAGTAAACTTTCTGAACGGATTGAAGATAGCTGTAAACAAAAAAACATTATGTAGTCACTAGTCTGCAACACCCTATAACCATGTTCTTCCAGTGTAAAACTTTCTTGATGCTTTGTAAGTGTAACATATTTGGCATCTTTGATTGGCTGCTACTATAGTCTTGTCAACCTCAAAACACCTATAGAAATAAGTAATTTTTAAAAGCTTAACATATAGAGCAGGCTCGCACAACGTACGGGCGCAGGCCAAATGGACTGTTCAGTTACGTTCAGTTAAGTTCATGCATCTGAAACAGATAATTGGCTAACTAATCCCATACCCAACATGGACTGGTGACTGGACGAGAGGCCGTGGTTCGCCATATGATTAAGTTGTCTTACCAGCTATCCTCTCCCTTCGGATAAATATGTAAATCCCATTCTATCCTTGTTGTGGTTTAGGTAAAGTTACTGACCAGCTTTACAAATCATTTATCTGTACTCCAAAAAAATAAAGACTTAATAAAAATGGATATAGAAGAAAACGAAAAGTTGGGAAAAGTTGTGAGACAAAATGCTGAACAGGTATGTAGTTGATATTTATTACCTCTAAAAATATTAAAATTGCTCGGAGAAGATCACACATACTTTTTAAATGTACAGTTAGCTCTCTCTAGGGCAGTGGTTCTCAAACTTTTAGAGCCGCGGCCTATTTTCAGAAGTCAAGTAATAAGCTACAAATAATAGATAGTAAGGCGAAAGTATGTTTTATTCAAAAAACATGTTGAAAATATGTGGATGGAACTTAAATAATAAAATAAATGAAAAGTTTCAATAACAAATAAGTCAGGCAATATCGAATCTAACAAATATTTGTATTATTAATTAGCTTCGCGCCCCCTGGACAAATTGTCTACGCTCCTCTGTTTGAGATCCACTGTCCTAGAGCAAAGATACAAACCTTTGAAATTCCAGAACATGCTTAAATCACAAAAACGAGTGAGCAATGCTCAAATGTTTAGGAATCATATGAAATTTGAAAAAAAAAGTATTAGTTTTTTAGTGATCTATATCTATACCATCTATAAACGATAACAATTTAAAATCGATTAGTTGATTAATTGCGGAGAATAGGGTCTTTTTCCAACAACGACAAGGATTTACCAAAATGGTCTATCTGTACGCTAATCATTCAAAGCAGTTTATCATAGCAGTATCGCACAAATCCCTATGTAAAAGTCCGCAGCTTTATTCCCATCTTTTGAAAGCTTTGTTAAAATCGTTGAAATATTTTACAATAATAATGGTGAATACTATGACAATAAATACTATTTAACATAAGACCGGAACCAATTATGTCACTATGATTAGGAGAACAGCTATGTTGTATTGAAACTAGTGAGATTGTGTTAAAAAAAATTTTTGTTCTTGACAGCTTTGCACTCCCCGAGAACATGAAAAATTTAAAACTTTTGTTGAGGAAGTTGACAAAATATTTAACTTACTTTTATCGATCGGTGGACGACTAGCGAGAGTCGAAAATGCCTTGGCAACTCTAGATCCTGAAGCAAGCGCGGAGGAAAAGGTGATTTTCTTTATTCAAAATAAAACAACCTCATTATAATATCTCAACATGTATTTCCGGAATTACAAAATTTTTAGTAAGTGATTCAAAGTTCTTGTTGCGCATGATCGCAAAAGTATTCCAGTAGTCTTTTGATTTTCTGTGGTCGGACTTATTCAGACAAGTGTATTCCAACTATGATAAAAATAGGAATGGCATGCATATATGTAATAGCTATTTCATTGATCAATTTGTTTTCAGAGGCCTTTCAAGTTTAAAAATTTTGACTTAAATTCCCAACTTTGAATTAGAATATTTGATTCCAGCTTCTGGAATTGACCTTGACTTCTTATGTTCGAATCTGCTGCATTTTCATCAAAAATACACTAGACGAAGATTTCATGCTGTTGATTATCCTTTTATTTTCATAGAATGCCATTTTGGGAACTTTGACAAACATTCACAGATCCAATTTGTGCAGTTTAGTAAAAAAACTAATTACTTGGGGCTCTATGATCGTATATACAAGAATTAGAAAACTACAAATTTTTGAGGCTTGGTCTCCTTTTTATTACTTTATTAAATGGCTTTGAGGCTGTCCACTTTAGAACAATTTGAAGTTTATTCTAAATAATGATCCTAGGTGCTCCTGAAGTATGCGAACCATGATGGCGGACATCGAAACGTAGCATGGGTAACAGGTTGGGGTTAGGCCATAATTTTATTCCAATTTCCCTTATTTTAGTCCCACTATGAGTTCGAAGACTAGCCAAGTGTCTCTCGTAGTATTTGTACCTAAAGTTATAGCCTAACCCTAACCTAGTACACGTATTACATTCCGATGTCCGCCATCTTGGTTCGCATACTTCAGGAGCCCCTGACCCTAATTATAATTAGGTTTATTGTTGGACTATAAATTATGTTTCATTGTACGTTGTACCACATATACACCCAGCGATATGGACAAAATTACAATCTCGATTAAGCATATGACTAACTTGAAATATTATGTTTGTGTTGTTGTGTGCAATATTTTATATACAATTATTTTATTTACAGAATGGGCTTCTGGAGAAGAAAAGAAAATTAACGTTACAGCACGAGGAAGCACAATTATTGAAGGAAAACGTAGACAGGAGACAAAAATTAGTATCGGAAATTTTATATTCACACATGAGTGAAGAACAGGTAATGGGAAGTTTTTGCTTTATTCATTGAATGCTCACAGACTAAAAATAGGTTTAGAGAAAAAAGATGTAGTGTTTATACGCAGTACTCGCACTTGCATAAAAAGTGTTGTCATACTGCTGTGTGTACAGATACTATTGTATGGATGATATTATACAGTCCTTGCACTTGCATACTGCTGTGTCTACATGGGCCTCAATATGTATGTATGTATGTTCATTTGCCCTCAAACTTAACATTATTTAAATAATAAACAATATAACAGACCTGCATTACATGGCTTTCCTGGCCTAAGACACAGTTGTGCAACATTTACCCTTCACAAATATAGCAGAAGTGTAAGACTGCTACGTGATAATTGGACAATATAGAAGAAATAATGAAAATATACAAGTTTTGTATTACCGCTACTAGCTTTGCACCACTTTTAAACCTCTGGGCCAAATAAAAAACAAGATGTCATCGTTTCGAATTTTTCTTCTAAGCTGATTCAAATATTTTACTATTCGATTTGAAATGCTCAGCTCTACATGTTGTGTCATCTGCCCAAAACAAACTTTCAATATTAAACACACATGAATTTTTTTATGCCGGTAATCATTTTCATCTACCTGAAATAATTTATTTCTTTCCAGTACACTGACTTCGAGCATTATATAAGAATGAAAACTCTTTTCATATCGGAGCAAAGAGATCTTGATGATAAAATGAAACTCGGTGAAGAGCAATTACGGGAACTGTACGACAGCCTTCCAGAAAGTTTACAGGAAAGTCTTCCATTAGCGTTACAATACCAAGCGTATGCGCCGCCAGCAACAAATGAACAATCAACGGATTTGAATAAACCATCATGATGTTTTCTGTGAAAACTCTCTCATATAATTCATTTTACACAGCCAAATAAACACCATAGAAAATTAACGTTACTGAGTGGACCAGGCCACTTTTAAAATTTATTTCCTAGAACTGCATTACGACTCACACAAGCAAAACTTTCGGTTATGTTAGACATCAATTCTAAGTTTAGGTTTTTGGACTGTGTATTAGCTGCATTTTAAATATTTTCATGACAAATGGCCTAATTGTTATTAGCCTACGCGATAGTTGGACTACAAAAATACGATTTGTGGTGAACATTAAATAACCGAAAGAGAAGCTTTTGCCCATCATATGATTAAGCCATCTAGGTAATGGACATACTTGATTTGAAAACAAGCCAACTCGTTGGATTATCCACTGAGATGTTTCAGTTTTTGAGCATTGTTACTTAAAATGTCTTTTGGCATGTCCGATAATCAAACCTAATTTCTTATTCGTAATGGAGCCACAAGTAATCGAATATATTGTTCTTTCATTCCTCGCGCAAAAAATTGGGTATCACTGTTTTCTTCCGTGTGGGAAAATTTTCTGAATGTTAGCTATTATTTTTGATTTGTATTTTGACAGAATCCTTTATATATTGCTGTTTCCTTTGTTCCAACGTTTTTTTTTCATATTAATAATATTATTAGATGGTGCCATATGTTAATGATAATCGTGCCTGCTGTGATTGGCGTAATTTTTCACTGATCTTGGTGGTGGCTTAGGGCTGATATCATAGCCACAATTAATTGATATAATTTACATTTTTTTTTCGTTCTGCATTTTTTTAATGAATTTGTACCAACACTTTATCACAGTGTTGTTTAATATATCATGAAGATATTGATGACTTACTGTCTTGTTTCAAAATCGAGGTATAGGATAAGAGAATCAGAGTTTGAAAAATTGAATAGCTTCATTTAGACTAGCGGATTACAGCAGCGTTTATGTTTAAGCGATGAAGTCACAAATTAACATCTTGAGCACAAAATCACAAATAAATCTGTTATTTCTCACTGAGAAATTTACCAGAAAAGTCAAAAAAATTAAATGAATGCACTATGTGCATAACATAGTGAACAGAAATATTACAATTAGACCTTTTTCAGTTTGTGGTTGTGTGTTGAAAAAGGTAATATTATTTATAGAAACAGGTCTTTCGATATTGACCGATATCTGGAAAAAACCAATAAATAATATTTATTGAATTCATTTTATAGCCCTTCCGGCTTCCACGGCCAAATACCTAATAATTGGCTTTGGTTCTCTGACTCTCGGCAACAGTGATGAAGTCCTGCCTGGAAATTCGCCCTCAGAACATGCTTCTTCAGTGAATCATTGTTGGGTAGAAGAGTATAATACATATATTTGTATGTCAGTTTTGAAAAGACATGCCCTGGTATAATTCACATTCTTCATATCATCTCCATACAGCGGACAAATTCCTTGGCTTTAGTTATTAATGCATTGCCAACCTCGAAGGATCTTCATAGTTGAGAAAACAAATCAATAAAGTCCTCCAACATCTGCCTTGTTTTTATCTATATTCAGTATTTTAATAAGTAAATGAAAAGCTCGCGAAGCCTCTAGGTTTCTCTAACAAACCCAAGGGGCTCCTTATGAAACATTTTAAGAACCTATAATTTATGGCACTGTCTTATAAGTTCTAAAAAAAATAAGTAAATAAGACAGTTTTCACTCGGATATATAAAAGAGCAGAAATGGGATTGAGTTTTGAAGATTCACGAAAACAGTTTTTCAAAGGTGATATCACTCTAAAAACGCTTGGTACGAGAAGAAGTTGATTCATGTGTAAAAAGCTTCCATTTTTAGATGCACTAGAATCTTTAAGGCCTACCCTGTTCATTGCACCTTGCGTGAGGTGGTTGGATGGAAATCGAAGCTATCTTCAACCCTAAGGCAACACAGTGCCGTCCAATGCGCAAACACATTTATTGCCGCAATCCTAGATAGCAGGTTTCAACTCAATTAAAAATGTGTGCATAACTGTCTTGCAAATGGCCCAGCAAAGTTCACCAAAAGTAAGTTAGAGTAACTTAAATGACATACTAGTAGGCGGTAATTTAAGTGTTTCAATCTCAGCAGAAAGCGTAGCTCATGTAACCTAACTGAGGGTTCCTCCCAACTCTAGCTGTTCTCTCATTATCTTTATAGTAACAAGGGCGGGGTCATTAAACCCTGATAGAATAAAGGAATATTTCAATTGGACGAAAATCGGCCAATCAGAAAATGCTAAGATCACGTGACCTGCGCAGGACCAAAACGGACATGCACTTGCCATGCGCGGAAATTCATCGTTTTTGACGGTTGTCAGATTTCAGAATTTCGTTTTTGAACGGTCTGATTCTGAATCAGACCGTTCAAAAAATATCTGGCAACGGTCATTTTTTCAAAAATCTTGCGCATGGCAAGTACATGACCGGTAATTTACTGCGCAGGTTGGGAAATTTTGACTCAGCCAATGGGAGTCAAGTATTTCCGTGCGCATGGCAATTAGGAACTTCCGGCAAGGAAGTTGAATTTCCTGTTATGGTGTCCGTCTGCGCATGGCTGTAACATGGCAGATGGGGTTCTGCGCCGATCACGTGACTTGAAATACGCGTTATGATTGGCTGTTAGTTAGATAGTGGTAAATTTATAAGGAATCCTAACTTGGCCACATGTTCCTAATATACTCCTGTTCTGGTCTAATAATGGCGGACGGACTTGGGAGTATAAAGCTCAAGCTCACTACTTGGAAAATAATTACTCAATTAGAAGGCTTTAAATAATTTTCCGACGTGATAAGTCGTCTCAATCTCTTCCTCTCTCACATGATAATCTTATTTTGCTCCTGAGCCTCACATTGGGGTATATGGAGGCTTGAAACACGATAATACCAGTGTAAAACATTAAAAGTGTATTTCTGCGGAATTAGCGTTTAAGTGACGTCATAATTTAACAAAAACACTCAGAAATTCCTTTTCCCAATTTATTTACCGATTCCTTTACAAACAATCATTTTAAAGTACATTTTCAAATCTAATAAATTACAAGGCACATAAAATAGCAAAAATTTTAATACTTCACATATTTTTCTCTATAAATATATAATTTATTTTTGCACTTTTTAGTTTGAGATATTGTGCATTTTTGAGTATCAACATTGAAAACTCGGAAACATTGCTTCAAGGTAAAATGGCTTCATTTGATAGGCCATAATTGGACGGGAACTTATTGTCTCAAAGCAGGGGTCGGCAACCGTTTGTCGCTCGCAGGCCAAGGTTGCAAGTCATTGGCGGGCCGCACATATTTCCAAAAAGTAAAAACCAAGCAGTGATACATATCTTGAATAGAATATAGATTTACTTCCTCATTGCATCTCATAAAATTCCATTTGAATATTTGCAGCGCCATTGAACCCTTTGCACTTAGCATCAACTTTTCTGCGTTTTGTTGCCATTTGCTTAATTATAATTATGCTCATTAAACGAGTAATTGTGAAATATATAATTGTTAGGTTATAATATAATTTAGTCTAAAGAATATATTCGTCAGAACGGATGTTTTGTTACTATAATTAAGTGAAGCGTTGCGGGCCGGATTATACTGCTCAGTGGGCTGTAGGTTGCCGACCCCTGTCTTAAAGGCTTAAGGAGTTTCGTACCCACTCTCTAACCAAGGATTTGGGTATTAACCAGAGACCAGAAATTTTCAAAGGGCGGGTTCTGCAATATATTTTTGCCAAGTTAGACAGAAAACTAGGAGCAGTTTCGACCGAAAGCCGGAAAACGTGAGTCTTCATGAGCCTTGAGGGTTTAAAATGCGTTTCAAGCTACGTAAAATGCATATGATATATACAGAATGATACAGAAAGATGCTTATGTTTTTCAAATTTCAAAAAAAGGAGGGGGGAGGCAAAAAGCAGATAGCATAAAATACCACAGATTTAGGCACGGATCTCTTGCAAGGCTCGAACCAAGGCTGTAAACAAGATCAATTCAAAAAAATTAAAATTCAGTAAAAAAGTTTTCGGATGGGCTAAGCTTTTGCTCCAAATAGGGCCATTAATCTCATTTCTAAACAGGTTTTCTGTGCAATGCTTTGGACAACTAGATACATAAGCAAAACAAAACCACAATTTGGGCATGGATTCTCTAGCCCAGTTTGAACTATGCTCCAAGGAAGTCTCTGAACGAGCAGATCTGACAGGGCTTCGATTTTCTGCCAAGTCTGACCTATGTTTTTGAAAAGGCACTGGGCAAGTCGTTACTCCAGCATAGGGCTTTTTAAAAAGGACCACATAAGAAATTTTGTTACCTTCCAGGGTGAGGTGACGGTCAATCTTTGGAGATATGCATATATTCAGTAAAATTGTGACACAAAAAGGTAAATTCAATATTAAAAAGCATAGATAGAATATGATTACAAATAAAATTATGTACCGGTATATGGTGGTTAATTTGAGCGGAAGTTATCATTAGGAGCAATAAAATTTAGCATAGCTTCTTATAGAGCTAAGCAAGACATAACAGATTTTTCAACATCTACAAGTTTTTACTTAAAAATAAGGATATTCAAAGAAGTGATAGTTTTATTTCTAAATCAAGTGTAAGGTTATGTATATTGAAAGCTAATTGTTAGATTTGATTTCGCCCGCCTTATTTTGGATATTTACATTCCATCCTTATATTTTCAACATATTTTTTTGAATAAAACATACTTCCGCCATACTTAAAGTTATTTGTAGCTTATGGTTAGCTAGTTAATTTTTAAGGAGAGACAAGAGAAGCCAATATTTCTATTTTTTATCACAGTTTGAAGTTTCAACTCCCAAGAAAAAAAAATGCCTTTTTTCTATCCGGTTTGTGACTCAGACCACCACTATTAAAAAATTTTTAATTGCCGATTGCAAGCTCTTTAAATAAGCTTTCCAACGAGCCGTCAGTGGGCAGCAGAGGATCATTAGTTTTTCGTTAGTCGATCGATTAGTTGTGGGGGTACAAATGCATAAAATCGGCGTAGCAAATACAATTATTTAATAAAAAATCGTTATCATTCTGTTCCGTTCTTTTATTTCTTTTTATTTCTCCCGTAAGATATCACACCAATCCATTCCGGGTTGAAAATTCCAAAACTTACAAGACCCGCAAATAACGAAACATAGAACTTCAAGCTTTGTATCAATGTTACAATAATAAAGTTAACTCGTCTTTCGAGCCAGTGTCTTTGTTCCAAGCGTAGTAGCTAGAAAGATGTCCACGGGAGCTTGCAATCAGGATAACGACCATAATATTTGGGCAGGCATATTTCATGATATTTTCCAATACAATCCAGGTTTGAATGAATCATTCTCTCTGTGTCATTTTCGAAGCTTGCTGAAAAAAAAATAAATAAATAAGTTATTTGTTAAAACAATGTTTTACATGACATGTTTATACTCGTTTTGAGTATTACTTTGAACAAGGCTCCACACAAGCTGCCACTGCTTCATAAAGATTTGTTCTAGTTTGAAGGACTGGATTCTTTCTGGTTCGGCATTGCCTGCCCAATTCATTACACCTTTTACAGTGATGTGGTGGATATAAGATTTTAATTTTTGATGACAATTTAGTTAAGTCCTACGCAACTAGGCATCCTTGCACAATGAAAAACATGATTGATTAGAAAGACTGTGTCTAATAAATTTGCGGCCTGCGGTTTCACTCAGCTATTTGTATCTGCCCCCTCTGTATGAATAACAGTTGCGCACCTTGGCTTAATTCAATTCGTTTATTACCCCGGTTCGCTGCCGTCCATATAAAATAACAAAAACAAATAAACATGAGCAAAAAACAAATATAGAACAAAAAATATATAAAACAGATGGTACGACTATCAGATTCATAGTAAATCTCAAAAAAGAGTTAATACAGTAACCTATTAAATAAAGTCTTGCTCTGAACAATGTTCAATACAAAAATGAAAACAAAGTATAGAGCACTCACTCCTCGAGTTTGTGGACCCCAGCAAGTGCAATTGTTTCAAAGAGTGCAACAGAAACAAGACCAACAAGAGTATCCATCGAATATGTCAAGGAATTAACTCCCAGATCTCACCGTAAAGATTGAACCATTACAAACATGCCTGAAAATGAGAATAAGTAATTATATTTTGTGAGTTGCTCTGCACAAGAGGCCATTGATACCAAACAGACTACTATTTTGGAAGAACCAGAATTTTTTGGTTTCAACATTGCCATTTCATACCCTAGGTCAGTGGTAGGGAACCCATGGCTCGCGAGCCATATATGACTCTTTTCGTGACGGCATATGGCTCCCAAAAAAATCTAATATTATGAAGCTAAACTTACTATTGTTACAAGATTTCAAACTCTTTTATAGCCAAATTTGGCAGAAAATTTGCCAATACGTCTGAAAAGGCGCGTCCAGCGCATGTCTATGTTATGTAAGAAAATTACCAGATAGGTATTTTGACAAAACTAGGGGATTCTGGAACATAGCGATAGAGTCACGAAGCAATAGAGAAAAGCTTTTCGTCCGTTTGTACGAACTGGTTACAGTATTTGTCACATTTAAATCGGACTAGCAAAGCTAGCTAGCTGTGTGTGGGCCACTGCTCTTGCCCCCTGCCATGGCGCCATTTGGATAAGAGCGTACAACAGGCGAAACCTGATTTTGATAACACAAACTTACTTTATAGTAATAATTAAAAAGTAATCTCAAAGCAACAAAGAGTCGTTAAAAATTTACCAGTAAACGATCAAGGAGGCGCATTTTCAAGCTTCCACGCAGATACGCCCACCACGGTGGCAGGCAGTTGATATCCGAAACCCAAGGTAGAAGAACGTGCAAGGAAAAAATTAAAATATTTCCATTTATATCCTTATGAAGGACTATCAAGCCATTTATTTCTGCTCGCCGTGTTGTCAATCTCTTCTTTGACCTTTTTCGAACCAGAACGCAACTCGAAATATAAGAAACAGATTCAACGCAAGACAGGACACGTGCAGATGAGAGTAGATTTTGATTATTCAAAAAGTTAGAAATACATATAAAAATTAGTTTAACTTATACAACATGAGAGCGATGCTCAAATATATGGACACGGAAAGCCATAGAAGAAGTGACGGTAATGCAATCTATCACAGGTAGACTACCGGTACTGTTGCACTAGATTGTTAACGTCAAGCGAAACCTCCACAATGTGGGCAACTTCAATCTGGGGACATGACGTCATCTAATTTTGGTGACGTCAACGGCATCGCACAAATGAATCACACACAGTACACAGAAATTTTTGAAATAAATAGAAGTAATTAACTCTCCCAGCTTTTAATTAATTTAATTTAAATTAAGTTCATACTTTAATTACTGAAACTTTCCAAGCAATTGGTCCAGTAGTTAGTAGAAAAATGCGATATTTTCACACCAACAACAACAACAACAACAACCTAATAACAAGACGATACGTATGTCTATTTCGTGTCCAATAACATCAGAAATAACGATTTCAGACTCCAGACCAGGCGACTTGAGTAGTTAAAAATTTAACAGCTAACTCGGAGCTGCATATGGCCACAGTATAAATATATAAATTTATTCCGTGGTTGCCAGAATATAATATTTAGCGCAGCAGCAATAGACGAGGGAAAAAACTGAAACTTTGTTTACTGGAATATTAGCTCACCAATATCACTACATCGAGTCAATGACGGGACTTTGGCCGCCCATTTATCAGTCTCTAAATGGAATAATAACTTGTGGACTCGTCATGATCCTATCCACCAGGCACCATTGACTGAATCGGATGACCCGTAAATTGGTTTTAGTACTTCGCCCAACAATGGAAAATTTGCACTAATTCTACAGGTACACAAGATCTGCTCAAAGGAAACGATCACATCGGTAATGAACCATTTCAATTTTAATATCATAGCGGATTCCATTGCCTTCTACGCACAATAATAAAAATACTTACAGACAGACAGATGATTTGTGAGATCCGTTGTCGCTGCAATCAGCTTGTTCCGTAATCCGGACAGAACCTGCATGATAAAATAAAGTTAGATGTCGGCCTTCAATAGGAATAGTTGCTGATCGTAAGCAGACCAGTGGGGATCATCCCACGAGGGGGGCGTATACAATTGTCTGAGGGTGCGTTAAGCTTAATTAAAAGTATAAATATGTTGGGATTTGATCTTGCCCGCCTTATTTTAGATATTTACATTTTTTTTTATTTGTATACTTACGTCCTATCACCGTATTTTCATCGTGTTTTTGGAATAAAACATAATTTCGCCTTACTATTTGTTATAGTTATGTTGAGGTGGAGCGCGAGACAAATTATAAAAAAAAGGGGCGCGGATCAAAATGTTTGTGAAACACTGATAGAGTTTCGTTTGAATGCTTGAGTAATGACTTGTGGATCAGGTATGAAATAAACGGATTCCGAGTCTGGGTTAAACTTTGCCCTTGTAGTGAATTTGGCCTAATTTTGAGGGTATATTGGCGATCAGGAAATTCTACAGCCAAAAATTTATCTTACACAACCCAACAAGATTACATAGCGATAGAAAACAACGCTGGCAAGTGTACTTCAGGGTGAGATTATTTGAACAATGCATGGCGGAACGCTTTCATATGTTGAGATTTTTCCGCGAATGTACGAGTATTCTGCAAGTTTTGGATGTCATTTGTCCTGATATGAAGAGTAAATTTCTCACCACAATTATGAGCTTTGACAAATCAAAACTTTGGCCCAGACTGACAGATAATCACTTGAATGCGGTATTGCGAATACCATGTAGCCTACCAAATTGGAGTCACGTTTTGATCTCATTACGAGCAAACCTCAATTACACGTATCTGTAAACATAAACAACTAAACTATGTCGGCATTTCTCATATTTATAAGCATTGAGATGTTTTTGTCTTGCCAGATGAGCAAGTAGCTTCATTAGTCGTTATCAATTGCAAAGTCGTTCTTGTGATTCCTCGCGTATTCTATCACCTAACTATTTTACTTAATAATTTACAAACTTTATTACAAACAACGATGCTAGATGTATCTAAAATCATGCTTACGGCCTATTTAGTGACTATTTTCCAAACTCATACTCAATATACAAAACAAAAAGGATTTCCTGACAAATTATATTTATTACTTATTTGGAATGATCTTTTAGTGCAGTGAATCAAACCGGGTATGCTACATACCCAAGTGTATACCAAGTCCGATTCCGGGTATACATACAACCAGTAATGAGCTTGATAAATCGTAACAACCGGAACGCCCCAAATTCGCAAAAATGTAATATATATATTTACAATACGACGCAGACGTTTACATGATGTTTTGTCTGCCCTAAGATAGAGCCGAAAAACTGCAAATATGAAGAAATTATCTGAAATATGTCTGTGTAAAAATTACAAAAATATTCATAGCAATTCAATACAAATGTTATTATTAGAAAAGTATGGGATGAATTTCCAAGGGGTCAAAGGTCGGGGAAACATCCATTACACGTTACTGTTGTACTAATTATTTGCGGGATTACGAATTATGATGTAACAAAACATAAATTAATAACTAAGTTTACTAGAGAAACTAGACTTTTTGTACCATAATTTTATTTCAACAACAGAAACGCAAATGCAATGAAATGTCCAACAACCGGAACGCTGGCTACAGCTCACGACTGCATATAACATACGAAGGTATATAGCAATAGCCTGATTCGAATATATATCTCGGCCAGTTTTGGGTTTTTTAACGCGCACAAGTCATTATCTCATAAACTGTTTGTCTATTCATGGCCACGAATTTTGCAAAATGCGAGATACATGAGCGAGTAGAAACCATAAGCCTCGTGCCAAAACTAGATTTAATCGTAATCACAATTTTTTTGAGCTATTTTAGTCGGAACATCAAAATTTAAATTTAGTTTGGTTGTGGCAACATCAAGAAGGCCAGGTTGAACCCAGCGGTCAGATAGGTTCATGTCAGAGTTAGAGTTGGAAAGAGTTCATGGCGTAAATTTATTTCATATGGCCTTCGTCGAAAGCCTGGAATAGCTCCACAGGGGTTCAATCGAACTCAGGTTAAGTAACCCCGCTATAGACAGTGTCGTACTCATTACATCATACTCACTGGTTATTGCTCTAGTTATTGGGTTGTTTGGAATGATTATTGTAAATTTTTTTAACGCTGAATTACGGTTTTGTCGGGCAGAATATTTAAATCCATGGCGCGATTTTACGGAATTAAAATGGTCTGGTTCTAACAGACTTTGTCATAAAAATTATTTGCGCGCATTGGTGCTCAAACTGGCAAAAAGAGGAACGAATAAATGCAATTTTTCTGTTATATGATAAGCGTATACTCTATATACAAAAAAGATAATTTGTTGCAGATTTAGCCAAAAATTACAAATATTACCTATTTGGAATGATCTTTCAGTGCAGTGATATTCAACCCAGTATACAATAATAGCTAAATGTTTAATTAGTCATATCCCGGGTATACAAATACCAATTGGTATACGATGGTACACTACAGCTATAAACCTGATTCAAATATATTTCCCGGCCCGTTTATTTGAACGCGTTCAGGTCCCGTTCAACATCGGGACTCATCAAATTCATGAAGTGTTTGTCTGTTCAGACCACGAATTTAGCGACATGAATTACACGAGCGAGTGAAACCATAATATGCAAAAAATAATTGTTGACGGACAGATATACAGAAAAGTATGCGGCTACGTTATTCGGAAATTTCTGAGCACAAGCTATAGTCCTACACCAATGTCAATTTTTACTTTTATTGGTAATTTAGCGCACATAATATCTTGTGATCAGAGTAAGACCACTGTCATGACTTCACTAAACAACTTTTTTCCACTTTATATCCTTAAATATCCTTTATTATTTGCGAGGTATATACGTAGAAAATAAAAATGGAAAAGGTGTAACACATTGTAAAAGACTAGAAGACACTGTTTAAGTGTTTTAGATTGGAATCTTTCGTAGAGAACACTAGACACTAATGCAAAAATGTGAGACTTGATAAAAACACCTCCGCCGAGTTTTAAAATAAATCAATATTTATCAGTAAGGGTAAATAACGATTTTAAAATGCAGCGCAATTTGCCTTCTCAACCCTAACCATATCCAGATAATTACAATAATAATAATAATTAATTTGTTACTTTGAACGTTAGCAGGGGTGTTTTGATTTTAAAGGGAGGATTTGTATAAATGATCCCTAAATTGAACCTAAATATGCAAATTAAAGTGCAATAATCAAGAGAATTCGATTACATACTTGCTTTGCTCTTCAGCCTCGATAGGCTTCCATCTCAATCAGTGATAAATACCAGAGAAATGACAATGACAAATTTCTTCTGATGAAATGATGTACTGTCTTGCCAACTTTCAAGCAGTGTTCTAGGAAGCTGAAAATAAATGTATTTTTATTTCATTCTCAAATTATCAATCAGTGGCGTTTTTATGGTATGGCGACTTTGGATAGCGCGCAAAAAGCGTGAAAAGATGGTTAATTGTTGCAATAAAATAAGTAAATATTTAAATAATTTGAATTGAAGCTCTTATTATGCCTAATCACAAATACCAAATTAAACAGCTAAACGTGAAAGTTTGTAGTATAGTAAACTTTACATAAATATAAAAATCTGGATAATGAAAAGACTTCATGGCGTATTATAAAGGATCTTCAACGAATCCCTGGAATAGTTCCACCAAGGGCCAAGGGTTCAATCGAACCCGGGTTAAGAAACGCTACTATAGACAGCGCCGTACTCATTACACCACATCCATTCGTCATTTCTCTAGTTCGGGGAACGGCAGCCTTTCGTCGACCACGGGCCAAATTAAAGGGTTGCAAGTCTTGGCGGGCGGCACATATTACCAAAAAGATAAAAACCGAACAAACGGCCGATAAATCGCAATTTTTTCACAAGGATCAGATTGAAATTTTATATTTTAATCATCGCGCGAAGACTGCGACAACTCGTGAACGCAACTTGTCGTCTTAATTACAAACACTTTGCTACCTTTTTGACGCCAAATTACGGCTTCATGGGGCAGAATAGCTGAATTCATAGTCTGGTTCTAACGGGCCTTGGCGAAAAAAAATATTGACAGCGCATCGGCGCTTAAACTGGCAAAAAGGTGAACGAAGAAATGCAATATTTCGGTTCTAAGATAAGCTTATTTATACTCAATATGGAAAAACAAAACATTTTGTCGCAGATTTAACAGATTGTAATTATTTTTGATACTTTAGAGCAGTGATATTCAACCAGGTATAACATATACCCAAGTGTATACTAAGTCAGTTCCCGGGTATACAAATAACTTTTTTGAACGAGCAAAAAAATATTTATTAGCGGAGAGATACACAGAAAAGCGTACTCGCGATGTATGTGAACCAAGATGGCGGACGCGGGAACGTAGCAAGTGTACCAGGTTAGAGTTAGGCCATAATTTTATTCCAATTTTCCATATTTTAGTTCTGTTAAGAGTAACCAAGGAATAACCAAGTGACTCCCGTAGTATTTGTACCTGAAATTATAGCCTAACCCTAACCTGGTACACATACTACGCTCCGGTATCTGCCATTAAAACAATAAGTGAAACAACAATACAAATTGATATAGTAAGCAACAGTATTTAATCAACCGAAAAAATATTTTTTATCCTTGTATAATTAAAAGGGAAAACAATTTAAGCAGCAATACAAACACTTGTTATTATTTAGCTCACCTGAATATTAGTCCGAAGATACAGCTTACTAAAGAGTTGGTGTAAGATTCTGGAACAAGCCTACGACAAAATCGACCGCACCCCACCTTGTACAATTGCTACTGAAGCGTTGTCGCATGTAGCTTCCCGCGCGAAAAAGACCGAAAACAATAATGATTTGTAACCAAACGTTTTTAATTGGTCCCGTTACTCCAGGTCAACCCTGGATCGCCACAAGCCCATCACGCTTCTGACGCGTGATCACAAAACATAAACAATGCAGATAACAGTGGGCCTTTGCCTGATATTACTTGTAATTGTCTGAATGTCCAGTTTACACTAATTTCTCCTTCCAAACCAAACGTTGGAGACATGACATACAAAGCAATATAATCGGGTTACAAGTGAAGATCATATTTAGTTTCTCAAGCCAAGTGCGTACCGATGGAGACAATTGATAAGAACTCGATTTAGCGCAGAGCTTTCCAAACTGGGGTCGCGACACCACGTGTGAGACGCAGCAACAAAGTTTTGGGGTTACAAAGAATACTAGAATTTTACACACGAAGTACCGGTATATCTAATGTAAATTTTGTGCTTTTGATTCAAAACACAACTATTGAAACTAGAGCAACGTATATTATAGACCAAATAAAAAAAAAACATAGTTTATAGTGTTTTTTTAATGAGATGGATGAGCTGGGTGGCCTTCAGCGAGTTTTTCAATATTTGGTGACATTTACGTCGGACACAATCTCAAATCACCTCGTTTACTGATGGAAAGGCGATTTCGTGATAGCAAGAGTGTCACGGCTGAAAACCCCTTTTCCACCAGGAGGTCGGAAATGAAAGAATCCAGATCCACGGTTCTACCTACTCAAAAATCGCCGGGTACTTGCCTGACCAATTATTCCACTAGGCCACGCGGACTACCTCGGCGTGAAATCCATTCGCATGTTATGACGCCCACAAGAGTCAAACCTGCGAACGCACGTAGAGTACAGTTATTAAGTGCACGATGCACCAGCCGACGAACAAAAAACAGGTTTTGCAAAATCACCAACCCCCCGCCCCACCACTATCGCATCTTTGACTTTTCCCCCCTTTAGGAATCACTGCATTAGTCAATCAATAATGGGCAATTAATTCGAGTCCTTCGCACAAATGAAGCATAGCATGTTGCATCGCGCCAGTGCTCACAATATTGAATCCTAATAATAGAAAAGCATGATCAAAAATGTGCAAGCAATGGAATATTTTTATTCTAACTAAAGTGAAATGAGCAAGAAATTCCGCCCGATATCTGAATGGTTACGAGCACAATCTGTAACAAATTATTTATTCATACAAGGCACGCGCAATTTCATCTGCGTTTCATCTTTATAGGGGTAGCAACCATCACTTGTCGCACAGCTTTTAAGACAAAATTTACGTGCTTTTTGTTTTATTTTTAATGTGTATGATAATGTGTCAATTTGTAAAGAAGCATGACGCCGCAAAAATTTCAAACTGGGATCTTTCATAAATTAGGAAACAGTAGAGCAGAGATCAGACGGTCAGTTGGCACAAGTTGATGAACCATCTTCCAGTCTAAGTATTCCTCCGTTCACAGTCAGAAATGTGGTTTGCAGATTTACTACTTTGAATTATCTTATGCGTCTTGTCGCTATGATTGCGTTGAGTGAGGGTGAAAGACATCAGCGAGACCTGCCTGCACTAGAGACCTGCACTAAAAGAAGGAATGGGCAAAGCTTGCAAGAGCTAATCAATCAGGCATAAAAAATAATTAAATGCTAATAATTTATGAAATACCAAGGAGGAAGGGAGGCCGGAGAGATCTAAGAAATTAGCGATCAGTCCGCGCAATCGGTCATAAGAAAACCAAATAAAAGCAAAGTTTGAGTTACGGAGAGGGGCCAATTAAAGAAAGAGCGAGCCGAAAAGAACTTGCCGTCTGAAATAAAAAAAAATCGTCAAAGTGTATAACATCAGCGAGAGAGAGGGAACTAAACCGTGCACACTACACCTTTCGCTATGAAATATGTATCTGCTCATTAGAAATAGGAACCAGACCAAAGCTCACCTGAAAAGTAGCTTATCGCCTTTTTTGCACATATTTTTCTGATATCACAAGATTAAAGTACTCTCTTAGAGTAACCCTCCATTTATCCACTATATTCTACGCCACAAGTTTCAGTGTTCAGCCGTTTCTCGTATTTTAAGCATTATCTGATGTCTCGGTAACTTTGTAGAACTTAATATTTATTCTAGCTGTTTCTGACTGTACTGTTGGTGGTCATTTCTTGATCTGGCACTGAATATAAACTCTAACTAGATACACAGTATTTCGAATACATTTGTCGCCGAATGCAAATAAACAGTTCAAAGATATGACTGAAAAGCTAAATAAAATTGAGATAAGAGCACACGCATGGGATCCGTGATGACTACACAGGGATTCTGCAACGATATGAAAAAGAGTTTTGTAGATTCTAAATGATTGATTTCAATAGATAAAAAACTTTGCATCTTTCTAGTTGAGCGTTGTGGACGATACCAAACTGAGCAACTGAACACCAAATATTATCTTACGCGAAATAGATATCGCACACAAGGGGCGCGATTTTTAATTTTGATGACGTCAGCGGTATTCAGCTACTGGCTCTGCGATGGATCACCGCTTTGCGCCTAGACGAAATCTACGTAATTTGGGCTGATAATAAAACAATGCGCTATAGAATATATATACGTTTTATTTATTATTTTCTTAATAAAAAGTCATACACAGGAATACTTCTTTATGCATTTTTGTTAACTTTTCTTGTTATTGCCTGACATTGTGCAACTTTGTAATTGTATACACCTGCAGTAGTTTGGAATTGACGCTACGATTCTAGTTACAGAAATAAAAAAAGAATCAAATGATAAGGTATAAAATACTTAAGGCTGGGCGCAGTTTCATTGATAAGTGATCCACGTGCAAATGATGATTATTCTCACAAAGTTGACTGCATACATCAGCTGGTACTATGATTTATAAAACATCGCTACAAAAACACTAATTCTTGTTACAATACCAAAGTCTACAGGTGAAGTATATGTAATATGTAGTTTGTATGTAAATAAAACAAGTGTCTAAATCTAGAAATCGGCTCGCGGGCTGTGTGAAAGGCTGCACGGGCATGATGCGGCCCGAGAACAAAAATCGTTGCTTGGCAATTTCGAAATTGTCCGTTTGTTCCAATGTTATCCGTTTCGCTTTATTGTTGTGTTCCGCAGTGTTTTACCCTATCACTTTGAATATTCAAGTACAATTCAAAGCAGACAATACAGTTTAAACGGTTTCATCGTATTGTTGTAAGATGATAAACTTAGTATTGAACTGAATCCGCGTGAGACTTTTTAGTATTGAAAGAAATTGTATTCGAGGCAATTGTCTGTTTTGTTTACGTCCACGATCCTATTGTCCAAATGAGCTTTTGTGTCAGTCATTTTATTCCAAGGAATTGCGACTGCCACGAGTGTATTTATTTGATATTTCTAGCGATGTCGAGTTTGCGAGCTTTGTAATATATATAGGAATTAGTTTGCCCTTTTTCAAATAGTGCTTTCTTCAGTGGATATTTATTATCAATTAGAATATTGTTATAAGATAAGTGGGATTGTTTAAAGTTTTCGAATGTTTTTATTTACAATAAAAGTTTTACTCAACCGGGATGCAAAATAGGATAGGACTTACATATGTATCCCCGGCGAGAGGAAAGCCGATACGACATATAATCATATGGCGAACCACGGCATTTTGTTCGGGTTATCTGTTCATTTCTGGCATGGGATTGGTTAGCCAGTTAATTGTTTCAGGCAATGGCGGTGGAAATAGTATGATAGTTAATATCACGAAAATATTACTTTTTCGTTTCCATTGATAATTTGCACAACGATTCAACAAGCGGTTTTAGTTGGTTTTGTTAAGAGTGTTATTGCAGCAGACGTAAAATCGTTCCTAAGTTGAGCATATTACAATTTTACATTTTCTTCTAGTAAATGAAGCCATTTAAATATATAATAATATGCTATCAAAATGCTATAATAGAATAATTATTTTTTCTGAACTTTAATATATTTCAATTACGGTGCTTAGTGAGAAATTCGAACCTTTTTAGGTTTGGAATTTACAATCCAGTGTCAAGCAGTAAAAACAATTTTGCATTACTGAGCAAGCAAACGTATTTTTTTCATTGAGATCAGCGACGGCGAGTCTGTTTGAATTATTCGTTTATACACAATGGCTCTTAGGGTTGAAATGTGGTTTTTAGTGTTTGCCAAAATTTGCTTAAAACTAAGTCATACACTTCTGAATATCATCATAAATCACGAAAGCAGTTCAAATATTTGAAAACGTTCACATATTTTTTATCGGTCGCGGAGTTAATATTATCTGGATTGATCGATTACACAAGTAAATACTCTCGTCTTTGGACGGTACATTTGAAGACGCTATTTCGTTGGCAACTCTGCTTTCAGTGCCCGGACTATTATTATATTAATAAAAAAAAACTCCAATAAACAACCCCGACACCGCTCGAAATAATAAGAAAAATCAATTATTACGCATACATTTACACCAACAGATTTTAGCATCCTCATAAATACTGTGAAGATTTACACTCAAGGACATTTGCACCCACGAGCGTTTGTATTGGTGAACGCTTGCACCCAGGTACATTTGCACACGTAAACAATTGCACCAATAGCCCAAGGACCTTTGCACCCACGAACATTTGAAAATTTCTCAAAATACCATAAATGAGTTTTCAAATACCCCGCTAACTAACCCCATAGTAAATCGCATATATGGATTATCTCATGATTTGTCTATACGGGCGAAATATATACGTATAAATATATATTTCTAAAACTTCATGATTACTGAAAGTGTACTACAAAAATTTGCATTTTGAATATGAGTGAAAATATAAACCACCATTTGATGCGGTATATACGTAGAATAAATTCATGTTATTGATTTCAATCTACTGTGAAGTTAAATACAGTTTTTTGAATGATATTAAATTTTCTAAAAATCGCGAAAATCAAACAAATAGAACAAATAATTCGTTGGCCTCATATGTCACCTAGCTCGACTTGATATGTTTATTCTAGCCAAACTATTCTGTTGAATATTGGTTGTTATTAGTATTGTTGGGCTGTTGTCTTATTCAAGCAACATATTCATCATATAAATCGATCGCTTCATATCATTCAAAGCCTATTCAGTTAACCGTAAACTTCTTTTACTAACACAATATCAAACGAGGTAGGTTGCTATCGAAAAAGGGACTTTTTTAGTTTTGTTCTTATAGATTGTGAACGCGGTGCAGACGATAAAACGAAGATAAAAAATAAAATATATATAGTTCGCGTAGTCAAACACTGCTTTGGTTAAACCCGTTGAGTATCAGAATGAAAATTCGTGACCAGCTGGTTTTTTTTTGCTTAGAATTGTCATTATAAATACATCAATATATAATTTTCAGATCTTCTGGTTGAATTGTATTTGCTGAAAATAAAGCCATGGCTAGCGTTGTGCAGATTGTCAAAGTTGAAAAAGGAAAAGTAGTTTTGGATTCAAAATCACTCAAAAGGGTTTTGAAGGGCGAGAATGTCGGAGATAAAGCTGTTGCAATCGTATCTTTGTGTGGCGACTATGGTAAAGGGAAATCCTTTATGTCAAGAATATTTCTACAATATTTAGGTTACTCCAAGGTGAGTTCGTGTATTTTTCTGAGAATAAACTTGTTATATAATGGCTATGTCTCAACAGAGTTTTCGTGAATTTCGAAACCAGCCCGACGTTTAAACGTTAAAATGCATGTACGCAGGAGCGACAAAAAAAATACTGATTTTCAAGATTATTCGCACAGATGCTAAATTATAAAATCGAAGTGGGATGTCTTTATATAGTTTCAATGTAGGAAGTGAACTTTATCGACATTTTATTAATTTTTTCTCCTCATCGCTTTCTCCCTCATCGTCCTTGATCCTACTGCAAAAAATATTTGCCTTTTCTCTCATCGTCCTGGATCCTAATGCAAAAATGTTGTTGCAGGGGCACCGAACCAGCAAAAAAGCCACTGATTGGTTGGACGACGAAATTGGAGAAGATTCTATACAAATGGATGAACCTGGGATATTTCTGTACCGAAAAGTTCATATTGTGAATAATGTAAGAACATAATAATATCTAGTATTGATTTATGAATTGTAATACATTATTAAATAACGCCAAAAAGCCTGAAATGAGAAGTTTGAAATGATCAAACAGACGTTTTGTTCAATATTTATTTTTGGATAATAAACTTCAATAACATCGAAATTCTTGCATCAATAAAACTTTAAACGAGAAATCTTTTTTTGGAGATTTTAACAGGAGCTGGTAGAATAAATAAAAGTGTCCGTTAGACCTGCCAACATTATAGCTATTTTCTTTTAAATCAGCATAGAAGTATTCATTTTGATAGATCTCGGATTCAATACACGATCGATTGATTGTTCAATACAAGCTCACCACTTCTGCCAGTGCTTATTTATCCCCTTTTTGACAGACTGCTGTATTATTGATGCAAGTACAAGGAGCCTTTTCATCAACGCGACAAATATGTATTGACATTTTTGCTCTTGCTTCATTGATAAGCTCTGTTCAGATTCTGAATTTACAATCTCAAATGCTGGGAAACGATGTTGAATTCTTGAAGGTAAAAACATCGACACAACAATTAATTTCTTCGTTTAGAGTTGTGTGAATTTACACTCTAGCGGTTCATGTGCTGTGTTTGATATTGTCACCAAATTATCTGCCAAATTGCAATACGTTAATGCAATACGTTCATAGAGCTTTGAAATTTTTATTTTATTATGAAAGAGCAGCGCTAATAGCACCAGAAGTAAGAATGTATGGAAAGTGGGGCCCAGTAAGCATGATCTTATTTAATCTTTACATATGAAGTTTAACTAAAAAAAAACATCAAATTACTTGAAGTATTGACATCTTTTACCAATATATAAAGCAACATTGGATGAGCACTTTATTTCGTGTCATAGAATACCATTTTTGTTTTGTCACGTGAAATTGCAGATTGCTACATCAATTATGTTAAACTTATAAATCTTTAATTCATTATATATTTACCTAAATAATGATTTTTGTAAACAAATATTTAATAAAGTTTTATTCAAGTGAATATACCCCGCGACAACATTTATTGTGAAAGAGCTATTCAAAAACAAGCTGCGTGTGCAGTTGTTCTCACCACACTGTCGTCGAAACATGACTCACGAGTTAGGAATAATGATCACACACACAATGTAAGATCAGCTTCCACACACTCTTTCTAATTACCTCGTACCAAAATCCAAAACTGCTTTAGATATAAAGGAGTATAAATGTGAAATGACTTAACAAGTGAATTGAAAAGCATGCCTTTCCAGCTCTTCAAAGCAATGTTGAGAAAACATTTTTTGTCAAAATATATCTTAAGATTGGATTTCCTCGTGGTATCCATTGTCCCCAACCTACATTTCAAATGGTGTCACAGTCCTAAATGTTATGATTGCATAGATCTGGGTAAAATGAAACCATTTGAAACCTGTGTATTTCAGCTTTAATAAATTGTCTAAATAGTGGCAAAATGGTTCTTAAAAATATTATTTATTTTCATTATTATTGTATAACTTTTTGGACACGTTTAGTGGCCATAACGATCGTTTCAAAATTTTGTTGTTATTGTTATTTTCTTTCGTCATTATCATTAAAAAATCGCTTTTCTCTTCGAATACTGGACCAATTGCTTTGAAATTTTTAGTGGTTAAAGATAAAATTTTTCTCCAGAAGGCTATTACTTTTTTATTCGCTATGACGTCATCAAAATTATTAGCATTGGGTGGCGCTATGTGTCCATATATTTGAGCATAGCCCTCTTGTTTTTCATTATTATTATATGTTGAATTTTCATTACCAGTGTCCTCAAAACAGTCATATTTTGCTCAATCGATATTATGATTGCTCATGTCAGCATTTATACTTATAGACTACTAAGAAATTTATCTTTATTAATTTTCAATCAATATTTACGTTTGAAATCCCAGCCATTTAGTTTTGACATGGCAATATTGGCATTATATATGGCGTGAATCTGCTTAGATGTCAGTGGACTCTAAACGCTTTCTCTTCGATTATATGGGTAACCGGGACATTCTGACATTAGTATCGGTACCGGTACCGTAACTTATATACAGTGATCAAATATCACTATTCCATATCATAAACATTATGTGTGTGAAATCAAATTGATTTATTGTACCTGGTGTTCTTTATCGTGTATTTCATTAGTTCCCAATGTCCAACACTCCACCATTGCAATCATGTGGCTATAGGTACCACCAACCCAGGTCACCTTCAAAAATTCGACGAACTATTATTTCAAGCGGTGTAACGGAAGTGGGAAATACCCTGATAATCGTATGGTCTGATGGCTTTCTAATATAATCTCAAATGTTTATTCATCCCTAAATATATAAGGGATAAATTTTCTATACAGTATAAAAGCTATACTCTCTACAAAACAGTACGGTAACTGAACTTCTCGATCTTTTCAATCAGATATCAGATCCATGGGAGTCTCTGCTCGTGTAACAAATTAACCAATAATTTTGGAAATAATGACATCAAGACTAAAAATAATTCCTAAGTCATAAATATTGGAGAATATTCAAGAACATTCTAAATATGATATTTCAACATAACGTGCAAAATAGCGAATAATTTCTCATGTGATATGTTGAATGATCGTGTTTTACATGAATAATCAGTGTAAGAACGGTCTCGAATAATTGAGAAAATTGTGTATCCCTTTAAATGCGATCTCAAACATTTCAAGCGATCGTCGTCGTCCTTATCGTCTTTATCGCCATCCTTTTCGTCAAATATCAATAATTCTGATGATCGCTACGCTACTGTTATGAATAATAACTTGAAATTGTAAGTTGGTTTATTTGATTTAATTTATTGTAATATATTTATCGAAGGAAATAAAATCTATACAGGCAATTGTTTAGATCCTTGCTGTTATTCAAATTAACAGACGTCTCGACTTGAACAAGTAACAACCGATTATATTCTGTTTGGAGTCAGATTAATATCTAGCTAGTTTAATTAGCCTAATTAGCAACTACAACAGAAGTCGTCTCACTCGATGACCAGTTTTGGTTCCTCGCGTCTTCCCTTCCCCAGTAGAAATGTGTGATTATCTTTTCGTATTTTGTGTGAAACTTACCTTTTTCACTGGTTGGAAAAAATAAACTTGACTTGACTTTAAAAATTGGGTAAACGTTCAGCGACATAGTAATTTCTACCGATTTGGTCAAATATCACATTTTGGACATGTTTCACAGAACTTTTCATTACTGGTGAGAGATTGGCCACACCCAACGGAAAAATGTTTCGGTAACAAAGGAGGAGAAGAGTATTTTAACAGTGTACTGGAAAGTTCAGAATTTGCGACACACGATTTGATGCATCTGAAAGGCTTCATGACGCAAATTTTTAAAACTGTGAATTGCTTTCTCATGCCACATCCGGGCATGGAAACTCAAGGAAAAAGAAACGTGGGAATCGACGGTTTGTAGATTATGACTATATAGCTACTGTAATTTGCACATTGTTACATATTGTTTGTAACTATAACCAATTCAATATTATATTTTGCCAATTTTAATGATTGAATTTTTGCAGATCTATCTGCTCAGTTTACTGACAATCTACAGCCACTTGTCTCCTCAGTGCTTGGACCAAAATTTCTCCAAGGAAAAGTAGTCAGACAGAAGACGCTAACTGGGAGAGAGTTTTTGTCTCATGTCGAGAAATGTGTTAAAGAATTGGCCAAACCTAAAAAAGTAATTTTTTTTTCTTTTATAAGTGTTTTTACAATCACGACTTCTGGAATATTTTGCTGTTGTGTATTTAATATTCATTCTTCTGGGAAATAGACTGCCACATTTAATATGTTTGTTCAAACCGAAGAATATTGACGTCAAAGAGTCACATATCAATATCAGTTCCAATTTATCTCACATATATATGATAAATGTAAAAAAGTGTAACAAAGTAGTATAAGTATATAGAACACTTTGTTATGTAACTGAAGGCTATTTGTCCTAAATAATTTTTTCAAATTAAGTTGAGAGAGGACACTAGCCATCTAGGTATCACTGACCTCTCGATCTCTGTTCGTTGGATCGAAATGCGTTGAAAAACCTCAACGAAAAATGCTTTACACGCGTATATATATTTTTTTTCAAGCCCCAAAGCCTTGTTTTTCTCAAATTGTCGAACATCCAATCCCAAAGAAGGTAATTTAAATTGTTTGATTATTATTAGGTTTTTATATATTTGTAGTGACCATCCTTTAATATGAATCATATTTCCATGAATGCTGTTACCGTTACTCAAAAAAGGAACTGGTACAGAGTTCAAAATATCCAAGAAATGATGGCATCAGTGGCGCCATTGTGTGACATCTTGTAGCCTCACCGGATATATATTTTCTCAAACTTAGTTTTTTATTTTAAAAGTACACAGTTCATCTAATTTAATCGATTTTGTTGCAAGATGACTAGCTTTTGTGTTTTTGCAGAGGAATCCACGGAAGAATATTCAACCGGAACCACAATCAGGCACTTTTGTAGCTTTCATTGTTTATACTATATTCGGTAACATTACTTATACGAATACGAAAAATTATCGTATTCTTACTGGAAACTCTCGTACATATGTGTACTTATATATAATGGTATATCCAATTTTTTATTTAACCATTTTCTCGCTCTATGTCCCACTAGGGACACCCCGAAATTTATTGAACAACGCCAATAACTTTTTCATTTATTTGCTATTTTAGTGTCAAACCATTGCGCTGTAAAAGTAATTGACATCGAAAATGGAAAAGTTATTTTGAAATCCGAGGAATTTGAGAAAATTCTCAATCAACCTGAAATTGGAAACAGACCAATTTCGGTCATTTCAATCGCTGGAACTTTTCGAAGAGGAAAGTCGTTCATTCTCAATTTCCTTCTGAGATACGTTCGCAACAAGGGTGTAAGTGAAAAGGTGTTCTTTTTCTGGGTCTTTCAAATGACCAGATTGACCGTTTTCGGTTTATCGTAATAGTACTGATGCTATGGCCATAGTTGTAAAATGAATGTAAAAATATTTGTCTCTCGTATAGATAAACGCCGTAAATTGGGAAACGTTTTCGTCCAATTCATACTACTGCGCAAAAACTTGTTGCAAATAAGTTTCAAATACCAAACAGTTGATTTTATCACAGTACTTGCGACAAGACGATGAATGGATAGGAGATAAAAGCGACAGAATAGCCGATGGGTTCGAGTGGTGCAGCGGAAGTGAGGCGCACACGCAAGGAATAATGATTTTCAGCGAACCGTTTATTGTAGCTACACCAAACGGAGAGGTTTGTTGTCTGATTTTGAAAATTCCTCTCTCGTCTATCTTCGGTTGAATCGTTCTGAATATGTATTTTAAATTTGATCGCTTTTTTTAACGAAAACCCTTTCTAGTTTCTAATATGTCTACCCATGTGTTTTTGATCATAAGTGTTGCCTATATACATAACACATGATGTATTTTGATCCATCTATGCAAAGATGAATCCAATACAACCTGTATATATCAAGTAAGATTATTTTCCATTCTTTGAGATGGTGCACTTTAACCAAACAGTTGAAATATAGGAAAACGATATTCTCCGATTTTGCTGATACAGGCATCCTTTGAATTTATTTAACCCACATTTTTTATCACACGATATGTTCGATACAGGAATTTACTTTTATAAACAGTGGGGCAACCCACAATCAATTTCTTTATCTCAATTAAAACCAGGTTGCAGTTCTTTTCATGGACACCCAGGGTCTTTTCGATTCCAATACGAGCAAAACTCAAAATTTAATGATATTTGCTTTCAACACCATCATAAGTTCAGTTCAAATTCTCAATTTATCCGGAAACATTAACGAGCACGATTTGGAATTTCTACAGGTTAGTGAGCAAGATGTGCTTTCAACTGTGTTTTGCACTTGTATATTGCAGTCCATACACTCATTTAATTTGTGGACGGTTTAATTGATTATTCAATACCAGTTTAATATATCAAATGCACATTAAAAAACGCAACTAAAAGAATAAACTATCTCTTATTTTCAGTTCTTCACGGAATACGCTCGAAGAATTACCCAAGAGAAGTCGGGCAGACCATTTTTGCAGGTTAAGTGTACCCTCTTTGTTATATAATTACCCGTTTGGACATTACGATGGCTTTGGTGGTACGCAAACAATAAATCCTCAATACCATTGTTCACTGAAGAACCACAGACGATTTAAAGTGCATCTTGTGCTCATACATCTCTTATTGGACACGAAATGCAGCTATAGATTGTTTTATTATGTTGTGATATTCTTTTTTCCTTACGTTTCGCTTTTACTTTAACCACTAAACCAATTGGTTTATAATTTTCACTGGTTATTAAAGGATGTACATTTCACCACGAGGCTAATACTTTCAAAAACTTCTGTTTATTTCAAAACGTTATCGCAATTAAAAATTGCGCACCTTGTGACGGTTCCGCGTTTGCTATAGTTGCGTTCTGGTCGATGTTGGAATATATATGAATAATTTGATACCGGTACTATTTCGTTTTGGTCATAATGTCCATATATTTGAGCATTGATATCATGAATTTTAATACATTAAAGCACTTAAAGCTCGTGTGTATCACAATTTACATGACATACCTAAAGCTCTTCAGGCGGAAAAGCAGTAAATTGACCGTTTTTATTTTATTTTTCGAATATAATGCATTTATTATTTTGTCTCAGCTGGCATTTTGTTGCAAAACATTGCTAATAAGTTGGGCTAACTGATGGAAACGCGAATAGGTATTTTTATGTAAGAGCAGGAGGCACGATTTGTCCACGAAGTCTTCAAATGGGGCCACGGTTTATTAACGTTTGGGAATCACTTAAATATGCTCTTGAATTCGCACACAGATACGTTGATTTTTGTATACTTAATACAAACATTTAAACACACAACTGCATAATGTTTTATACAGGGATTGAAGTTTCTAATACGAGATTGGCCTCATGTAAATGATAACGAGTTCGGAAGCAATGGAGGAAAGGATTATCTGGAAAAGTACATGGAAACAAAAGGAAAGATTGAGGTGGTGCGAAAATATATTTCTTCAGCTTATCGCAATATTAGCTGCTTCCTAATGCCACATCCCGGACTAACATTGGCGCAAGGACTCCCATACGATAAAGCAACCGTGAATGGTAAGATTCTACTCAAAGATATATGATGAAAAATTATAAGCGAAATATGAGTTTCCATATAAATGTTTTAACAATAGCCTGGTCATTTTTTGCTGCCTAAATATATGGATATGTTTTAGGTTATGATTAGGGCTGGGAATGGTTAATCGATTTTAGATGGTTAACGGTTATGATTCATTTTAACCGCTCGTGATTTATTTTAACCGCTTGCAGCAGAGCGATCATGAAACTATCTCGATTGGTGAATAATTTTGAGCTATACCGGGAAAAGATCGCGTTGAATTGCTTTGCAACCATTGTGACGTAACAAGCTGAAATTATTACGTCAAACGTCACGTTAATTACTCGGTTTTAAAGTATTTTCCCTGAAATTCCCAGCCATAGTTATGATACATAAGACTAGGAGAAAGCGAAAACAGGCCATAATTGATTTTTCTGTCACACAGCTGGTAAAACTATATTCTGGGAGTCGCGACTCATGTTTGTAATTGTCAGCCTACTTGTATTTCCTAATATTAGCATTTCTTCGGCAGCACAGGGTACTACAGGATCCATTCTGCATATGATGCTCATCAGACCACATTGTGTTCGCAGCGCTATATTTGTGTTATATGTCACTCCTTGCTTCAAAGCTTTTTTAAGCAATGTCTATTTTATTATATATAGAGATTATTAATTTCAAATTTTGCCTTTCTTCTCATCACAGACATTGATCAAAAATTCGTGCAGCAGTTAACTCCACTTGCTGAATCTATACTGCATCCAGACAATCTGATCGTCAAGCAATTTTCCGACGGAAAACCTATGGATTATCGCGGTTTGTACGCGACAGCGACTAAATGTGTTGACGCTTTCGGAACTATTGATATCGACATTAAAGTTGACGACATATTGGAGGTGCTTATAATTTAGTTATTTGTGAATTTTGAATATACAAGAACTGTAACGCACATGATTAATAAATGCGCCAACCAACGTAGGATAGTGCGGATATCAACGCATAGTAATGCGTTGTGAAAAGATCGTTAAATGTGATTTTCGACATCTTAGAACCAAAATTACAGCGGTTACTATCACATACAAAAAAGAGTAAGATGCTTAAATATATGGACACGAAGACCAAAACGAACAAGTGCGAAATCGGTCACATTAGAATACCGGTACCTTAGTTCTCACGACTAACGCGAACGCGGAACCGTCACAGAGTGCGCAATTGTTGATGACGTCACGGCACACAAAAATCGAATCCAATAAAGCCTCTACTGAATTTTATGAAATAAATAAAAGTAATAGCCTTTTGGCGAAAAATACAATCTTTAACCACAGAAAAGTTCATGGCAATTGTTTCTGCAATTGAAGAGCAAAGCGATTTTTTTATATATACAAAAAGAAGAAAAATACCAACAAGAACAACATAAAATATGATACAAGCGAGCAATGCTGGACAAGAAATGGTACGGGAATGCTATGTGTCCCAGTAGCCTAACGGACGTACCGGTGCCATATCGCAGCTGTCGTATATATCCGACAATACAATCAAATATACCGCTAATTTTGTTAACCAGGTGTAACAACGCGTGTTGGTGGTTTTACACTGACTACATACTACAATTTATGCGATTCACATCTGCATTTACAAATTGGCCATGTTTGATACTTTATTTCCCGCATCCCTTTGTCACATCACGGGAAGAAGTTGAAACCAGGTGTAATGACGTCAATCGGTCGCAAAACAAAATTTTAGTACATCGGCCATACTAGATAAGTTGATAGTTACTTAAATGGCAGCAGTTACTCCAATCGCTTTAAAACTCAAATGAAGCGATTCATTGACTACGCCATGCTTTCCCCCACCTTCGTAACAAGAGAGAGAAAAACTTGTTAAAAAAACCTGACCGAATTTGACTATACCTAGACTTAACCAATGATAAATAATTGTATTCAGGTAATCGCGAGTGCCGAAGACAATGAAATAAGAAGGGCTTGTTTGAATCATTACACCAAGCTGATGAGCCAAGTATGAAGTCATTTTTCTGTTGGTGAAGATAACAAAAGATAGAATATATATATATGTATTATTCTTTATGTTTATAGTACATTGTAGGATGTGGCAGCGAGATTGAAGCAAAGCTGAAGCACAACAAAGCGAAAGCAGACGTAATCAGTAAATTTTACTCCCGTAGTAGAGGCGGCGCGGATGCGAAGCGTGTGCAATCGAGAACTCACGCGGAAAGCGAAATGGACAAAGCCTACACGAGATTTCTTGCAAAACTGGGATACACAATCAAGTATGTAAAATTATTGTGTCGCATGCTTGAATCTTTCTTCTGATTAAATATCTTCTTAAATCAAGATTACAAAGACCCGAGCAAAAATTTATTAATTAAGTCTGAAAAATTTGTGTTTCCGGGACCAGGGCTAATAGGACCCAGATAATTAAGTACTTGTACATGATGAATTTAAAATTATTTCATTGCAAAAGAGTAACCAATCCATTATAGAGTGAAAGAGCTCGCTGAGAATCGAAAACGTTTATTGGTCTATTATCTGTTAAATTGTTAAAGAATAAATTGTTGATATTTTTCTTGGCACGTGGAAAGACAGATGCCAAACATCTACAGACTAGCAATTCATTGTTACAGTTTGTGACATATTTACAACCTTGTGGCATATTCGGCAAAGTATATTCAAACATCGTTGAATATACATATTACATTACTACCAACTACATTTCAGCGCGTTTCGTAAAATGCACTTTGTCAAATACCGTTTGAAATATTTTTTCGAGGCGAAAGGAAAACATGACCTGGTTTCCGGCTATCTTGATGCTATTTCGTCATACAAGAATAAAATGGCAATTGTGAGTCTTATAAATATCATATAAATAGATAATAGCTTAAATACGTATTTTAAATATAAGTTTTATATACTGTGTTTCCCCGAAAATGAGACTGGGTCTTGTTTCAATTTTCTTCCGGAAAATACCACTAGGTCTTATTTTCGGGGAATGTCTTATATTTTCATTTATCAAAAACAAAAATACTAAGTAGAAAATTACGAGAGTTTAATACAAAATATGAAAACTGATATCCACTCACTTTTAAATAACACGTTTTTATTCAAAATAACTGCAGAACATAGAATATCAATCATTCAAAACGTTTAGGAGAGATTTATTGCTATCGACTGGATCAAAAAAAAATTTGCGTTATTGACTAGGTCCTATTTTAAGGGGAGGGCTTATATTGAAATCAATTTTAAGATTCAGGCTAGGTCTTATTTTCAGGGTAAGTCTTATTTTCGGGGGAACACGGTATTACTTTGTTCTTATTGTAACGTGAAATGTTTACAGTATATTCTGTGCATAAGTTTGAAGATTGTGATATATTGAAGCAATAGAAAATAGCTGCAATAATCTAGTATAAAGAATAGCAGACGTTTTCAGTATTCAAATTATTTATTTTAAACAACACGTTTATAACACGCAAAAAACAACACGTCTAAAGACGTTTACGGTTATTGCATAAAACGTCATCGCTTGATTGCCTGACTATCTCAGCTTCTTATGCCCATGTATTTCTGTTTACAATGCAATATTTTTTTAATCTTTATGAAACTAAAAACTTTATTGAACCAGAATTAAATACAGAAAACAGAGGTTAAGGACCTTACTCGTGAACACAAATATTCTTTAACGGCTAAACTTCATCGTTGGGGAGCTCCAGGAAATGTTTTTCAAAGAACTGAAGACTAACCAACACCACTGAACTTAAGTTTAGGAATAGTCATGATGCCGGCGTGTACCGGTATAGAAATACTAGAGTAAATGATCAAGAGTTTCCATTACATAAACAGTTATGTCGAAATCGCATTTTATGTACCGGTATACCTAAGTTCAGAAACAATGAGACTCTGCAAACCACAATGTAAACTATGTTGCTATAAGGCGGCAGATAATCACTAATTTTTAGAAATGGATTACCCTTAATTTTCTCGCGAACACTCTGATTTGGGGCTATTTCGCATTTGAATACGCGGCACCGTTACCCAATAACTTAGGCCTACGGTTATATGATATGCTAGAGCAGGGTTGTCCAACGTCCATATGTGGCCCGCGGAGGCATTTCGAGTGGCCCGCGCTGAATTTTCAAAATTGAATAAAAAAAATTGAGTAAAACTATTTTTCGAGTGATGTAGTATACAAAGATGCAATATATATAAACGATTTGTTTATTTTTTCTGAAATGCGCTCTGCCAGTCCCTCTAAACAAGCCATGAGTGCCATTTTGAATCGAAACCAACTGAGAGGAGATATCGATACATAAATGTGCCATAGTCGCCTGACGAAAGCCCCGACATCAAGTTTACTGCTCAGTTGGCGACTTGCGATCTTCTTGCGGGTAGTTAATGATGATATGAAATTACCGTGGAGCTCGCAGCCATTGTCCCTGTTAAGGGTACGACTAGAGGCATTAGTTTGTTAAGAGCTGTAATCAAGCGTCATGCTTGTCTTTGGCGAAACTTTCGGGATTACCCACAGATGGCATCCCATCTATGGTTGGGAAACAATGATTTTATAGTTCTAATGTTGTGAGGGTATTTTTTGTTTTTTCATTAACGTGTAGTTCGTGTAGCAAAACTAGAACATAACTACCATGTTAAGTGGCCCGCGCAATAATTAGTGAACCACGTGTGGGTCGTCAACCTACGGCCCGCGGGCCAGGGAGTAAAATAATCCGGCCCGCCACGCTTCACTGAATTATAGCGACAAAATCGGCGGTTCCGACAATGAATTAATTTTATAATTTACGCTCGAGGAGTAAAATATATATTCGTTACGTAACAGAATTTATCGTGAGACACGATTTGACTAAATTATAACCTAACGATTTACGATCCTACAATTTAATTATAATTAGACAAATGGCAACACGCGGTGCAGATTTCAATAGCGCAGAAAAGCTCCTTGATTTGAAATGCAATGAATAAATAAATTTCTTATACTATTCGAGAGATGCATCAATGCTTGATTTTTATAAAAATGTATCTTATTAAAGATTATTGACTAATTATAACCTAACGTTTAATGATCCTTCAATTTAATTATAATTAGACAAATGGCAACACGCGGTGCAAATTTCAATAGCGCAGAAAAGCTACTTGATTTGCGATGCAATGAGGAAATAAATTTCTTATTTTATTCGAGAGATGCATCAATGCTTGATTTTTATAAAAATGTATCTTATTAATTGAAGAAAATTTCTCCCAAAATTTGACAATCCATGCAAAAAAATTCACTTGATGTTGGAAGTACATATATGAGTGCAAACAATTATTTTCGAAAATCAACATTACAAAGAACAAACAAAGAACTAGGATCGGTGATGCCCATTTAGAAAATGATCCAACCTTGACTTCATTCAGTGTGCCGTCGAAAAGCTATCAAGCGTGATGTAGCAACAAGACAGTGTCACATTAAATGTCATTTGTTATTTTTTTCTTTTAATATGACGACTGAGTTGAGTTCACGAATTGTCGCAGTAAAGACAATAAAATTCACAATATTTCTCATAATTCAGCTTGAAGATAAACCAGTACCGCCAACTGAATTCGATACTTTTCACGAAACGTGTTGGGAAGAGGCAATGGGCAGTATGGAAAAATATGGCAACTTCTATTCGGATCTATCATCTGAAGATATGAAAAAAGAGAAAGCTCGTTCCTACGAAATCTACAAAGAACAAAATTGTAATAGATATGAAGCGACTATTGAGAGAGTGAGTTTGACTGTTTCCGTAATCCCTGTGAACTATAGACTCTGGAAGAGATCAGTGGTGGGATTCAGCCGGTTCGCACCGGGTCTATAGAACCGTCTCACGGAATTCAAATCCCACCACTGGAAGAGATCTAATCCATATGTTCATGTCGATTCGATGTTGTAATAAAATCGAACGGAAATCAGTATTTGACATCCGATTCAATTTTCCTGAATCCTCACTTGGAGCACTCATGAATTTATATCCGGCTATACTCCAGCGTAAGATTCCTTTCCATTCGAATAGCGTAAATCTCTGAATTATATTTCGAGTAGGAGATGGGTGGCTTTGTATAGGCGTGGGTAGGTTTGCCTTGGTGAAGGCCATTCAAAACAAACTCATTAAATATGTCTGTATTATGAAGTGATTTGGAGTAATTTTGTTTGGCGAATGAAATTTTATTCGTTTGATTGCGCAACAACAATCCTCACATTAGCAACATTACGATTTATTTTGTACAGCTTGAAATGCCAGGAAAACTATATGGAAATGTGGTCGCCAGCATAGCACAAATGAAGTCGAAGAGGAGGTACATTTACTAAAACTCACAATTACGAGCGATAACACAAACGTTTTTAATTCTACTTGGTCGATTTTATTTTTAAATTTTGCTGTTTAAAAAAAATATTTTTTAAAATTTTTTCTTGCTTTTTAATTACGTTAATTGCTAGAAAAAAGAAAATTTATTCATTGGATACGTGAGCATTGGATATATCAACCAGTAGGCCTACTCAAATATTTTGTGAGGACAGCACGAGAACCAGAACGAGACTAATTAAGTAGGCTACTTATACAGGGTGTTCCAAAGTAAGTACACACGTTTAATTTTGATTTGTATATCAAGTACTCATCATAGGGCGTTCATTTCTTCAGAAACCATAGTATGTATACGTAGTAAAATTTAGGTATTGTTTGCATTTTTCATCAACCCACAGAATGACAAGAAGATCTATGATAAGTACCTGAAACGCAAATCAAAATTAAAAGTGTATACTTACTTTTGAGACACCCTGTATATATCATTCAAATATATTTCCAGAGTGAGGATCAAGATTTATTTGCTACAAATAAACAGAGTCGTCGATCAGTACGAAAAAAAAGTCAACGAGGTATATTCTTGATCGTTAATGTTACCTGTAATAAATATATATTGCATATTGTGAGTGAAGTGCCTACCGTGAGGCCTTGAACTAATACAATTCGTTGTTTATGTTTTTACTTACATCTACTGTTTTATTCGTAAAAATAATTTTGTATTTATAGATACAAGAGGGTGGGAGAGTAGGGAACAATTTGTTCCGCGAAAAAAGAGGTTCGCTTTTACAGATCAGCCGTTCGGAATTCAACAGTAGCCACAGAAAAGGGAACTTTCGTCATTACATAAACATTGTTGGAAAAAGCTGTGCAAAAAGTGGAATCTGTCCGAATTGCGCCAAGCAAAGGGGTAAGCAATGTTATTTTTCTTTGAATTCATACCGTCAGAAAGAAAAACCCTCTGTGCAAAGACCACATAGCAATAGTAAGCTTATAGGGTTCGGAAGATCCGGTAAAAAAACTTAGTTTGACAAGAGACACGATTTGGATTCGCCAAGAGTCAAATCAGCGTCTTTATGTTTTGGTGCCAGGCAAAAGCTTAAGTAAAATAAAGTAACGGCAATGAAATAAAATACCAGAGAAACATAATCTGATGAATTACAATTAGATGAACTGAACTTGCTGAAAAGAAGCTAATCAGTGGAATTTTAAAAAACAAAACGTGCATGGAAAACCACAGATTTGCTCATTTAATTTTTAAACTCGGAGTCTTGTCAGGTTTATATAATTTTTCTGACTGATTATTCTTTAATATTTCTTATTCTTTTGAACTTTATATTTCAGCGTCTTCTAAACATGAAACTGAAAAATTATGTTGCTGATTTTAGTGGACAGTTTGATCGAGAAATGAAGCAGGTAGGTGGTCTATATCAGGCCCACTCAACTGGCGGACCACGGTCCGAATCCGGACCTTCCAAGTATTCGATTCGGAGCGCGTCTAATTTTTATTTTATTTTAGAGGATTATTCCATTTAACTTTGGATATGTAAAAAGATGTGGAATATTTTGCGGTTACTCAGTTTTTTACAACTCGCGTTTCCTTAACTTTTTAACCAAAAAGATAGAGTCACTAAATATAGTTAGGCGCAGAATGAAACACATTTTCTGGCCAGACCAGACCGCAGGAATTTTTAAGTTTTGTATACGGACCTTTAGCAAAAAATAGTTAAGTAGCCCTGGTCTATATGTTGATGATACATCAAAATGTTTCATTTAGATTTTATGAAATTAAATTTATTTTGAAGGTTTCTTTTATTTAACGGCACCTGGCAGGGTTCCCCTGCAGAGATCCATGTTTTTGTCGAATGTTGCAATCCATGTCACTTTGTCCATATTCTATCTCAATTAAAGAAAGATAAGCAAAAAACACAGCACTTTTTTCTACTTTCTTTTTTGGATCTCCGATTCTTGTTATCAATCAGTCGTTCTGTCTGCCTATCTAGCTGTAGCGCCCAAATTGCTAGACAGATCTAAATCTCACGTGGGTTATCCCGTCGTCCCAGTGTTGTGCGTTTCACCGAAGGTCCGGATTCATGTTGCGTTTCCATGACAGCAGCAAAAAAACGCGCCAATATTCGAAAAATTCACAATTTTCTCACAATTCATCGCCATTTTCTCGTCAATCAACTTCCAAATTGAAATTCCACGAAAACGCGGGATCAATATTACCGGAATGAATTTCAGTTAAATCCATGGAACCACTCTGGTGGGACAGATCATCTTCTGTAAGAATATTGCGCATCGTGCGCTTATACAATAAAAACAACAACTATGATATATTAGGATAGGATGATACAAAATGTCCTAATTTCAATGCAGGGATGATTCTTTTTTGACAAATTTAGGTACTCAAGTCGATGTATCTGAAATCAAATAACAGACTAATTAATCCCATACCCGACATGGACTGGTAATCGGTAGTGGTACACTGGTAGTGACTTGGTTTCATAATGTTGAAATTCGATTTTTTCAGATTAATGGTCTTTTCATCGGACCCGTAGCTTTGAACGCTATGGTGCAAAAGGCAAAATCAAAATTGACTGAAAAATTCAACGAAAGAACGAAAGACGATGAACCACGAAATATTGTGGAGCGACATCGTATCGACTTAATTCGTAGTTTGGACTCAAAATGGGAGTTACTAAGAAAGGAAAACGAAAGAAATCGCGTATGTGACATTCTATAGAGCAGGGGTGTGCAATCTTTTTCGCAGGCGGGCCAGAATAAACTGGGTAAAATCGCGGGCCGCACCTCCATTTAACATGGGCTTTCTATTAGTTGCAGACACAAAATAGTGTATTTTTGTTAATATGACCTTATGTCATTAGGGGTCCTTGCGGAAATGATGAGTCAAAACGTATAAATTTATGAAAACTTTTGCTCAAATTTATTTTCACACCGAATTTAAACGAATTCAAGAAAATATTTGCTGCTGGATTCTTTCCTCGACTACTTCCATCCAAATTTGCTTCAATGGAAGTGCTAGCAATTCGATATCCATTTTCAAGTCTTCGTCTTTCAGGCCCGCGGACCGCACTTTGCACACCCCTGCTATAGAGTATCCATACATTTGAAAGTAATTCTGATCGCTATCTTGTGAGATGGATATAAAACTTCAATGTCCTCGTGAAAGAACATGATTGAATTACTGCGTAATACTATATCATATTTAGTTTAACATATAAATGAACCGATAACTAACATCTCAAAGAGATGAGCGAGTTCGATATAAAAAACAAGCCTGTGATACACATTTAATTTGATCTTGAATAACACTATTTAAATTTTTATGATACAAATGTTTTTTCTTCTTGCAGGTTCATTACGAACTGTCAAAAACCGAACTGGAAATGAAATTGATTAAACAATACCACTCTAGCATGGATCAGGTGAGCAATTTCTATCGTTGTATATTATTCAGTCAATACTAGAGTGACTCAAAACTTAGAACCTGTCGAAAATCAATGTTGCAGATAATTTCCTATTCAAAATATTTGGCGCTCCAGAAGTGTGTGTACCAACATGAATGTAACTAATTTTTTCGTCTATTTTACATCATGTTGTGTAAAGGGACTGAAACCTAAGGACAGGAAGTATATTCACTTGGCTAACACAAACAGTCTCCAAACTCGTAATATAACTAAAATAAGAAAACCGGAATAAAATTATGACTTAACCCTGACCTGGTACACATACTACGGGAGTACAAAATATTAAATATATATATAAAGTAAACAATAATATAAAATAATATTATCGTCAAATTAAGTTTTTACAGAGCGGATATATTGTGGAAAAGAAATTGAAAAAATATCACGAAGATTTACGTCAAATTTTAATGCAAGAGGCTGAAAACGAAGAAATACCGCTTTACATCGCAGATGGTGGCAATAAAAATAGTTACGTCTCATACCAACAGTTCATAGGTTCCTTGCAAGCAAAGTTAAATGGTCTTTATGAAGAGAAAAAATCGTGGAACAAAAAAAACCATGGAATGATTGTTAGAGCTCTCGTTAATTTTGTTGGTTAGACAAAACTAAAAAAATTCATAAACTGTGACGCTGTTACTCGTATATGTTTCTAAAAAAATTGCCTAGTTGTGAATTCTGTAGTTTCCATGTTTTACATTCAACTCATAATACGTAGAAATGAGATGATATTGCAAAAAGTAGTGTGAAAAAAACATACAGTAATTCTTGAATCGACTGAACAGCATATTTGTCAAGTGTAACGCAATAAGCAGTGGGTAATGTAACGATCCAAAATGGCTCAAGCATTCCAGGGGAAGCACATATTCAGTTGCATAATTGATATGCACGAGTCGACTTGACGAAAGGGTTTTCAAAACAAGTCGTTGAAATTGCACTTTTATGCAAATCAATTCGGTGTTGGGGATATCAGGTTGGGTTAAGGAGTATGATTGGTCAGGGAGATTTTAGGTGTTTTTTAATACGCGGAATTGAAAGTAGATTTATTAGATTGGTTCAATCGCATTTATACTATGCAACAATCACGCGACCAAAGCATATTGCTAGAGCTAGATCGAGGCTGCAGGAATGTATGTCTGAAATATCAATTCAATTCGAATGAGCAGTCCAAACATTATTTAAAATCTCCACGTGTCTATCCCACATTCCGGTGGAAGAAGCTGCGGAACATATTCAACTTGAAATCATCGATCTAGGCAACTACAAATTTGAGGTGATCGTTCCTGAAAGATAGAAAATTTCTACAAAAGTTTCTCAGGCAGATGGCAATGCATGTAGAGACGGCGATAACCTAATTGTATGAATCTTTTCTCTCACTCATTTTGCGCGGTATAAAAAATGCAAATCGTTATTCAGTTGTACAAGAATCAGCAGTATTTCCTGGCTTTGTCACTGAGCTCAAGGATATTTTTCAAGCGATATCCAAAACCGTGACAATGGCAAGACTTAATGCGACTTCAACATGTTATCGCAGGAAGCTCTATTGTTGTCTGGCGAGTTAGAACAAGCCCAGGCTTTCGCTTTGTCTAACAACAAACTTTACTGAAAATCCTATGTTTAAACTTGATGTCAGTACTTAAACTTTAGAGGTCGGCAAATTTTATCAAGGGCATCGCCGGCTAGATAAGAGCAAACATGGCTTAGTTGGATATCCAAATAATCAAAATTGACAGAAGTAAAACGTTGCATATATTAACTTCAAATTTGCTTTTTTTCACCTATGTTTTAAAAAAAAACAATGAATCTTTCATAAATGACAATTTGAAGGGATTTCGGAAATCAAAACAAAGACATCAAAACATCGTGCTCACATATCTGCGTATAAGAATAAAGTTTTGGAGGTGGTTTTACCTCGTTATCGTGGCTGACGCGAGCATTCTTGTTTGAACAATTCCTAATAAATTTCAACAAGATTTCCTTGAAAGGGTATATACAGTTATTTATTACAGGTATTTGAAAGCAAGCGATTCCTTAATTTGCGATTCCGATTCTCGAATCTCGATTCTTCGACATGTCTTACCGAATAAACCCACCTAAGCAATACCATATGAAATCCAACAAGAGCACGATGTTCAAATTCTGGACGGACAAGAAGGCCGAAACTAAGTAGTATGGGTATCCAATCTGTCACAGAAGACAAAATCGCACAAAAAATGCTTCAGAACCCACAGAGATTTTCAAAATAAATAAACGTTAAAGCTTCCCAGCGAAATATATATATATCATATACAGTGAAGTTTGCGGCGTCGTAGCAACTCAACTTATCAGTGAAGCAGTTTATATATATTTCAGTATGTACAGTATATATGTGAAGGAATTGCTACAAAACGTTACACATTGTTTGCAATCAAAGTTTTAAAACTCGAGAATCGATTCCAGTGCATCGGAATCGATTTTAGTCGATTCCGCGAAGAATCGATTCTGTAATCGAATCCGGACTCGATTCCGCCATCCCTAGTCATAAGTTGGACATCGTTTCAATTTCGAAAGATACTTAAGGCGCTCAATACATTTCAGAAATCTTCTTCAAATATTTGAACCTTCAATTCTTTTTTATGATCGTAAAATTTTATATGTTATTGCACTGGATCCGGAAATTTTCAAACCATATTTGAGTATATATTTATCTTTTTAATTTGTTGTTATGCTCGTAAATACATCAACGATGCTAGAGAAAGATAGTTTGGCATGGTAACCCCTATGACAAGATTTTTTTGCAAGTCTTTTGCCTTTGCAACTTTTGGATTGGACTATTTCGTCTGGTCATTGCAGCTAATGCCCATTGAAACCGTATTTGAGAGATTTCAAAGAAGGATATATCATGATCAAACCCTTAATTTAGTTTAGTGTTTGTACAAAAAAACTCAGTCATACCATGAAGGTAGTTCAAATATTTGGAAACGTTGGAAATTTACATACTTCACCAGTGAATACAAAAGTCAATATTAGTCTTTGGATGCTTTCCATACCCGGACTAGCGATGTCAATAGATTAAAAAAAATACCAAACGTCCCTATACATTACATTTGTGATAAAAATGCTAGGATGTCTCTAGGGCTAGGCCTTCCATCTTACTAATTTCTGCTCCATGTCAATGTATATATATATCTGGTGCACTAAAATAAATGTTTTTCAGATGAAATATTCAAATTTATACCCAAAATGTACGTGACATATGGCCATATGCGAGAATACAAGTACTAGTGTTATTACCCAATTTAAATCTAGATTTGCTTAAATATTTGGATCTTTTGTAGAAAGCTCCTGCCACAATTGAAAGAAATGTGAGATTTGAGAAAAACACGTTTTAATTACTGCACTCGCGACGTTTCAAGTAATTGCGCGTTTACTAACCTTAACTTCGCTGAATTCAGTGCTGAACTCCATCAATAAATAAAAATTGGTGACTGGATAATTAATTTTTCATTTTGAGAGGTGGCGGGGTTCTACAAAAGATACAAATATATTCTTTTCAGGGTATTCTGAGAGCATCAAACCACCTTTCAATGGCATTTGCACCCATCGACAATTGGACCAAATTATTTAGCACCCTCATACAGATTGTACCCATGAACATTTGCGCACTTAGACATTGCAGCAATGGCAATATGTATCCACGGACATTTGCACCCACGTAAATTTGCAAATTTCTCAAAGCACAATAAATGAATGGTTCAAATATCTTGCTTACCTTACACAAATTTTTATTCCGTAGCTCGCCTGGCGATTAGGATTTTGTTTTTTTATCAATTCTAAATAAAAATCGTGTTTTAAAACAAATGCTTGTTTTGAATCAATTTTTTTCTGTATTTCTTACTAAAAATACCCTTGCATGGCCGCGAAACTACGCCAAAACGTTGCATTCTGGCAGCTGCACACGCAGCCGGAATCATAATTTTAGAAATGTAAGTAAAAATTGTTATTTTGACTTTTACTTCTATTGCGTACATTTATCGCCACGTTTGTATCTCCATCAAAGTCATAAGATTTTAACCGAAATGTTTATCCGAGTTATCAGAAAGACGTTTGAGTAAGAAAAATCATGAAACTTAGCTCGCGAGCCTACTACAAAAGCAATTAGATCAAGGGCAGCCTTCGGCAAAACGAGTGGGTTGCGATAATGAAGAATATGCTTACATCAGCGACAATCTACTGATATAGACGATGAGACACCCTAACCCAGTCTATGCTAATTGTAAGGGTCCTCTAAGTCTAAATGCAAAGACGCCACTACTAGTCTGTTATGACGCATGATATGGATTTCGGATTCATGTATTGGCATTTTTCTCATAAAATGAAGGCATTATTACGGTTAATATTATCCGGTTACTTTATGCTTAGCATACTTTGTTTTTGAGGTTGAAGTGATAGAGTTTTACAAACTTTTCAAGGTTATACAAACTCATTTATTCGATCGCATTTCAATTTTTCAAGTGGTTTCGTCGTAGCAAAGTCTTTAACGTAATGGCTTATCAGTTGCGTCTTACTGCGCAAACCACTGAACTACAGCTTGAGAAGGTGTGTATGAGCCTCTAACAATATTTATTTATAAATTTAAACTGCCGTACAAGGAATAAGTTATTGTTGTTCTCAATCCACTGTACAGTTTAAATGCGGTTTGTTGAATGATATTGAATTTTCGAATCAAGAGTTTGGGATCAGATAACCCTGTTTACCTAATATGGCACCGAGCACGACTTGACCTTCATATTCTCGCCAAACTATTCTGTTGCACGAAGGGTGGTGCGGGTGTTGTCAATCAACCTATATATGAGATAAACCGATCGCAAATATCAAACGAACCAGCTCGAGGTAGGTTGCTAACGAAGAAGGGCGCTTTTTAGTTTTGTTCTTATAGATTGTGAAAGTGGAGCAAACGATATTCAACGACGATAAAAAATGGAGGTATACGAGTTCGGGTAGTTAGCGACTGCTACCGTTAAACCTGTTGAGTATCAATATGGAAATTCATAACTAGCTATTTTGCTTGAAATTGTCATTATTTTTTTGTCGTTCCGTTACTAAAGTACATCGAATTTTAATTTCCAGATCTTCTGATTAAATTGTTGAAAAATAAAGCCATGGCTAGCGTTGTGCAGATTGTCAAAGTCGAAAAGGGAAAAGTGGTTTTGGATTCGAAATCCCTCAAAAAGATCTTGAAAGATGCAAATGTCGGAGATAAACCTGTTGCAATCGTATCTTTGTGTGGCGACTATGGTAAAGGAAAATCATTTATGTCGAAGTTATTTTTACAGTATTTGGGTTACTCCAAGGTGAGTGCGTGTATTTTTATCAACGACCTAACTTTCTTTATAGTTGTGCTATGTCTAAACAGAGTTTTTGTGAGTTCCGAGAACGGCCCTTCTTTCGAACGTTAAACTACATGTACGTTGGAGCGACAAAGAGAATAAGTCTTCTTCGAAATTATTCTCACGGCGTTGTCATAATTAGAAGAAAAAAATTTAAAGTGCTAAATTATAGAACGAATTGGGATGCCTTTATACAGTTTTATTGCGCCTAAGCCTATCTAATGTATAGGAAGTGAACTATATTTACAGTATATCAAATTTCTTGCTTTAACCCTTATCGTCCTCGATCCTAATGCAAAAAATGCTGTTGCAGGGTCACAGAGTCAGCGAAGAAGCCACTGATTGGTTGGACGACAAGATTGGAGAAGATTCCATACAAACGGATGAGCCTGGAATATTTCTGTATCGAAATGTTCATATTGTGAATAATGTAAGAACATAGTAATATTGAAAATTGATTTATGAATTGTAATCCATGAATAAATAGCGCCAAAAACATGGGCCATGGCATAAGAATGCCATGCCATTGATATTTTGAATAATAGACTTCAATAACGTCGAAATTCTTGCGTCGAAAAAACTTTAAACGGGAAATCTTTACTTGAAGTTTGTACCGGGATCTGTTAGAACTGCCAACATCATAGCTATTTCTCTGAAAATCGATCATTTCGATAGATCACCACATCTGCCAGTGCTATAAGAAGAGCTGTTTGAAATGATGCTGGAATAGAATAGAACTCTGTTCGTAGATATTAACCGTTCCATGGAAACGTATTCATAAATTGTTTTCATCTGCACCAAGCTTTACACATGTTTCGTAGTTTTCCAAAGTTCGCCTGATTTTTCCAATCCCCTGATTTTTTACAGACTGCTGTATTGATGATGCAAGTACAAGGAGCATTTTCAGCAACGCGACAAATATGTGTCGACATCTTTGCTCTTGCTTCATTGATAAGCTCTGTTCAGATTCTGAATTTACATTCTCAAATGCTGGGAAATGATGTTGAATTTGTAAAGGTAAATATATCGACACAAAAATTAATTTCTTTGTTTAAAATTGTGTGAATTTGCATTATTTCATTATACACTGCAGGGGTGGCCAACACGTCGATCGCGATCGACCGATCGATCGCCACGTCTCGAGTAGTCAATTGCGTCTGATGTTGAGTGAATTTTAGTGAAATATCCACCCAAAATTGCCTCAAACCAGTTGTGTGTTTTACAGCGGGAAGAATACAGTACTTTAAATGCGCAAAATACAATTTACACATACAGTATTTGAGTCTGGTCAAGCCCAATAGATAGGCTTACCATACGTCCCGCCGTCCCAACAAGTCAGCCAAGAAGCCCGCTTTTGCCATCAGCCATTCAGCATAACACACGAACATGTTCTCGTTACTGTTGTTGCTGTGTAGCGCAACGCTAGCGTACTTACTGAAGGTGAATGCGTCATTTTGTTTGTTTCGTTATTTCCCGCTAACATTGTTAGCGAACGTATCACATGTAAAATCAACTTTAATTGGTCCTGTTCGGACGTCCGAGTAATGTAACAGTGAACAACGTTTTTTTAAAGGTGGTATCTACAGAAAAGCATGCTTGGGCGAATAAGTAAATTCTCAATGCCTGAAAACGGCAGACTATTTCATTATTCTTTATTCCTTCTGCTGTACATAAATAAAATCTAAATTCGGATCATTTGTATCGTTAGCGGCTATTCCTTTCTGTTTTTCGAATTGAACTCGATATTTAGACATAGAATATGCGCATGAACTCTCGATGACACTATGATCAACAAAGACAGCCGGGATGGCTTAAATGTAGGCCTATGTAGTAAAATCGGAAACTGTAAAGTTGCAGGAGGCGTCCCGCTTTGAAGTCAAAAAAATATGGTAATCCTACCAATAAAGCATATTAACAAATGCAAGTCTTTCCGCTGCCAAGGTTTAAAAATGAAGTGCCAAATATCGCGTGTCTAGAGTCTAGACTGACAAACGATGTTACAACAACTTCTGCAGTATTAAGTTATTGTCTTACTCCAAGAGTAGTGCGATGAATTTTATTCGCAATAGTGCCAGTGGCATCAAAATGCCCAATTTGTTCTAATTCTAAGCAAGCGAATAATCGCATTTGGAGTATATTGTAACCGCTAGTATTGCAGTATAATTCAGAGGTGGCCAACCTGCTTTCGACCGCGATCTATTTTAAAGATTCAGTCGATCGCGGTTGATAGCAGGTTGGCCACCCCTGAATTATACTGCAATACTAGCGGTTGATGTGGTGTGTTTGAAATTGTTACCAAATTATCTGCCAAACGTGATAATGAAATTTAACTTTATTATAGTTACAGCAACACACAGGCAACGTATAACAGATTTTAATGCAATATGGTCTCCATTTGAAGCTGTTTTAATATATATATAATGTGTCCATAAAGTGAAAAAACAATTTCTGATTAAAAACAGCAAACCCGGTTTAGATATATAAGTGTATGACATTGGTAGGTCGTTCCACAATTAGAAATGAACACACACGTATATAGGTTAATGGGGCACATGGATTGCTTTATGATTGAGGCTGATATGCAAAATAGCTAACACAGAATGTGAGATTATCAGACAAATGTTTAAACAAACGTAAAATTCAAATTGAAGTAAAATGAACGTATTCTAATCCTACTACCAGGTTAAAGCAAATTTATTTACATAATAAATAGGTTGCCAAAAACAAATATTTTAAGGCAAGCAATTCGTAAAATTATTTTCATACTTTGTCTGCATTTTGAAATCCCCTACCACTCAAATGTTTTCATTGTAAAATATTTTAATATTGACTCATTAGCAATATCCTACCTTATATGTGCAATAGATCAAGCAAGACAAGACTGTGTGTATGTTTAAACTTGGTGTTTGAACTAAAACGATAGGCGGTAATTTTTCTCATGAGACGCTGCCGTCTGGATAGGAACAAACATAGATTTTTATTTAGAATGTCAATGACTGATTACAGTGAAATGGTGCGAATGTGGAGATACGAAATCGTTTTATCTCTCGTATATTGCATATCCATCTAGATGCCACGCCTACAAATATAAATTACCTTGACATTATTGAAGTAAATTATAAATGTGAATTTGAATTGTTTTTGAAGATGAAAAACGTGTATAAATATTGTACTCGTACGTAACATCTACAAAAGAACAGAGTTTTGAAGGTCAATTTTTTACCCAATGACTAGAACTTCTATTTTGAGCAAGTTAATTTTTTTTTGTTTCAGGAATTTGTTGAAAGAGCAAGGCCAATAGCACCAGACCTGCAAATGTTTGAAAACTGGGGCCCAGTAAGCATTATATTTTCTAATCTCTACATATAAATAAAGTTTACAGTCGATAAGACTTTTTTTCTTCTACTCAAAATATAGGAGTGTTTGGCGAAAGTATCATAGAATGCCTTTAGCGAGAATGGATATTTGGAGAAGCCTCCTGTTTGATATCTTTACTTTGGAAAACCGCAAAAAGCTTTTTTCGCAAAGCTACTGGATTCCAATAGAACCCGATTTCCATTATGATGGATTGCAGAATGCTCACCTATAGTCCCGAACATAAAAATATACTTGCATGCCATATAAACATGGTCAATATTCACTAGGTCGCGCAGACATTAGGGCAATATGTTTCTACCTTTATAATATGTTCGTGGGAAAATCAAATTACAAGTATATATTGACATTTTTACCAATATACAAAGCAGCAGTGTTATGTTGAACTCAATTCAACATATACATTTACCGAAGTAAGGATATTTGTAAATAATATATGTATATATATATATATATATATAATGGAATTTTGGTCAAGTAAATGTAGCCTGAGAGAAATGATCGAAAAATGATAAATGACTGACGAATTGAACAGCATGCCCATTTTATGAATTACCGGTATGCAGGTCTACACGTTCAATGATTCCTTTATGTCTACCAATCTGGTCGAATATCACATTTAAACTTGTTTCACAGAACTTTTTGTTCCTGGTGAGAGATTGGCAACACCCAATGGAGAAAAGTTTTGGTAGAAAGGGAGGAAACGAATATCTTAACAGTGTATTGAAAAATATAAAGTTTAATAAAGATGAATGGAAAGATTTCAAATGGTACATGGAGCAACTTTTCAAAACTGTGAATTGCTTTCTTATGCCACATCCGGGCATGGGAACTCAAGGAAAAAGAAACGTGGAAACCGACGGTTTGTAAATTATGATGATATAGCTACTGTAATTTGCACATTTGTAACTATAACCAATTCGATAATAAAGTTTTCAATTTTTATGCTCAAATTTTTGTAGATCTATCTGCTCAGTTCAGGGACAATCTGCAGTCACTCGTCTCCTCGGCGCTTGGACCAAAATTTCTTCAAGCTATTGTAGTCCGACAGGATACACTATCTGAGGAAAAGTTTTTTTCTCATGTTGAAAAATGTGTTAAAGAATTGTCCAAACCGAAAAAAGTAAGTTTTTTTCTGTACTTCAGTATTGTTACAATCACGATGTCTGGAATATTTTGCTGTTGTGTATTTTATGTTCATCCCGTTGAGAAATAGATCGCCTCATTTAAGACGAATTTTGAAGTTGAAATAAAAAAAATTCATACCAAGTATCATATCAATATCAGTCCAAATTTTCATCACACATGATAAATGATAAAAAGTCTAACGGCTGGGGTATATAAAACACTTGGTACATACGTTGTGACTGAAGGCTTTTTGTCCCGAATTAAAAGAGCACAGTAGCTGTATATGTATATCACTGTCCTGTTGCCTAGATTTTCGTTCGTTTGGTCGAAAAGAGGTGGAAAAACTCTACGAAAAATGATTTACACACATATATATTTGTTTCAGGCACCGAAGACTGATGTTGTGAAAATAATTACGGTAAGTGGTGATGACGTAACTGACGTAATTTTGTGACATCATGTAATCCTTGGGATAAATGTTTCTTCTGACAATATTTAAATTTAAAAGTAATAATTAAATCCAATATACTGGGTTTGTTGCAAGATGACTAACTTTTGTTTTTGCAGGGGAACCTAAGAAAGGATATTCAACCAAAACCACAATCAGGTACTTTTGTAGCTTTCATTGTTTATATTATTTGGTGTTAAATGAACATAAACAATATTTCGAAAAATTATAATGTTTTTACCAAAACCTCTCATACATATGTGTACTCATATATAATATTATATCCAATTTTGTATTCAACTTTTCTCTCATTTTATCCCAACACCAGGGTTGGGCAAGGTTTTTGGACCAAAAAATTTTGCCCACTTAGACTGACAGGCTATGTGAGTGTGATGTGAGAAGTTACATAATATAAACAATATTATCAGTATCACGAGAATAAAAGTGGGAAACAATAGGCTTCGTGCCAAAACTAAATTCAATCGCAATCTTAACAAATTTCTTGAGATATTTTTTAGCTAAAACATCCAGATTTGGTTTTAGTTTGGTTGTGGCAGAATCAGGCGGGTTAGATTGAATTACCCAATGGGCCGGTTTTGGCCCGCGGGTCGTAGTTTGCCCATGTCATAACTAGTGACACCCCGAAATAAATCAAACTTTCTCGATAATTTTATATTCGATCCGTTCGCAATTTTAGTGTCAAAACATTGCGCTGTGAAAGTAATTGACATTGAAGACGGAAAAGTTATTCTGAATTCCGAAGAATTTGAGAAAGTTCTCAATCAACCTGAGATTGGAAATAGACCAATTGCTGTCATTTCAATTGCTGGAACTTTTCGGAGAGGAAAGTCATTCATTCTCAATTTTCTTCTGAGATACGTTCGCAATAAGGGTGTAAGTAATAGAGAGATTTCTCTTATGGGTTATTGATGAGATGGCCATAGTTGTAAAATCAATGTCAAATCTTCGTCTCTCATATAGGTAAAGACCATACATTTTCCAAAATCAATTCCATTTTCGAATTAACATTTTCCAAATTGCGTTCATTCAAAAAAATGAAACAAAAAAAATTACGTTTAAATACTGTTTATTTGGCGTCATCTGCTGCTGTATACAGCAATTTGGGTGTCGCTGACACGTTAACTTCATAGTTTATTCGCGGCTCCTAGTCTATTGCAGCCGATTTATTGTACGTACGTCTGTTATTTTTTTTTCTCTCAATTGATTCATTTTCTCTGTTTCTTTGTTCAGTATTTCACGCACAACGGAAATAAATATCTTAATCCATAAATTTGAAAACGGGTTCGTCCCATCACTGCTCTGCACGAGAATGAGCAATCTCAATTTATACTATTGCGCACAATTTTATTGCAAATAAATTCCCTGATTTTCAAAATACTAAACAGTCAATTCTATACAGTACTTGCGAAAAGACGATGAATGGATAGGAAATAAAAGTGACAGAATAGCCGATGGGTTCGAGTGGTGCAGCGGAAGTGCGGCGCACACGCAAGGAATAATGATTTTTAGCGAACCATTTATTGTAGCTACACCAAAAGGAGAGGTTCGTTGATTGATTTTGAAAATTCCTTTCTATTTTATCTCCGATTGAATCGATCTGAATATGTCTTCAAATATGATTGCTCTTGGTTTTTCGAATGAAAAACCTTTGTAGTTTCTAATATGCCAACCCAACCCATGTGTTTTTGATCATAAGTGTTGTCTATCACTTTATGTATTTTGATGCATCATGCAAAAATGAATCCAATACAACATAAATATAACAATTTTTTTCGTTCTGTGAGATGGTGCACTCCAAACAACTTTGAACAAACAGTGATTGAAATGTAGGAATACGATAAGCTTCAATTTTGCTGAAACCGGCATATATATATACTTTAGATTTATTTAACTTATACTTTTTATCACACTGTATGTTTGAGATAGGACTTTTCTTTTATAAAAAGTGAAGCAACCCATAATCAGTTTCTTCACTTCAATTAAAACCAGGTTGCAGTTCTTTTCATGGACACTCAAGGTCTTTTCGATTCCAATACGAGCAAAACCCAAAATTTAATGATATTTGCTTTCAACACTATCATAAGTTCAGTTCAAATTCTCAATTTATCGGGAGATATCAACGAGCACGATTTGGAATTTCTACAGGTAAGTGGAAAATGTGTTTTCTTTATGTTTCCTATATATTGTAGTCCATACACCCATTTAATATGTGGACGGTTTATTAATTATTCAATATCAGTTTATTATCTCAAACGCACATTAAAAAAACGCATTTCAGAGGTAAAAGCTATTTCTTGTTTCAGTTCTTCACGGAATACGCACGGAGAATTACCCAGCAGAAGTCGGGCGGAGCTTTTTTGCAGGTTAAATTTACGCTTGGGACTCTTTATTTTTCTATTTCATTTTGTAAATGACTGTGTCTAGGATTTTGTTTCATGTATATATATATTCGGTTAATATTAATGTTCGATAAAGAACCACAGACGACCCAAAGCTCTTTTTTTATGTCCACACATATTTTTTTCAATGAACTGAAATACTGAGTCTAAGGGTAAGCGATTAGCTGTTTTACTAGCTTTATCTTAGAGACTATCAACATGTAACTGGGGACAATATAATATGTCACATGAAACGGCACATCGATAGGTCGTTGAAACATATGAACTAATCATTGCATTCTGTTATAACCAGGGATTAAAGTTTCTAATTCGAGATTGGCCTCATGTAAATGATCACGAGTTCGGAAGCAATGGAGGGAAGGATTATCTGGAAAAGTACATGGAAACAAAAGGCAAAATTGAGGAATTAAAAGTGGTGCGAAAATACATTTCTTCAGCTTATCGCAATATTAGCTGCTTCCTAATGCCACATCCCGGACTAACATTGGCACAAGGACTCCCATACGATAAAGCAACCGTGAATGGTAAGATTTTGAGCAAATTATAGGTTTTATTTTGCAATAGCCGGACCAATTTCCTGCGTCCCTGGTAAGATTTGTACAGACTTCAGACTGACAACGTGTTGGTTTAGAGCAGGGCTCGGCAACCTTTTGTTGCTCGCGGGCCAAAATTAAGGGTTGCAAGTCTTGGCGGACATATTTTTAGAAAGGTAAAAACCGAACGGACGGCCGATGAATCACAATTTTTTCACACGGATCATAAGTTGAAATTTCAGATTTAACTGCGCGCTCAGTCGTTTTATTGAAAGAAAAAAAATTACAAATGACATTTAATTTAAAAATGGGGTGACACTTGTTGTTGCATCACGCTTGATAGCTTTTCGACATCAGGCGGCAAACTGGATGAAGTCAAGATTAGAACATTTTCTAAATGGACATCACTAATCCAAGTTCTCAGATTATTCTTTGTCATGATCATTTTTGAAAATAATTGTTCGCTAGTACTTCCAAACATCGATGTGAATTTTTTACGCGGGCAGGATTTAGGGGACGGGACGGCTCAATTCGTTACTCCGTTGGGATGCGATCTTAGCTGTACCTTTGGATATTCAGAACATTTTAATGATTCCGATTTACCAACGCGCTTTTTGTCTATCTTGATCTAAAACAGATATTTACCTAAATCTATGATACGTTTTACGTTACTTATAATACGTACGACTCGGAAAAAGCGAAAACAGGCCAATATTCATTTTTCTAACACACAACTGTTAAAACTATATTCTGGAAATTGTCAACCTACCTGTACGTCTTGATATCAGCAGTTCTTCGGCAGCACTGGGTCAATGATGCATATGATCCGCATCACACCACGTTGGGTTCGCAGCGCTGTTTTTGTGTTATATGCCACTCCTTGCGTGTTAATTCTAGTCTATTTACTAATACATATGTAGGATATTTTCATGATCAAATTTTTAACTACTTTTTATAACAGACATTGATGAAAAATTCGTGCAGCAGCTAACTCCACTTGCTGAATCTGTACTTCATCCAGACAATCTCATCGTCAAGGAATTTTCGGATGGAAAACCTATGAATTATCGCGGTTTGTACGCAACAGCGACGAAATGTGCTGACGCCTTTGGAACTATTGATACCGACATTAAAGTTGACGACATATTGGAGGTGTTTATAATTTAGTTATTTGTGAATTTTGAATGTAAATGAAATGTACTGTACATGGTAAATCAATGCGCCAACCAATGTAGGATAGTGTGGAAAATGAAATAGTGAAAACATTGCTATTATCGGGGTTTCAAACTATGACATACAAATAAAAACTGAAAATCAAGTGAGCGATGCTAAAATATATGGGCACGATGGTCAAAACGAAGGTGTGAGGGTATGTAATCTGTCACAGTAGACTACCGGTACCCACTACTAACAGGAACGCGGAACCACCACAATGTGCTCATTTTTGATGACGTCATTGCACACAAAAATCGATTCCCATAGAGCCCAAAAAGAATTTTGAAATAAATAAAATAGCCCTCTAGCGGAAAAAATCTTTAAGCAATGACAATTTCGAAGCAATTGGTCCAGTAGTTAATGAAAGATAAACTATTTTTATAACAATAAAAAGGAAAATACCAACAAAAACAACATAACAATCCACAGGAACACTTCGTGTCCAATGAGGTGCGACAGAGCCTGGGCAAAATCTTAATTTGTTTTGCTAAAATTAAAGAGGTGATATAAAAATATTCATGGGTTGTTTGTTAGAAGTAAAAGGTCACGCTACAAACTTTGTTGTTGCATAATGATAATAAAAAACCCATACAGATCTCATCCGAACAAATTTCGATACTCCCGTTCTATGTTACCAGGTTAGGATATAATGGTATTCCGATTTTCCTTGTTTAATTTTTAATACTAGTTCGGGGACTGTCTGTGTTTGCCAAGTAAATATACCCTTACCTATAGGTTTCAGTCCCTTCACACAACTTGATGTAAAGTAGGCGAACAAAATTAGTTACCTCCCTATTGGTACACAGACTTCGGGAACCCAAATTTCTATATACTTATATATCTAATTAATAATAATAATAAGTATATGTATTCAGGTAATTGCGAGTGCCGAAGACAATGAAATGAGAAGAGCTTGTTTGAATCATTACACCGAGCTGATGAGCAAAGTATGGGAGTTCTTTATTGTGCGGTGAACTTAGCACATGCTACCTAATGAAAGATTTATTGATTGTTATTTTATTATAGTACATTGTAGGATGTGCTAGCGACACTGAAGCAAAGCTGAAGCATAACAAGGCGAAATCAGAAGCAATCGGTAAATTTTACTCTCGTGGTAAAGGCGGTAAAAATGAAAAGCGTGTGCAATCAAGAACTCACGCGGAAGGCGAAATCGATAAAGCCTACGCGAGATTTCTCGCAAAGCTGGGATACAATGAAGTATGTAAAATTACTGTCGCATGCTTAAATCTTTGTTCTTATTAAATATCTGCTTGAATCAAGATTACAAAAACCCAAGCAAAAGTTTGAAATCACTTTGAAGTAAAGTCAGAAAGACGGGTGGGACCATAGCTAATAGAACCCAGAGAATTAAGTATTTGTTCATAATGTTTTTCAATATTTAAGATTTTATCATTGCAAAAGAGTAACCAATCCACAAAAGATTGAGGGAGCTCACTGAGAATCGAAAACGTTTATTGGTGTATTTGTATTATCTGTTTATTAAAGAATGAATTAATATTTTTGGACGTGAACATTTACAGACTAACTAATCATTGTTGAAGTGTGTGACATAGATATAAGCCTGTGGCATTTTTGTCAAAGTATATTCGAACATCGTTGATTATACATAATACATTACTACTGCCTACATTTAGCGCGTTCCGTGAAATGCACTTTGTCAAATATTATTTAAATCTCTTTTTTCGAGGCGAAAGAAAAACATGACATGGTTTCCGGCTATCTTGATGCTATTTCGTCATACAAGAATAAAATGTCAATTGTGAGTCTATTACATATTATACAAATACATACATAGCCTAAAACTTATATTTTAAAAATACGTTTATACTTTTTTTATTATTGTGATATGAAAATTTTCACAATGTAATTCGTTCATATGTTTGAATATTGTGATTTGTGATACTAAGAAAAGCAATAGGAACTTTGAATTAACCCTGTTAACTAATTGCACTGATCTAATGGATTTACAAAGTTTGAATCCAACAAAATTTGTTTGTCATAGAGGCCCTATAGGTCATAGCATAGGCTACTATATTTGTGAATTCAGCATACCATAGGTTTTCAGGGTTTTTTGGTTTCAGCACATGGTTACACAAACCAATTCGAAAAGAAGAATTTCACCCACATCAGTATGAAACAAAAATGCGGCGTACAAGTTTTGCACTAAAGTAAATAGATTTTGAAAATTATAATCAGCTTCAGTATTGAGAATAGCAAACCTTTCCAGTATTCAGAATATTCATTTGAAACCCATGCAACGGGAAAAACAACACATTTAAAGACGAACGGGCCGCATAACATTCGCATTTGGCATATTTCCCCGGGCCGCACAATTTTCCCTTATGGGCCGCATTTGCCTCGCGGGCCGCAGGTTGCACACTCTGATATAGGCTAGTATATTTGTAAATTCAGCATAGCATAGGTTTACAGGCTTTTCGGATTTAGCCAAGTCACACATACTAAATGGGAAAAGAACTTATGATAAATTGCAGCCACAAAAACCATGCAAAAATGTTCGTATTGAGCTGGGCTGAAAATATTACGGTAGCTGAAAAACATTGAAACATTAATGCGACGTATACTTTTTTCACTAAAGTCAATTAATTTTTAAAAATACTTCAAACCCATGCAACGCAAAAAACAACACGTTCAAAAACACTTACGTTAATTTCATGAAACGTCGTCGCTCGATTGCATGGCAGTCTAACTCTAACTTCCAGTGCCTAAGCATTCTGTTTACAATGTAATATTGTTTGAATCGTTATGAAACTGAAAACTTTATGGAACCAGAATTAAATACAGAAAACAGAGGTTGATCCCCTTTCTCACGAATATACGATTTGCGTTGATACAAGTCCCGGGCAGAGTTCTCATTACCACTTATCAGAGGCCGTTTCCGAACCGCGGTCGATTTTTATTGAAGATGATTTTTAAACTTCGTCAGTAGAAATTATGTAAATAGTAAGCGCCAAGATACAAATAAAGTATTCAAAATATATTTTACGCGAAAATTCCAATGACTAAATTCTGCGGCGTATACGTACTCGTATACCGGTACCGTCTAATACACAAACATTCTCTAGCGAATAAAATCCATCGTTGGGTTTTATTTACTGGAGTAAATTAAGAAAATGGCACAACCTACCATTCATATGATCAAGAGTTTCTATTACATAAACAGTTATGTGGAATCACTTTTTATGTACCGGTAGCTAAGTTCAAAAACAATTAGGATACTGCAGACTACAATGTAGACTATGTTGCTATTTTCGAAACGCGGCAGATAAGCACTAATTTTTAGCAAATTTTTACCCATAATTTTCTCGCGAACACTTTTATTTGGGGCTATTTCACATTTGATACGAGGTACTAGTAGTAGTAGGCCTACAGTTTTATGCTAGGATACAGATAGGCTCAAGAGGAACAACATACCACTTCCTGAAAAAGTCTGATTTTCTTTCCAGTCCACTTGCATAATTTGGGCGCAAGATAGATCCACTCTCCACCAAATTAGTTAGGTAAATTCACTCGACTAACGTTGCAGTTAACTTTTCGCTATCCAACCGTCTTCTCAAATTGCGGCCTCGCGTACAAACTACGAATAGGCCGGAGCTGAATTTAGTGTTGCCAAATAGTGAACAAGTATAATTTCTGATATTGCAGTCAGATAAAACATTTTTTGTCCAAGATCAGAAGTACGCATAAGATTAAATCCTGACATTGGAATCAATGCTACTTAATACCAAATATAACATTTTTAAAGTTTTGATATTGATCTGAAATCAAAATTACTTATCTCTCATTCTCTTGATCGGACTGAAATCAAAATAATTTTACTTTTGATGGTCGAAGCACCATGTTTACTGTATTTAATAGTAACAGTAAGGTAATACCACCAAAGGATGAAATTCACATTGTTTTCACAATTCAGCTTGAAGATAAACCAGTATCACCAACTGAATTCGATACTTTCAACGAAACATGTTGGAAAGAGGCAATGGGAAGTATGGAGAAATATGGCAACGGCTATTCAGATCTATCATCCGAAGATATGAAAAAAGAGAAAACTCGTTTTTACGAAAACTACAAAGAACAAAATCGTAATAGATATGAAGCGACTATCGAGAGAGTAAGTGTGACTGTTCCCGTAGTTCCCGTGAACTATAATTTTTGAGAGATTCAAATCGATGTGTTTATGTCAATTCATGTTATAATAAAATCAAACAGAAATCAGAATTTAACATCCAATCCAACTCTCCTAGATCCTCACTTAGAATACTCAGTCATAAATTATAGGTTGAGCTATACTTGGTCGGAAGATTGCTTCCACACGAATAGAGTAATTTTCTAAATTCTAACTTTAGTTGGGAATCATGGGTTGCATTGGCTTTGCGAAAGCCATTCAAAACAAACTTATTAAATGCATATCTGTATTATGAAGTGATTTATAGTAAGTAAGTTGGTCTGGCGAACAAAATTTTATTCGTTTGATTGCGTCACGACAACAATCCCTCACATAAGCTAAATTACTATTTATCTTTTGTACAGCTTGAAATGCCGGGAAACTATATGGAAATGTGTCGCCATCATAGCACAAATGAAGTCGAAGACGGGGTACATTTATTAAAAACTCACAATTACGAGCAATACCACAAACGTTATTCAATTATACTATTGATTCTATTTTTAAACGTTTGCAGTTTAAAACAATAATTAGGGTGTTCTACTTCCTTAATTACTGAAATTGCAAGCAAGAGAAATATTTTTATTGGATACGTGAGCATTGAATACTGTAGTGTATAATATACACCGACTGTTTTGTAACGACAGCAAAGGCATCAAAACGAGACTTGACTATTCAAGTACTTTGATATATGATTTAAATATATTTTCAGAGTGAGGATCAAGATTTATATGCCACAATAAACAAAGTCGTCGACCAATACGAAAAAAAGATCAACGAGGTATTTTGGTAGTTGAAGTTACATAAATATATATTGTCAGTAGAGCGCGTACTGTGAGGCCGCAAAAAATCTGAAGAAATTAATACAATGCGTTGTTTATGTTTTAACTTACGTCTGCTGTTTTATTCGTAAAAATAATTTTGTATTTATAGATACGAGAAGGTGGAGAAGTAAGTGAAGATTTTGTTCGAGAAAAAAGAGGTTCGCTTTACAGATCAGCTGTTCGGGAATTCAATAGTAGTAGTATGAACAGAAAAGGGAACTTTCGTTATTACATAAACATGTTGGAAAAAGCTGTGCAAAAAGTGGAACCTGTCCGAATTGCGCCAAGCAAAGAGGTAAGCAATGGTATTTTTATTCAAAATTCATGAAATTTGTATGAATCAGCAATGTAATAAAATGCAGAGAATAAGATCAGAACATTTTGCTAATATATTTTACGCTTTGGATTTTTTTTCACTTTTCAAATACTTATCAGATCGCCAGCAGCCTTTGAGTGCGGTATATTAGACCAGATATAGTCAAAATCCCTCTACCTTGTTCGTCTGCACAGTAACTTTCTGTCTTCGTTTCATCAAAACATTTTTTTTGTTGTTTCAATGGATTATATTTACCCCTCTAGAAATTGGAGCATTTCAATAACTCCTATGCTGAACGTATTTTGCTATGTGGAATTCATCTTCACCTATAGGTGTATAACTTGAAACTTTTAGGTTTTGTGCCAACCGCAATTTACTAACATTTATGCACAACTCTGACTTTCTTCGATCAAACGTGCCTAAATAACACAGATTTGCTCATTTAATTTTAAACTAGATTCCTTGTCAGATTTATACAATTTCCCCTTCTCGTGAACGACTGTTTTTTTTTTCAATATTCTTTGATATGAACTTTATATTTTAGCGTCTCCTGAACATGAAACTGAAAAATTATGTTGCTGATTCTAGTCGACAGTTTGATCAAGAAATGGAGCAGGTAGATGGCTTTATGTGAACACCCGGCAATGTTCCACTGTAGAGATCCACGTTATTGTGAAATATTCCAATCCATGTCACATTGTCCATATTCTGCCTCAAATACAGATATACAAACAACTAATGCACAACCCTTTGCTCTTTGTTTTCTTTTTTGGATCTCTGACTTTTGTAATCAGTCGTTCTGTCTGTTTATATGTCTAGATTTAGCGCCTGAATGACTGGACAGACCCAGATTCAATTTTTCATGGGGGTTATCTCAATTCATTTAAAGTCGGATAAATGTTGCGTTTTCATCACAGCAGACAAACGGGGAAGTTTACAAATTTTCCGTTAACTAAGTCCAAAATTAAAATTTCTAGAAGACGCGGTATTAATATTTCTGGACTGAATTTAAGCTTAATCCATGGTAATCCTCTGGCGGGACAGATCCTCGTCAGTAAGATTATTACGCATCGTGTGCTTACGATATCATAATACAAACTGTCTTGGTTTCAATGTAGGGATGATTCCTTTTTGTCAAATTTGGGTACTCAAGATCAAGTCCACGAATCCAAGTTCATGAAAACAAATAACTGGCTCACTTTTTTCATCCCCTGGATAAATATATATGTGAATCCTAATAATACCGTTTTTTGCACGACATAAGTTTTAAAACCGATAATGACTTGCGCCTTCTGATGTTGTAATCCAATTTTTTCAGATTAATGGGCTTTTCATTGGACCTGTAGCTTTAAATGCAATGGTGCAGAAAGCAAAATTAAAATTGTGTGAAAAATTCAACGACAGAACGAAAGACGATGAACCAAGAAATGTTGTAGAGCGGCATCGTAACGACTTAATTCGTAATTTGGACTCAAAATGGGAGTTACTGAAAAAGGAAAACGAAAGAAATCGCGTATGTTACATTCTATATAGCACCCAGGTCAACTGCAGCATGTTCTATGGGTACCGTATATAAATAAAAGTAATCTTGATCGTTATCGTTTGAGATGGAAATAAAACTTTAATGTCTGTGTAGATTAACATAGCTGAATTACTGCGCGATATGTATTATATTTGTTTAACATAAAGAAATAAATCGAATAACCATTTTAAATAAAATCTCAATAAGATATACAAATTAAGTCGCTCCAGAAGTATGTGTTCCAATATGAAGGTAACTAATTTTGTTTGCCTACTTTACATCAAGTAGTGTAACGGGGCGGAGGCAGGAGGTATATTCATGTGGCTAACACAGACAGCCCCGAACTCGTAATAGAACTAAATAAAACTCGTAATAGAAGAAAAAACAAAATAAAATTATGGCCTAACCCTAATCTGGTACAAATGGTACGGGAGCACCCAAATTAATTTCATTCTAAATAACGATATCTAAATTTTTAAGATACATGGAATTTATTCTTTTTGCAGGTTCATTACGAACTCGCAAAAAACCAACTGGAAATGAAGTTGGTGAAACGATATCACTCTAGCATGGATCAGGTGAGCAATTTTTATCGTTGTATATTATTCAGTCAAGATCAAAGAGGTTTGAAACTTAGAACCTGTTAAAAAGCCATATCGCAGATAATTTCCTATTTAAAATATTTGGCGCTCCAGAAATGTGTGTACCAAAATGGGTGTAACTAATTCTGTTCGCCTATTTTACACCAAAGTGTGTAGAGGGACAGAAGCCTATGAGCAGGGGGTATATTCACTTGGCTAACACAGACAGAACCAAAATGAATTGAATTGGAATAAAACTATTATGGGATTAACACTATACTCACACTACGGGAGTACAAAATAATCAATATATGAAGTAAACTATTATATTAATGATACCGTAAAATTCAGCTTTTACAGAGCGGATATATTGTGGAAAAGAAATTGAAAAAATATCACGAAGATTTACGTCAAATTTTACTGCAAGATGCTGAAAACGAAGAAATACCGCTTTACGTCGCAAATGGTGGCAATAGAAATAGTTACGTCTCATACCAACAGTTCATAGGTTCCTTGCAAGCAAAGTTAAATGGTCTCTATGAGGAGAAAAAAACGTGGAATAAAAAGAACCATGGAATGATCGTTAGAGCTCTCGTTAATTTTGTTGGTTAGACAAACTTAAAAAATCCAAAAACTGTGACGTTGTTACCTTTAGAAGATGATACAAATACAAAGAGTAGTGTGAATAAAGCATAGATTTTAATTCTCAAATTGTGTGAAAAGCATGTTTGCCAAGTGTAACGCAATGGTTCATGTTATACATTCAAATCATAATACATAGCAATGAGAACATAATAAAAAGAGTAGGTAAATAAAGCATAGATTTTATATCTCAAATCGTGTGAAAAGCCTGTTTGCCAAGTGTAACGCAATAGGCAATGGGTAACGTAACGGTCCAAAATGGCTCTTAAGTATTCAAGGGGAAGCAAATATTCAACTGCACAATCGATATGCACGAGTCGACTTGACGAAAGCGTTTGAGATTGTCAGAGAAGCATGAGAATGAGTCTTTAAAATTACACTTTTATGCAACTCAATAGGGTGGTGGGTAGGGTTACGGAATAATTGGACATGAAGAGTTTAAGTAGGGTGCAGTGTTTCCTAACCTGGGTTCGATGGAGCTGTTCCGGGGATTCGAAGATTCTCTGAAAGAATTGTATATCCTGGAACCCTATAACTTATACTACTAATTATGCAGAAATGACTATAGTTCAACGTAGATATACAACGTTTAATCAACTCATGCACATTAAATTTCAGTACACTTTATGAAAAATTCATATCGCCACAGATGTTGTACGCTTGGGTGTACTTTTCTATTATAGCGCTCTTAGGTGCTTTCTGCTTAGCATCACGAAATATCATTTTCATGGGTTATTATGACTTTATTGAAAGCTAAATATTTTCGTGACCGACACCTGTGGACCTATGGATCGTTTTGTCATTTTGTATTTTTTTTTCGTTGTGAAAAAATCGCTTTTCTTATTAACTACTCGACGAATTGAAATTTGCAGTGGTTAAAGATTGTTGTTGTTGCTAGAAAGCTATTACTTTTATTTATTTTTAAACTCCATGTGAGCTGTGTTCCATTAGTTTTGCCATTTGATGTTTTTTGTGGTGACGGTAAAAAATTCAAAAATTAATTGTAGCGGTTCTCGTGTTTAGCGAAAGTCGCGAATTGTTTGGAGGGTACGGTAGACTGCGGTACTGTACAATATTTGATATTACAGTTGTGACTCGGATTATGGTATTTCAATTCACGTTGGGACGGGAAGCATGGCCTGGAAACGCTGGGACAGTCCTGGTATACGTCGGTATACCCCGATACAGTTACCGTACTTGTTCCACAGTTCTAACTTTGTTCAGGATATGATTTTTGGGGGGTTTGTGGGTAAAAAAAATCGTTTTGGCTTTCGTGTCCATATATGTGCTCATTTCTCACTTATTCATAGTTTACTAATAGAAATGTAATTCAAGTTTACGGACAAGTCGAAGATAAGTGTACATAAACAATATAAAGACTTGAATTGCACTAAGTGATGAATTTGTGGCAAAGTATTTTATTGCAGAGCTTTGCTCAATATGATCAACCTTCGTTCCGGATTACCTAAATATGGCGTTAAGACATACGGCATCTCTATTTCTGAAATACGATTGGCAAAGACTTCTATCCGAATTTCAATGCAGTTTCTCAAACGAACGTATGGATTGAACTAGCAACATTTTGAGTCGACTTATCATCTTTCAGGTTTCGCGTAACCAATCAACGAAAGAATCTGCCTCCCCCCCCCCCCCCCCGACGCCGACAGCCGGACACCATTGTGATAGAATAATGGCTCTTTCCACGCATGTATTGGTATAATCCGTTACACCCCAACGATCATTTGGATATAGATGCTTTTTCAATAAGGCGGAATTGGAAGGTGTGATTGAAGTGAAGCAAAAGTAACATCTTAGCAATATAAATACATTGGTGAACAACGGAAGTGGACAGAGTATGAAGCGTATTTCGAACATATCTCATAGTGGTTGTACGGTTAAGTTTACACAGATGACTTTTAAATACGTATTGTGATATTTTGGGGATGAGGAAAAAAATCAGAACGGAAAACTGAGGTTGAAGAAAACGGGTGATTGGCTAAAAATAGGTGGAGAGCAAAATAGAAGCAGTTCATGGACAAATAAATTAAACCCTCGCAAGACATTACTCACGCAGCATTATTATAGTTGATTGTTGTTAATTTTACCGACGCAAATTTGCATTGTAAGAGGTCCGCAAAAAACGCGCCGAAATCCTTTCCAAAGCTTTAACATGCCGACATATTTATCCATATCTGATCCTGTTTCAGCAAATTCATCGTTCAATTCGGTCAATACAATATCAAGTAATAAGTTCTTCCCTATATCCAACAAAAATACGATCAATAATATCTTTATTCAATGCTCAATTTTGTTTGTCTTAAACATCGTTAAAGCATTGTTTCCAGGTGCTGAATACTGATATACTGAAACTACCATAGGTATACTATCAATATTTGATTCAGCCAGACCTTTACAACTTTAATATGACTTTTTTGTGTAGCTGAAAATCACGAATTGTCGTTTAGAAGCAAAGCGAAATGAGAGTAGATATTGCCTGGGGGTTGTTCCAAAAACTGTATCACGGTGGTGGATACTATGACTGCATGTTTTCAGAAGTCGTGATATTTCCAGTATTGAATTATTGAACTTTCCAAGCCGACAAATTGTTGCTCGTATCTCTCGATGAGCATCAAATTTCTTTAACTATAGAACTAAACACAAACGGGGAAGCAGGAAGTCATAATGAATAAGCCACTACTACGTATTGCATAGTCGAACAAAAACAGTTAAAGAATGGCCTGAATATCAAGTGCTCAGCAAGCCTACCGTCGCGATTGTCATTGCATGCGTATGATAAACAGAGATGAGACATTTTTGCGTAGCCTACTGAACAATTTGTGAATACCCGTAAAATAGGAGTAGTAAGTTGTTCGTAGCGTGACAGATTATATAAGGTACAGTCGACAGACATTCGAATTCTGGTGTCAATACTCAAGAGATGTTAAAACTGACTTTGGCATAACAATTTCTTCAATCAACAATTTATATTTATTGCTTGAACAGCACGAAAGAAATGTTCATTCACGTATACTGGAAGTAAAATGCTATTAAATTGCTCCTCCACATTCGGCTGTTATTAGTTATATATATGTTATTAGTTCTAAATATGTGCATGCCCCGTTTTCGGTGCTCCCGCGTAGTTTGTGAACCAAGATGGCGGACACCGGAACGTAGTATGTATACCAGGTTAGGGTTAGGCCATAATTTTATTCCAGTTTTTCTTATTTCAGTTCTATTACGAGTTCGGGGACTAGCCAAGTGACTCCGGTAGTATTTTGTACCTAAAATTATGGCCTAACGCTAACCTGGTACACATACTACGTTCCGATGTCCGCCATCTTGGTTCACCTTCTACAGAAGTATCCCGTTTTCCCATCATTTATTTACCTTGCCTATAATAAGACCAACCAATTTATTTCTTAGAACTTAGAATGTTGTGATCTCATAGAATAAATATTCAATTATGCCAAAAACGTCTATAAAAATAATACGTCGACCACTCTCCAAGTGTTTTTTTGGCTGTAGTAGTAGTGTATGTTAATCATTAATGGATATTCGTACATGTAGAGAATGTGCCAGTGAAAAGCTGCCTATAAGCCCCGAAAGGAACAGAAAAGGGATATTAATTGATAAGTTGTTTTTTAATATGAAAGAGTTGCTTCAAAACTTATCTACGGATAATGCTCTGGTATATTTTGTGGAAACCTTCCGTAAAAAAACACCCTCGCCATCGATCAAAATAAATGATTAGTAATTACTCAGTTAGGATAAAGAATACTGATTAACCTGGAAATTCAAATTTTTATATTCTCGATCCCTAACTGGATATTTACTCATTTTTTATTTTCAAACGTGTCGGAGGTGTTTTTCTCAAATCTCACATTATTGCATTAGTGGCGGGGGCTTTCTACAAAAGATCTAGGCTCTGTATAACAGCAGTCTCTTAGACAAAAGGGGGTTCTCCCGTTTTATGTGTACCAGATTACGGTGGGGCCATAATTTCAGGTAAAAGTACGACGGGAGTCACTTGGCTAGTCCCCGAACTCGTAATATAACTAAAATAAGAAAAATTGGAATAAAATTATGGCCTAACTCTAACCTGGTACACATACTACGTTACGGTTTCCGCAATCTTGGTTCACATACTACGGGAGTACCCAAAAGGATTTCGAAGTTTTCAAAAAAAGAATGCGTGTTCGATGTAATCTATGGGGTGAAAAAATGACCGACTGAACATTTGAACTCCTTTCTTATACTTCAGGATACTAAACCAATGTTAGAATACAGAAGTAACCATGGCAACTAAATTGATAAAGAATTGTTTAACGATATTGATATCCTTTTCATTTTGTGGAATCATATACTATTTGTTTAAAACTTCTGCCAAAGAAAGGTATTATATAAATTGTATCGAGGATTACTTATTCATGATATGATTTTGAGAACGGATGGATTTCTGTCTAAAAAACAGTGTCACAAATTTATACTTTATTGAAATTGGAAGTGAAATTTAAAATATATTCAGTATGCATATAAGGAGTTATATAGAATTGCTATGGTTTTGTGCAGGGGCCAAACTTTTTTGCCGCCCAGTGCTAATTTCTGATAATGATGCCCCTCATACCCCACTTTAAAAATAATTCGGGGGATAAAGGTCAAGTAATAGTGAAATGTTTGTAATAATACTTAAATCATCAAACTAAGCAACAAACTCACATGTATAAGATCAAAATCAATTATCTACAACGTGCTGCCCGATGTGGCTGCCCCTATGGCCCTCCCCTAGGCTCGGATTGTTGGACCGTTCCAGCAACCATTGCATCTGAAATCCAACTACAAAATGCAAAAATATAAATATTTAAAACAAGGACTTTGATGTGTTGTTTCGGATATTGAATAAGAAATGTCAAAAATCCAGACGCATTTTATTTACAAGAAACTTTATTTTCTAGATATCAAAAATCAAGTCTTCGCATGATCTTGTTGAATAGCGACTTGGGTGTAAAGGGATATGGTGATAAAAATGTATCAATGGAGTACACAACTGAAGCTACTTTCACTCATCCCAAACATGAACCGAGAAGCAGGAAGTAAGAATGAATAAACCACTACTTCGTCGTACATTGTCGAACAAAAGGGATAAGAATGATTTGAATGTCAAGTACTCAGAAAGCCTACCGTAACGATTGTTAGACGCCGGTCACCAAACCGTTTCATGCGTCTAGTTAACAGAGATAAGAGTATATATATTATAGTATATATTGATAGTAAATTCATCGTAGCGTGACAGATATTCATGTTATTCTGATGTCAACACTCTCCAAGAAAGTTGTTAAAATTAGTTTCAAGATAACAACTGTATCTGAAATTTCGACTGCTAAATGCAATAATTTTTTTAAAAACGAAGTATTGACTAAGCCGTGTTGTTTCGGATGTGAGATAAATAATAACGGTAATCCTATCGCAGTTTTTATTCACAAGAAACCTTTTTTCCTAGATATCGACAATTAAATCTTGGCATGATTATGTTGAATAGCAGCTTGGATCTGAAGGAAGATGGCGATGTAAATATATCACTGGAATACTCCACTGAAGCTATTTTCACTCATCCTATGTCTACATTCAAACAATTTGGTCTCGAACAGATAGACTTTTTAAAGAGAATGGAATCAAAACGACCGTTGTTTAATATTACGATGGAACCTTGGAAAATTTTGCAAACAAAACATAGAATGGATTCAACAGGTCACTTTTGCTACCTATTGTATTTTAAATAAGCAAAACTGTTGAGTTATCGACCAGTAGGTATTTCTGAAAAAGAGTATACATGCGAATTCAATGTAAATTACCGATCATATTTTTCAGATTGTCGATGGCCAATGATTATTGCAGTAAAAACAGCATACTATAGGGTTGAACAAAGACAACGTGTCAGGAAAACATGGGGTTTCAACAAATTCTTCAATGGAGTTTGTTTAGATGTTGTTTTTGTTGTTGCAAGCACATCAACCGCAGAATCGAATGTTAAGTTAGGAAAAGAAGAATCGGAGCATGGCGATATTTTACAGATTGAATTGGAAGAAACCTATCGGTAAGTTTTTAATTTCCGAATAACGTAAAAACACCTTCCGCCGTCGTGTTTTTTGTCTCGTGCAGTATTTCAAAGTGAATTTTGGTTTCCACTTGAGTCAAATATTAAAAAGGACGACACCTAGAAATTTAGATGTTTTGCTACATATGTGGGCCATACTTCATGTAGTATGTCAACAAATAACATCCGCAATTTTATACGTTCTTGGGTACTCCCGTAGTGTGTGTACCATGTTAGGGTTAGGCCATACTCTTATTCCGATTTTCCCCATTTTAGTACTATTACGAGTTCTTGGACTGTCTGTGTTAGCCAAGTGAATATCAGTCCCTTCCATGGGTTTCAGTCCCTTCACACAACTTGATGTAAAGTGGGCGAACAAAATTAGTTACCTCCATATTGGTACACACACCTCCGGAGCGCTCGTTCTTGTCGATTTATATTGGGTTTCTTTCTGTAATTTATCAATTGAAAACTAAGTGTTTTCACGAAGTCAATTAAATTTGTGATTCATTCCAAATAAACTTTTTCAAATACAATATTTTAACAGAAACATTGGATTAAAAGCCCTGGCTTCGATGCAATGGGTGGCGGATAATTTTCCAAGCAACTGGATATATTCATCTGGAGATGATGACATGTTACCAGATTTCCCTTGTTTATTCAAAAATATAGAAAAATCAATACCCGAAGAAGGGAAATTTTCAACAAATTCCAGCAATTCTATCTTGAATCATCGATTAAACACGAAAAATTTCCCAATATTTTGCGGACATGGATATAGACCTACATCAAAACCACATCGATTTGAGAGTAAATGGCATGTCAGCGTAGAAAAATACCCCTATGACTATTATCCGCCGTTTTGTTTGGGCGGATTTTATTCAATGTCAGTAAAGCACGCCAGCGCAATTTACTCTGTTTCAAGATGGTACCCCTATTTTGATTTGGATGATGTTTGGATAACAGGATTTATGAGACTACGTTTGTGTGATGTGATGACGGATCGGGATTTTGTATTCAATAAGAGGGATATTCACTGTGGGATATCTTCTATGAACGAGGTTGCAGTAAAGCACGATATCTAACTAAAGGGATTTCCTCTTTTTTTTTAAATATGTTCACTATTTGGTCCGCAAACATTGTTAAACGATAAGTATTTACGTTCGAATCCGTTTCGGAAATCACTGCGCAATGTGTAGGTGGATATATTTTTATATCGGCTTTAACAAATACAACCTAATATACGAAGCTAGATGTTAGATCCTGACACATCCGTAACTTTTTCGTTAGAGTAAGTATGCAGCAAGTCGACAAATTGTTGCTCGTTCCTCTCGATGAGCATCAAATTTTATTAACTATAGAACTAAACACGAACGGGAAGGAAGCAGGAAGCCATAATGAATAAGTCACTACCACGTCTCGCATAGTCGAAAAAACAGTTAAAGAATGGCCTGAATATCAAGTACTCAGCAAGCCTACCGTAGCGATTGTCATCGGACCGTTGCATGCGTATAACAGAGATGAGACATTTTTGCGTAGCCTATTGGACAATTTGTGAAAACCCGCAAAATAGGAGTTTGGTCGCAGGAGTAGGTTGATAGTAAGTTGTTCGTAGCGCGACAGATTATATAAGGTACAGTCGTGAGTCGACAGACATTCGAGTTAATCTGGTGTCAATACTCTCCAAGATGTTAAAACTGACTTTGGCATAACAATTTCTTCAATCAACAATTTATATATATTGCTGGAACAGCACGAAAGAAATGTTCATTTACGTATACTGGAAGTAGAATGCTATTAAATAGCTTCTTCACATTCGGCTCTTATTAGGTATAAATATGTGCATGCCCCGTTTTCGGTGCTCCCGCGTAGTATGTGATCCAACATGGCGGACACCGGAACGTAGATGTGTACCAGGTTAGGGTTAGGCCATAATTTTATTCCAATTTTCCTTATTTTATTTCTGTTACGAGTTCGGGGACTAGCCCAGTGACTCCCAAAGTATTTGCACCTAAAATTATGGCCTAACCCTAACCTGGTACACATACTACGTTCCGATGTCCGCCATCTTGGTTCACCTTCTACAGGAGTACCCCGTTTTCTTATTATTTATTTACCTTGCCTGTAAATAGACCAACCAATTGATCTCTTAGAACTTACAATGTTGTTATCTCATAGAATAAATATTCAATTTTGCCAAAAACGTCTATAAAAATAATACGTCGACCACTCTCCAGTGTTTTTTTGGCTGTAGTAGTAGTTTATGTTAATCATTAATAGATATTCGCACATGTAGAGAATGTGCCAGTGAAAAGCTGCCTATAAGCCTCGAAAGGAACAGAAAAGGGATATTAATTGATAAGTTGTTTTTTAATATGAAAGAGTTGCTTCAAAACTTATCTACGGATAATGCTCTGGAATATTTTGTAGAAAGCTTCCGTAAAAAACACCCCCGCCATCGATTAAAATAAAAAAATTAGTAATTACTCAGTTAGGATAAGGAATACAGATTAACCTGGAAATTGAAATTTTTATATTCTCGATCCCTAACTGTATATTTACTCATTTTTTATTTTCAAACGTGTCGGGAGTGTTTTTCTCAAATCTCACATTATTGTATTAGTGGCGGGGGCTTTCTACACCAGATCTAGGCTCCGTATAACAGCAGTCTCTTAGACAAAAGGGGGTCTCCCGTTGTATGTGTACCAGATTACGGTGAGGCCATAATTTCAGGTAAAAGTACGACGGGAGTCACTTGGCTAGTCCCCGAACTCGTAATATAATTAAAATAAGAAAAATTGGAATAAAATTATGGGCTAACCCTAACCTGGTACACATACTACGTTACGGTTTTCGCCATCTTGGTTCACATACTACGGGAGTACCCGAAAGGATTTCAAAGTTTTCAAACAAAAATGTGTGTTCGATGTAATCTATGGGGTGAAAAAATGACCGAATGAACATTTGAAATCCTTTCTTATACTTCAGGATACTACACCAATGTTAGAATATAGAAGTAACCATGGCAACTAAATTGATAAAGAATTGTTTAACGATATTGATATCCTTTTCATTTTGTGGAATCATATACTATTTGTTTAAAACTTCTGCCAAAGAAAGGTATTATATAAATTGTATCGAGGATTACTTATTCATGATATGATTTTGAGAACGGATGGATTTCTGTCTAAAAAACAGTGTCACAAATTTATACTTTATTGAAATTGGAAGTAAAACTTTAAAATATATTCAGTATGCATATAAGGAGTTATATAGAATTGCTATGGTTTTGTGCAGGGGCGTGCCAAACTTTTTTGCCGCCCAGTGCGAGTTTCTGATAATGATGCCCCTCATACCTCACTTTAAGAATAATTCGGGGGATGAAGGTCAAGTAATAGTGAAATGAAATAATACTTAAATCATCAAACTAAGCAACAAACTCACATGTATATGATCAAAATCAATTATCTACAACGTGCTGCCCGATGTGGCTGCCCCTATGGCCCACCCCTAGGCTCGGATTGTTGGACCGTTCCAGCAACCATTGCATCTGAAATCCAACAACAAAATGCAAAAATATAAATATTTAAAACTTTGATGTGTTGTTTCGGATATTGAATAAGAAATGTCAAAAATTCAGACGCATTTTATTTACAATAAACCTTATTTTCTAGATATCAAAAAGCAAATCTTCGCATAATCTTGTTGAATAGCGGCTTGGGTGGGAAAGGATATGGTGATAAAAATGTATCAATGGAGTACACAACTGAAGCTACTTTCACTCATCCCAAACATGAACCGAGAAGCAGGAAGTAAGAATGAATAAACCACTACTTCGTCGTACATTGTCGAACAAAAGGGATAAGAATGCTCTGAATGTCAAGTACTCAGAAAGCCTACCGTAGCGATTGTTAGATGCCGGTCACCAAACCGTTTCAAGCGTTTAGTTAACAGAGATAAGAGTATATATATTATAGTATATATTGATAGTAAATTCATCGTAGCGTGACAGATATTCATGTTATTCTGATGTCATCACTCTCCAAGAAAGTTGTTAAAATTAGTTTCTAGATAACAACTGTATCTGAAATTTCGACTGCTAAATGCAATAATTTTTTTAAAAACGAAGTATTGACTAAGTCGTGTTGTTTCGGATGTGAGATAAATAATAACGGTAATCCTATCGCAGTTTTTATTCACAAGAAACCTTTTTTCCTAGATATCGACAATTAAATCTTGGCATGATTATGTTGAATAGCAGCTTGGATCTGAAGGAAGATGGCGATGTAAATATATCACTGGAATACTGAAGTTATTTTCACTCATCCTATGTCTACATTCAAACAATTTGGTCTCGAACAGATAGACTTTTTAAAGAGAATGGAATCAAAACGACCGTTGTTTAATATTACGATGGAACCTTGGAAAATTTTGCAAACAAAACATAGAATGGATTCAACAGGTCACTTTTGCTACCTATTGTATTTTAAATAAGCAAAACTGTTGAGTTATCGACCAGGTATTTCTGAAAAACAGTATACATGCGAATTCAATGTAAATTACCGATCATATTTTTCAGATTGTCGATGGCCAATGATTATTGCAGTAAAAACAGCATACTATAGGGTTGAACAAAGACAACGTGTCAGGAAAACATGGGGTTTCAACAAATTTTTAATGGAGTTTGTTTAGATGTTGTTTTTGTTGTTGCAAGCACATCAACCGCAGAAGCGAATGTTAAGTTAGGAAAAGAAGAATCGGAGCATGGCGATATTTTACAGATTGAATTGGAAGAAACCTATCGGTAAGTTTTTAATTTCCGAATAACGTAAAAACACCTTCCGCCGTCATGTTTTTTGTCTCGTGCAGTATTTCAAAGTGAATTTTGGTTTCCACTTGAGTCAAATATTGAAAAGGACGACACCTAGAAATTTAGATGTTTTGCTACATATGTGGGCCATACTTCATGTAGTATGTCAACAAATAACATCCGCAATTTTATACGTTCTTGGGTACTCCCGTAGTATGTGTACCATGTTAGGGTTAGGCCATACTTTTATTCCGATTTTCCTCATTTTAGTTCTATTACGAGTTCGTGGACTGTTTGTGTTAGCCAAGTGAATCAGTCCCTTCCATGGATTTCAGTCCCTTCACACAACTTGATGTAAAGTGGGCGAACAAAATTAGTTACCTCCATATTGGTACACACACCTCCGGAGCGCCCGTTCTTGTCGATTTATATTGGGTTTCTTTCTGTAATTTATCAATTGAAAATCAAGTGTTTTCACGAAGTCAATTAAATTTGTGATTCATTCCATATAAACTTTTTCAAATACAATATTTTAACAGAAACATTGGATTAAAAGCCCTGGCTTCGATGCGATGGGTAGCGGATAATTTTCCAAGCAACTAGATATATTCATCTGGAGATGATGACATGTTACCAGATTTCCCTCGTTTATTCAAAAATATAGAAAAATCAATACCCGAAGAAAGGAAATTTTCAACAAATTCCAGCAATTCTATCTTGAATCATCGATTAAACACGAAAAATTTCCCAATATTTTGCGGACATGGATATAGACCTACATCAAAACCACGTCGATATGTGAGTAAATGGCATGTCAGCGTAGAAATATATCCCTATGACTATTATCCGCCGTTTTGTTTGGGCGGATTTTATTCAATGTCAGTAAAGCACGCCAGCGCAAATTACCCTGTTTCAAGGTGGTATTCTTATTTTTATTTGGATGATGTTTGGATGACAGGATTTATGAGACTACGTTTGTGTGATGTGATGACGGATCAAGATTTTGTATTCAATAAGAGGGATATTCACTGTGGGATATCTTCTATGAACGAGGTTGCAGTAAAGCACGATATCTAACTAAAGGGATTCCCTTTTTTTTAAAATATGTTCACTAGTTGGTCCGCAAACATTGTTAAACGATAAGTATTTACGTTCGAATCCGTTTCGGAAATCACAGTGCAATGTGTAGGTGGATATATTAATATCGGCTTCAACAAATACAACCTAATATACGAAGCTAGATGTTAGATCCTGACACATCCGTAACTTTTTCGTTAGTGTAAGTATGCAGCAAGTCGACTAATTGTTGCTCGTATCTCTCGATGAGCATCAAATTTTATTAACTATTGAACTAAACACGAACGGGAAGGAAGCATGAAGCCATAATGAATAAGTCACTACCACGTCTCGCATAGTCGAAAAAACAGTTAAAGAATGGCCTGAATATCAAGTACTCAGCAAGCCTACCGTAGCGATTGTCATCGGACCGTTGCATGCGTATAACAGAGATGAGACATTTTTGCGTAGCCTATTGGACAATTTGTGAAAACCCGCAAAATAGGAGTTTGGTCGCAGGAGTAGGTTGATAGTAAGTTGTTCGTAGCGCGACAGATTATATAAGGTACAGTCGTGAGTCGACAGACATTCGAGTTAATCTGGTGTCAATACTCTCCAAGATGTTAAAACTGACTTTGGCATAACAATTTCTTCAATCAACAATTTATATATATTGCTTGAACAGCACGGAAGAAATGTTCATTTATGTAAACTGGAAGTAAAATGCTATTAAATTACTTCTTCACATTCGGCTATTATTACTTATATATATCGTCACGCTAATAACCAAATTGCGTAAGTCATTTTTGGCGATTTTGAGCCTTTTTATAAAATAGGTTTTAATGTAATGCTGCGCACTTGTCTGTTACCTCAGATTTTATTTTGAGAATTCCGAAACCCATAAAAATGGAGATTTAGTACGACATGCAGATTTGTGTAATTGTTTCGTCATAATGAATTCTCATTGTTACCGCAGGATTATTGTGACATCATAAAGGCAAAATAACCTCGGCGAACTATTTTTCGAGTTTTTGCATCTCGGATTCTAGCTTAACGCGTATTAATTTGAATTTATACTACAGTATAGGAAGACGTGCACTTGTGATATTCACTGTCTGAGTCCAATTTACCTTGGTTGGCTTTTATATTGGGTGCATTGCTGTTTTATTCTTTATATTTAATCTTAGTCTTATTTCTGTGGGTGTGCAGAACGTGTTATATTGATGAAATATTTATTTTCAAACATAAACTATAATGTAATTGAAACTGATTAGCTATTATCGGGATTAGACATTGTAGATACTGAGAATTACATTCGTTTCTGGAATGTTTAGTTTTCAGGACTGGTGCATATAGTAAAGTTGCAAAATTGCGTATGTCCCCAAGTCATAGACACATTTCTGCCTAAGTCACAGTGAGCCATTATGACGTCACTTAACTGCGTCATACAAATTAACTTAAATCCGCCTACAATCAAAAAATTGGACCATGGCAAACTATTAACTTTCAATGGCATAACAATATCAATAGGAAGTGTTTTACGTTTTTCTCAAAACTGCTAAAAATTATTAGCGTGACGATATGTTATTAGTTTTAAATATATGCATGCCCCGTTTTCGGTGCTCCCGCGTAGTATGTGAACCAAGATGGTGGACACCGGAACGTAGTTTGTGTACCAGGTTAGGGTTAGGCCATAATTTTATTCCAATTTTCCTTATTTAAGTTCTATTACGAGTTCGGGGACTGGCCAAGTGACTCTCGTAGTATATTGCACCTAAAATTATGGCCTAACCCTAACCTGATACACATACTACGTTCCGGTGTCCGCAATCTTGGTTCACATATACGACGGGAGTACCCAGAAGGGATTTTTAAGTTTTCCAAAAAAATGTGTGTTCGATGTAATTTATGGGATGAAAAAATAACCGACTGAACATTTGAACTCATTTCTTATACCTCAGGATACTAAACCAATGTTATAATATAGAAGTAACCATGGCAACTAAATTTATAAAAAATTGTTCAACGATATTGATTTTTTTTTTCATTTTGTGGAATCATGTACTATTTGTTTAAAACTTCTGCCAAAGAAAGGTATTATATAAATTGTATCGAGGATTACTTATTTATAAAATAATTTTGAGATCGGAAGTAGGATGGATTTTTTGTCTGAAAAACAGTGTCACAAATTTATACTTTATTGGATTTGGAAGTAAAACTTCAAAATATATTCAGTATTCATATAAGAAGTTATATATAATTGCTATGGTTTTGGGCAGGGGCATGCCAAACTTTTTCGACGCCCAGTGCGTGTTCCTGATAATGATGCTCCTTATACCCCACTTCAAAAATAATTCGGGGGATAAACAAATTATAGATATTGTTATACATGAGAATGAATAAAGTAAAGGTCAAGTAAGAGTGAAATGTTTGTATTAGTAATAAAATCATCGCACTAAGCAACAAACTTACATGTATATGATCAAACTCATTCATCTTCAACCTGCTGCCCGAGGCGGCTGCCCCTATGGCCCACCCCTAGGCCCGGTTTGTTGGACCGTTCCAGCAACCATTGCATCTGAAATCCAAACTACAAAATGCAAAAAATTATTCTTTTTTAAATATGTTCACTATTTGATTCGCAAACATTGTTAAACGATACGTATTTACGTTCGAATCCGTTTCGGAAATCACTGCGCAATGTGTAGGTGGATATATTTTTATATCGGCTTTAACAAATACAACCTAATATACGAAGCTAGATGTTAGATCCTGACACATCCGTAACTTTTTCGTTAGAGTAAGTATGCAGCAAGTCGACAAATTGTTGCTCGTTCCTCTCGATGAGCATCAAATTTTATTAACTATAGAACTAAACACGAACGGGAAGGAAGCAGGAAGCCATAATGAATAAGTCACTACCACGTCTCGCATAGTCGAAAAAACAGTTAAAGAATTGCCTGAATATCAAGTACTCAGCAAGCCTACCGTAGCGATTGTCATCGGACCGTTGCATGCGTATAACAGAGATGAGACATTTTTGCGTAGCCTATTGGACAATTTGTGAAAACCCGCAAAATAGGAGTTTGGTCGCAGGAGTAGGTTGATAGTAAGTTGTTCGTAGCGCGACAGATTATATAAGGTACATTCGACAGACATTCAGGTTATTCTGGTGTCAATACTCTCCAAAATGTTACAACTGACTTTGGCATACCAATTTCTTCAATCAACAATTTATATATATTGCTTGAACAGCACGGAAGAAATGTTCATTTATGTAAACTGGAAGTAAAATGCTATTAAATTACTTCTTCACATTCGGCTGTTATTACTTATATATATCGTCACGCTAATAACCAAATTGCGTAAGTCATTTTTGGCGATTTTGAGCTTTTTATAAAATAGGTATTAATGTAATGCTGCGCACTTGTCTGTTACCTCAGATTTTATTTTAAGAATTCCGAAACCCATAAAAATGGAGATTTAGTATGACATGCAGATTTGTGTAATTGTTTCGTCATAACGAACTATCATTGTTACAGCAGGATTGTTGTGACGTCATAAAGGCAAAATAACCTCGGCGAACTATTTTTCGAGTTTTTGCATCTCGGATTCTAGCTTAACGCGTATTAATTTGAATTTATACTACAATATAGGAAGAGGTGCACTTGTGATATTCACTGTCCGAGTCCAATTCACCTTGGTTGGCTTTTATATTGGGTGCATTGCTGTTTTATTCTTTATATTTAATCTTAGTCTTATTTCGGTGAGTGTGCAGAACGTGTTATATTGATGAAATATTTATTTTTAAACATAAACTATAATGTAATTGAAACTGATTAGCTATTATCGGGATTAGACATTGTAGATACTGAGAATTACATTCGTTTATGGAATGTTTAGTTTTCAGGACTGGTGCATAAGTAAAGTTGCAAAATTGCGTATGTCCCCAAGTCATAGACACATTTCTGCCTAAGTCACAGTGAGCCATTATGACGTCACTTAACTGCGTTATACAAATCAACTTAAATCCGCCTACAATCAAAAAATTGGACCATGGCAAATTATTAACTTTCAATGGCATAACAATATCAATAGGAAGTGTTTTACGTTTTTCTCAAAACTGCTAAAAATGACTTACGCAATTCGGTTATTAGCGTGACGATATGTTATTAGTTTTAAATATATGCATGCCCCGTTTTCGGTGCTCCCGCGTAGTATGTGAACCAAGATGGTGGACACCGGAACGTAGTTTGTGTACCAGGTTAGGGTTAGGCCATAATTTTATTCCAATTTTCCTTATTTAAGTTCTATTACGAGTTCGGGGACTGGCCAAGTGACTCTCGTAGTATTTTGCACCTAAAATTATGGCCTAACCCTAACCTGATACACATACTACGTTCCGGTGTCCGAAATCTTGGTTCACATATACGACGGGAGTACCCAGAAGGGATTTTTAAGTTTTCCAAAAAAATGTGTGTTCGATGTAATTTATGGAATGAAAAAAATAACCGACCGAACATTTAAACTTATTTCTTATACCTCAGGATACTAAACCAATGTTATAATATAGAAGTAACCATGGCAACTAAATTTATAAAAAATTGTTCAACGATATTGATTTTTTTTTCATTTTATGGAATCATGTACTATTTGTTTAAAACTTCTGCCAAAGAAAGGTATTATATAAATTGTATCGAGGATTACTTATTTATAAAATGATTTTGAGATCGGAAGTAGGATGGATTTTTTGTCTGAAAAACAGTGTCACAAATTTATACTTTATTGGATTTGGAAGTAAAACTTCAAAATATATTCAGTATTCATATAAGAAGTTATATATAATTGCTATGGTTTGGGGCAGGGGCATGCCAAACTTTTTCGCCGCCCAGCGCGTGTTCCTGATAATGATGCCCCTTATACCCCACTTCAAAAATAATTCGGGGGATAAACAAATTAAGATATTGTTATACATGAGAATGAATAAAGTAAAGTAAGAGTGGAATGTTTGTATTAGTAATTAAATCATCACACTAAGCAACAAACTCACATGTATATGATCAAACTCATTTATCTACAACCTGCTGCCCGAGGCGGCTGCCCCTATGGCCCACCCCTAGGCCCGGTTTGTTGGACCGTTCCAGCAACCATTGCATCTGAAATCCAAACTACAAAATGCAAAAATTTAAATTTTTAAAACAAAGACTCTGACGTGTTGTTTCGGATATTGAATAATAAATGTCAAAAATACAGACGCAGTTTATTTACAATAAACCTTATTTTCTAGATATCAAAAATCAAATCTTCGCATGATCTTGTTGAATAGCGACTTGGGTGTAAAGAGATATGGTGATAAAAATGTATCAATGGAGTACACAACTGAAGCTACTACCACTCATCCTAAACATGAACCGAGAAGCAGGAGGTAATAATGAATAAACCACTACTCCGCCGTGCATAGGCAGACAAAAGGGATAAGAATGATCTGAATGTCAAATACTCAGAAAGCCTACCGTAGCGATTGTAAGACGCCGGTCACCAGACCGTTTCATGGGTTTAATTATCAGAGATAAGACATTTTTGCGTGCTGGAATATTTCTGAATATCTAGCAAAATAACCTTTTTGACGCTCGATTATATATTGCTAGTAAGTTCTTCGTAGCGTGACAGATATTTATGTTATTCTGATGTCAACACTCTCCAAGAAAGTTGTTAAAATTAGTTTCAAGATAACAACTGTATCTGAAATTTCGACTGCTAAATGGAATAATTTTTTTTAAAAACGAAGACTTTGACTAAGTCCTGTGTGAGATAAATAATAACGGAAATCCTATTGCAGTTTTTATTCACAAGAAACCTTTTTTCCTAGATATCAACAATCAAATCTTGGCATGATTGTGTCGAATAGCAGCTTGCCTCTGAAGGAAGATGGCGATAAAAATATATCACTGGAATACTCCACTGAAGCTATTTTCACTCATCCTATGTCCACATTCAAACAATTTGGTCTCGAACAGATAGACTTTTTAAAGAGAATGAAATCAAAACGACCATTGTTTAATATTACAATGGAACCTTGGAAAATTTTGCAAACAAAACATAGAATGGATTCAACAGGTCACTTTTGCTTCCTATTGTATTTTAAATAAGCAAAACTGTTAGGGTATCGACCAGTAGGTATTTCTGAAAAAGAGTATACATGCGAATTTAATGTAAATTACCGATCATATTTTTCAGATTGTCGATGGCCAATGATTATTGCAGTAAAAACAGCATACTATAGGGTTGAACAAAGACATCGTGTCAGGAAAACATGGGGTTTCAACAAATTCTTCAATGGAGTTTGTTTAGATGTTGTTTTTGTTGTTGCAAGCACATCAACCACAGAAGAGAATGTTAAGTTAGGAAAAGAAGAATCGGAGCATGGCGATATTCTACAGATTGAATTGGAAGAAACCTATCGGTAAGTTTTTAATTTCCAAATAACGTAGAAACACCTTCCGCCGTCGTGTTATTTGTCTCATGACATGCAGTATTTCAAAGTGAATTTTAGTTTCCAATGGAGTCAAATATTAAAAGGGACGACACCTAGAAATTTAGATGTTTTGCTACATATGTGGGTCATACTTCATGTAATATGTCAACGTATAACATTTGCAATTTTAAACGTACTTGAGTACTCCAGTAGTATGTGTACCAGGTTGGGGTCAGGCCATACTTTGTGTCCGATTTTCCTTATTTTAGTTCTATTACCAGTTCGTGAACTGTCTGTGTTAGGCAAGTGAATATACCCCCGTTCCATAGGTTTCAGTCCTTTCACACAACTTGATGTGAAGTAGGCGAACAAAATTAATTATATTCATATTGGTACACACACCTCCGGAGCACCCGTTCTTGTCGATTTATATTGGGGCCAACCCTTTCTGTAATTTATCAATTGAAAATTAAAACATCAAGTGTTTTCACGAAGTCAATGAAATTTGTGAATAATTCCACATAAACTTTTTCAAATACAATATTTTAACAGTAACATTGGATTAAAAGCCCTGGCTTCGATGCAATGGGTATCGGATAATTTTCCAAGCAACTGGATATACTCATCTGGAGATGATGACATGCTACCAGACTTCCCTTGTTTATTCAAAAATATAGAAAAATCAATACCCGAAGAAGGGAAATTTTCAACAAATTCCAGCAATTCTATCTTGAATCATCGATTAAACACGAAAAATTTCCCAATATTTTGCGGACATGGATATAGACCTACATCAAAACCACATCGATTTGAGAGTAAATGGCATGTCAGCGTAGAAATATATCCCTATGACTATTATCCGCCGTTTTGTTTGGGCGGATTTTATTCAATGTCAGTAAAGCACGCCAGCGCAATTTACTCTGTTTCAAGATGGTACCCCTATTTTTATTTGGATGATGTTTGGATAACAGGATTTATGAGACTACGGTTGTGTGATGTGATGACGGATCGGGATTTTTTATTCAACAAGAGGGATATTCACTGTGGGATATCTTCTATGAACGAAGTTGCAGTAAAGCACGATATCTAACTGAAGTTATTTCCCTTTTTTTAAATGTAAAGATGTTCACTATTTGGTTCGCGAACATTGTTAATTAAACGATAAATATTTATATTCGAGCCAGATTCGGAAAGCACTGTGCAATGTGTAGGTGTTATATTTTCTTTTACCAAAAAAAATATAAAGTAGAGAATTATACGAGATTTTCAAATATATATACAAAATATGAAAACCGATTTCCATTCACTTGTAAATAACACGTTTTTATTCATAATAACCACAATACATGGATTATCAATCATTTGAAACGTGTAGGAGAGACTAGGTCAAAAGATTCACGTTATTGACTAGATCTTATTCAGGGAAGGGCTTATATTAAAATCATTTTTAAAATTCAGGCTAGGCCTTAATTTAAGGTTAGGTCTTTATTTGGGGGAGATACGGTACTCACACTATTCGAAAGAGAATTCTACATGATTTCATATATTAGGTCTTCATATATTGTTCGTAATATGGATCTACTTCATCCATCTCAGTACTATAAATTCGATTGGTCTATTAGATGTGCAGAAAAGCGATTTTCTACAACAATAACAATCACCCCAACAATCAGCAAAACGACCCGCAGGTCCATTTCGTGTCTAATAATCCTTTCTCAATAATATTAACGACATTCATGAGCAATCAGTCGTAAAACAGTGGTTGGCAAACTTTGTGTATACTCTTGAGTCAAATATCAACATGCCCAGTAATGTGCGCCCAGATTATTGTCTGCCTGCCTGTGAACAATCTTCCCATTGAACTTTATGACGCACCCGCAGCGGTCGGCTACTTCCGTAGTGTGTGTACCAGGTCAAGGTTAGGCCATAATTTTATTCCGATTTTCCCGACGAGTTCCGGGATTGTCTGTGTTAGCCAAGTGAATATACCGAATATTCAGTCCCAACTTGATGCAAAGTAGACAAACAAAATTAGTTACCTCCTTATTGGTACACATATTTCTGGAGCGTCTCCGCAACTCCTATTACTGCATTTAACGCTGGTCTCAATGAAACGGGTGTGTTGCCGTTTTTCATTTCTCATTGAACATGTACATTGTTTACTTATCCCCAATGTAAAGGCTGGCGTTGATTCTGTGTGATAGCCAAAGCGTTAAAATCAACTGGCACCTTTGTTGATAACATCTGCAGCCTCATGTTTGCAGGCTTGCTTCATCAAGGAAATAACTTTGAATAATACTCAACAGAGAAATATTTTTTCGTCCGAAAACTTAGGAACGTTTAACCCTCGTCATCAACTTTTCTACGTTTCCCAGCCGTGTTAATGCCAAATTTTAAATATTAAACTGAGCTAAACTGGTAATTACAATTAACTGTAGGCACATTCCATTAACATGTGCTTTTGTCTACGCAACCTATCGTGTTTTCCCGAAAATAAGCCCTATCCTGAATTTTACCTAAAACTGTAACACGATGGTGGATACTATGACTGCATGTGCTCAGAAGTCGTGATATTTCCAGTAGTGTATGTATGCAGCAAGCCAACAAATTGTGGCTCGTATCTCTCGATGAGCATCAAATTTCTTTAACTATAGAACTAAACAGGAACGGGAAAGCAGGAAGTAATAATCAATAAGTCACTACTACGTATTGCATTGTCGAATAAAGACTGTTATAGAATTGCCTGAATGTCAAGTACTCAGCAAGCCTACCGTAGCGATTGTCATCTGACCGTTGCATGCGTATGATAGACAAAGATAAGACATTTTTGCGTAGCCTACAGGGCAATTTGTGAATACCCGCAAAATAAGTTTAGTCGCATGAGTAGGTTGATAGTAAGTTGTTCGTAGCGTGGCAGATTATATAAGGTACATTCGACAGACATTCAAGTTACTTTGGTGTCAATACTCTCCAAGATGTTAAAACTGATTTTGGCATAACAATTTCTTCAATCAACAATCTATATATATTGCCTGAACAGAACGAAAGAAATGTTCATTTACGTATACTGGAAGTAAAAAGCTATTAAATTGCTTCTTCACATTCAGCTGTTATTAGTTATAAATATGTGCATGCCCCGTTTTTGGTGCTCCCGCGTAGTATGTGAACCAGGATGTCGGACACCGGAACCTAGTTTGTGTATAGGGATAATGTTGTTATTTTAGTAAGATTTTGTTTTATATAATAATAATATTAATTTGAGTAATAACAGATAATTTAGACTTACTTAGAATTATAAGACGTCTGGTTTTAGTACTTACTACATATAATACATTTATATAGCCCCAAGCCATTTCTCAATGGCAAACCAGTTTTAAGATAATTTATCTATGTTCCATACTTGATTAGTACATTTTCAACAAACGTCTATAAATAGAATACGTCGACCACGTTCCATGTGATTTTTCTGGCTGTAGTAGTAGTGTATGTTAATCATTAATAGATATTCGATATTAATATATATATATGTAGAGAATGTGCAAGTGAAAAGCTCACTCTGAGCCCAGAAAGGAACAGAAAAAGGTTATTAATTGATAAGTTGTTTTTTAATATGAATATGAGGTTGCTTCAAAACTTATCTAAGGATAAGGCTGTGATAAATAATTCCTAATCCGATCCCTAACTGGATATTTACTAATTATTTATTTTCAAACGTGGCGGGAGTGTTTCAATTCAACAGCGTCTCTACCACTGAAAAATCAGCTTTTACATCAGGCGGGTATTCAAGCACAGGCCCTCATTTATTTTTATGTTCTGTTCACACGGGCGGCTATTCAAACGGACCCTTATCAAGATCGGGCGGTAAAACGAGCATATACGGTAATTGCATTAGCGGCGAGGGCTTTCTACAACATATCTAGGTTCTGTATAACAGCAGTCTCTTAGACCAAGGCTGCCAAACCCGCCGAACTGTTTTTTGCGGCCCGCCCTATAAAGTTTGTAAGCAGACTTTTTATGTTTTTACTATGTTATATATCAATATATAGGGTTAAGTACGTTTCTGATTTTGGTGTGATTATTCCTGCCATCTATCTACATTCAAATGCCGGCAAATACATTCAAATTCAGAAGTCGTGATATTTCCAGTAGTGTATGTATGCAGCAAGCCAACAAATTGTGGCTCGTATCTCTCGATGAGCATCAAATTTCTTTAACTATAGAACTAAACAGGAACGGGAAAGCAGGAAGTAATAATCAATAAGTCACTACTACGTATTGCATTGTCGAATAAAGACTGTTATAGAATTGCCTGAATGTCAAGTACTCAGCAAGCCTACCGTAGCGATTGTCATCTGACCGTTGCATGCGTATGATAGACAAAGATAAGACATTTTTGCGTAGCCTACAGGGCAATTTGTGAATACCCGCAAAATAAGTTTAGTCGCATGAGTAGGTTGATAGTAAGTTGTTCGTAGCGTGGCAGATTATATAAGGTACATTCGACAGACATTCAAGTTACTTTGGTGTCAATACTCTCCAAGATGTTAAAACTGATTTTGGCATAACAATTTCTTCAATCAACAATCTATATATATTGCCTGAACAGAACGAAAGAAATGTTCATTTACGTATACTGGAAGTAAAAAGCTATTAAATTGCTTCTTCACATTCAGCTGTTATTAGTTATAAATATGTGCATGCCCCGTTTTTGGTGCTCCCGCGTAGTATGTGAACCAGGATGTCGGACACCGGAACCTAGTTTGTGTATAGGGATAATGTTGTTATTTTAGTAAGATTTTGTTTTATATAATAATAATATTAATATGAGTAATAACAGATAATTTAGACTTACTTAGAATTATAAGACGTCTTGTTTTGGTACTTACTACACATAATACATTTATATAGCCCAAAGCCATTTCTCAATGGCAAACCAGTTTTAAGATAATTTATCTATGTTCCATACTTTATTAGTACATTTTCAACAAACGTCTATAAATAGAATACGTTGACCACGTTCCATGTGATTTTTCTGGCTGTAGTAGTAGTGTATGTTAATCATTAATAGATATTCGATATTAATATATATGTATGTAGAGAATGTGCAAGTGAAAAGCTCACTCTGAGCCCAGAAAGGAACAGAAAAAGGTTATTAATTGATAAGTTGTTTTTTAATATGAATATGAGGTTGCTTCAAAACTTATCTACGGATAAGGCTGTGATAAATAATTCCTAATCCGATCCCTAACTGGATATTTACTAATTATTTATTTTCAAACGTGGCGGGAGTGTTTCAATTCAACAGCGTCTCTACCACTGAAAAATCAGCTTTTACATCAGGCGGGTATTCAAGCACCGGCCCTCATTTATTTTTATGTTCTGTTCACACGGGCGGCTATTCAAACGGACCCTTATCAAGATCGGGCGTGAAACGAGCATATACGGTAATTGCATTAGTGGCGGGGGCTTTCTACAACATATCTAGGTTCTGTATAACAGCAGTCTCTTAGACCAAGGCTGCCAAACCCCACGAACCGTTTTTTGCGGCCCGCCCTATAAAGTTTGTAAGCAGACTTTTTATGTTTTTACTATGTTATATATCAATATATAGGGTTAAGTACGTTTCTGATTTTGGTGTGATTATTCCTGCCATCTATCTACATTCAAATGCCGGCAAATACATTCAAATTTATTATTACGTATGTGTCAAGTCTTGCACCCTGGTGGACATCCACGTCAGTTTTTTTTTTTATTTCTCGCAGAACTGAGCGTTCTGTTCGACAAACTCGAAATATATTGTGCGGTCATTGAGGACGAACGCTGAGCGTAATTATAGGAATAGATTTGGAGCCTAAATTTGCGAATTAATTTCATTCTGATTGTTTTCTTACGTGTCTGCCTTGATCGTCTTTATCGACAGCGTAAAATAAAATGTCAACAATATCTTTGGTACTGGTCCTGGAACTCGTTGTCTTTTTATGTTTGTATTTTTTTTTATCAAATGTTTTGGTTGAATAAGATTTCGGAAATATCGTCACTGCATATCAGACAATAATTCTGATAAAATTGACTTAACGGCTTACGGCATTGCTGCATATTAGTCACGAATCAGTATATATAGACTATTCACCCAGAAATCTTTGTAATGTTACTTCATTGAATATTTGTATTGGTGTTTCAAATTTTACGAAACGGCCCACTTAAACTTGATATTCCCGCAACAGGGGCGTACATTATGCTCATTTAAACATTGTCCACGCCCCGTGTTAGCAGATATTCGAATTGTAAACTGCTATTCTAATATTCGACTAGATATTCGAATAATTTGCCAGCCCTACTCAGTGACCAGAAAACAGTAATTAAATTGGCTGATTTGATGTTAATAAACTTGCCTTTTATTTATTATGCAAATTACCTACACCGAAATCGGAACTTTGCTGGTACAGTAATAATGTTTGGTACAAACGTTTGCGGCTCACAACGAATTTCGTCACTTGAAAGTGGCCCGCGAGACGATAAAGGGTGGGCAGGCCTAACTTAGACGAAAGAGGGTACTCGCGTAGTATGTGTACCAGGTTGGGGTTAGGCCATAATTTCAGTTACAAGAACTACGGAAGTCACATGGCTAGTCCCCGAACTCGTAATATAACTAAAATAGTAATATTTGGAAAAAAATTATGGCTTACTCTAACCTGGTACACATATTACGTTCCGGTGTCCGCCATCTTGGTTCACATACTACGGGAGTACCCAAAAGGGATTTCTAAGTTTTCCATAACCTATATTGTTCGACGTAATCTATTGGGTGAAAAAATGACCGAATGAACATTTGAACTCCTTTCTTATACTTCAGGATACTACACCAATGTTAGAATAAAGAAGTAACCATGGCAACTAAATTTATAAAGAATTGTTTAACGATATTGATTTTCTTTTCATTTTGTGGAATTATGTACTATTTCTATAACACTCCTGCCGAAGAAAGGTATTATATAAATTGTATCGAGGATTACTTATTTATAAAATCATTTTGAAATCGGATGTAGGATAGATTTCTGTCTGAAAAACAGTGTCACAAATTTATACTTTATTGGAATTGAAAGTAAAACTTTAAAATATATTCAGTATGCATATAAGATGTTATATAGAATTGCTATGGTTTTGGGCAGGAGCGTGAAAATGAATAAATTAAAGGCCAAGTAAGAGTGAACTGTTTGTATTGTTACACTCACATCCAGACGCAGTTTATTACAAAAAACCTTTATGTTTAGATATCGACTATCAAACCTTGGTATGATCGTGTTGAACAGCGGCTTGGGTGTAAAGGGATATGGTAATAAAAATGTATCAATGGAGTACACAACGGAAGCTACTTTCACTCATCCTACACATAAACCGGGAAGCAGGAAGTAAGAATGATTCAACCACTACTTCGTCGTGCATAGTCAAACAAAATGGATAAGAATGATTTGAATGCCAAGTACCAAGCAAGCCTACCGTAAAATTTTATTTAAAACTAACTAGCTCATGTATTTAGTCATACTCAAGCCAAGCACTGAAAACGCTTTTCACATCGCGTGACGCCGCGAACCTTTTCTGCAACTTATTTAAATTCTATGGGTTAAATTAACTATGTCGCTGATACTTAGTTCTCAGGCTTATTCAATGAAAGTAGCATACGTTTTCATATTTAGCATGAGGCGCAAGACAATCGTTACCGAACCCAGTGGCGACACTATTCATATTTGGGGGCGAACTTGCATCGCCAACCAAAAAAACACTGCGCCGTGTATCGGTACGTAGCAATACCTTTCAATGTTATTCTCTTAAGTATTATCATGTCATTTTACTTCTCATATTTCCAGTACCTGTTTCAATTCTTAGTTTTGCATAAAGCGCATCAACACCGTTTCGTATAATTAGAAATGTCAAACAAGTTAACAAATTATTGTGTGAAATTTTTCCCAAATTGGACCAAGGAATTATTATCTGACTAGTATTATTGTCGACTTATTCAATCATCATTTGAACTCAAAATAACATTCAGGATTCACGAAATGACTTTGCAGGATTTTTATTCACTATTTAATTCTAAAATGAAACAGCCGCAATAAAAAGATAAAATCAAGGAGGTCAACTATTGTCTTCATAAATATCCGCATTTAATAAGCGTTTTGATATAGTAAATGCTATGATCATTGCCATTAAATTATAATAATAGATATGTAGAGAATGACTCTCACTCTAGAGAATCACTCTAAGCCCAGAGAGAAACAGAAAAAAGATATTAATTGATAAGTTTTTTAATATGAAATGGTTGCTCCAAAACTTACCCACGGATAATGCTCTGGGATATTTTGTAGAAAGTCACCGTAAAAAACACTCTCGCCCTCGCTCAAAAAAATAGTAATTATCCAGGTAGAGTAAGGAGTACAGATTGAGCTGGAAATTCAAATTTTCACATCATTCCTGACTGGATATTTACTAATTATTTATTTTCAAATGTGTCGGGAGTGTTTTTCTCAAATCTCACATTATTGCATTAGAGGCGGAGGCTTTCTACAACAGAGATAGGCTCTGTATAACAGCAGTCTCTTAGACAAACGGGATTTCTGAGTTTTCAAAAAAAAAATTGTTCGAAGTAATCTATTAAGTGAAAAAAATGACTGACTGAACATTTGATTTCCTTTCTTATACTTCAGGATACTACACCAATGTTAGAATTTGGAAGTAAATAAAGAATTGTTTAACGATATTCATTTTCTTTTCATTTTGTGGAATCATGTACTATTTGTTCAAAACTTCTGCCAAAGAAATGTATTACATAAATTGTATCAAGGATTACTTATTTATAAAATGATTTTGAGATCGGAAGTAGGATGGATTTCTGTCTGAAAAAAGTCTCACAAATTTATACTTAATTGGGATTGAAAGTAAAAATTTAAAATATATTTAATATGCATATAAGGAGTTATATAGAATTGCCATGGTTTTGTGCAGGAGCGTGCCAAACTTTTTTGCCGCCTGGGCGAGTTTCTGATAATGATGCCCCTAATACCCAACTTCAAAAATAATTCGGGAGATAAACAAATTATAGATATTGTTATACATGAGAATAAATTAATTAAAAGTCAAGTAAGAGTGAAATGTTTGTATTGTTACACTCACTTGTATAGTATCAAACTCATTTATCTACAACGTGCTGCCCGGGGCGGCGGCCCCTATGGCTATCCCCTAGGCCCGCCCTAGCTTTATGTTTGTTGTGCCGTTCCAGCAACCATTCTATCTGAAATCCCAACTACAAAAAAATATATATTTAAAACAAGGACTTTGACGTGTTGTGTCTGATATGGAATAAGAAATGGCAAATATCCAGACGCAATTCATTACAAGAAACCTTTATTTCTAGATATCGACTATCAAACCTTGGTATGATCGTGGTGTTAAACAGCGTCTTGGGGAAGGGATATATTGATAAAAATGTATCAATGGATTACACAACTGAAGCTATTCTCACTCATCCTACACATGAACCGGAAAGCAGGAAGTAAGAATGATTCAACCACTACTTCGGCGTACATAGTCAAACAAAAGGGATAAGAATGATCTGAATGCCAAGTACTCAGAAAGCCTACCGTAGCGACTGTAAGACGCCCGTCACCAGACCGTTTCATGCGTTTAATTAACAGAGATAAAACATTTTTGCGTGCTGTAATATTTCTGAATACCTAGCAAAATAACCGTTTTGTCACTTTAGTATATATATATATATATTGATTGTAAGTTCGTCGTGGCGTGAAAGATATTTATGTTATTCTGATCTCAACACTCTCCAAGCAGGTTGTTAAAATTGGCTTTAACACAACAACTGTACTTGAAATTTCAACTGCAAAATGTAATAACTTTTTTTTTAAAACGAAGACCTTGACTAAGTCGTGTTGTTTCGGATATGAGAATAATAATCTGCCTGAATTATAGATGAAAACTATCAAACTCACCTTGTCTCATTTCCGCAAAAGTTCTCCATCAGACCTGACACGAGAAATATGTAGGACATCAATTCATTTCGTTCGATAAAATCACATTAAAAATATATGGACAACAAACGGAGCCTAATTTATGAACAAAATCAAACGGCATCACAGTATAAAAAAATCTTTCCCAAATTTGATCCTAAATATCTAACAACGATCAATGAAACCAGACAACAAACTATGAACATATTCAGACTACACACAGGTCATTGTAAATTGAATAAACATTTTTCAAAAATCAATCGAACAATTAGAGAAAAATGTGACCAATGTACTGACACAATGGAAGACGTAGTGCACTATCTCATACAATGTCCAAAATATGAAACTTATATATAGAAAATTGACTAGAAATAATGCAAGAAAACTGAATGTGAACTTCAGTTCTGTGGGAAATATTGGGACAACACAAAATGAGGCACTCTATAAATATATTTGTAATACAAACAAAGAAAAGACTCTAAACAAATTATTCTAATTTAATTGTAACATTTTAGCCTACTCCTTTACTATTTTGTTCTTTATAGACCTTTATAGACACGTTAGACCTAAATTATTCAAGTAAGCCAGAAATGGAAATTAACAGTTTTTTATTTTTTTTTATGTCAATGCTGTAAACAAGGTCTAAACTCTAAATAGTGCACATCATAGAAAATATTAAACGAACCATAATTTATTGATTTGTTACCGTATTGCCGTACGGTAATTACCTGTCTATGTACCGGTAGCTAGTCCAATAGTTCAGCCAGTCAGTAGTTATACACACCCTACAGTCCTATCCCAATACGGTACTTTAACATAGCCTATGTAGTTTCTACATTTTTCAATTGAGTAAATATTGTGCTATCAATCTGTATGTCACTATTTTCACTCAGAATTACGATGCCGGTACTTACCTTCCAAAGTTATCCTCGGTGACGTACCGTGGCCTCCATGGTAACCACTTATAACTGTACACAAGAAACCCTCATGTGGTGCATAATTTTGCAATCATATTTGTGCTGTATATTCGATGATAAACGTACTAACTTATATTTATGTAAAGTGTGAATATTACTTGTCATGCACGAAATGCATTCATTGCGAAGTGCTTATGATATATAACAAAAAAACAAAATATTAATAGCGGTAATCCTATCGCAGTTTTTTTTATAAGAAACTTTTTTTCTAGATATCGACAATCGAACCTTCGTATGATTGTGATGAATAGCAGCTCGGATCTGAAGGAAGATGGCGATAAAAATAATTTATCAATGGAATATTCCACTGAAGCTATTTTCACTCATCCTATGTCTACATTCAAACAATTTGGTCTCGAACAAATAGACCTTTTGAAGAGAATGGATTCAAAACGACCGTTGTTTAATATAACGAAGGAACCTTGGAGAATTTTGCAAACAAAACATAGAATGGATTCATCAGGTCATTTTACTACCTATTGTATATATTTTAAGCAAGAGAGCGATGATCAAATATATGTACTGTACACGTAGAGCGAAACAAATGGCCTGATATTCCATCGCGGAACCGCTTGAAATAAGTTAAAACAGTTTTCCCATGAGTAAACGATAATATAACGGACATTTTGGATGAAATATCAGATCTCATAAGCTTTATAGAAAATTTGGGAATAATTAAAAGCAATAGCCTTCTAGCGAAATATTCAATATTTAACCACTGAAAGTTTCAAAGCAATTGGTCCAGTAATCAAAGAGAAAAGCGATTTTTTTCATAACGATAAATTCTATGTTAAAAAACAATAACAACATAATCAGATAACGATCCATAGGTCCACTACGTGTCCAACAACCAAAACTGTTGTATATATATCGAACAGTTTGTATTTCTGAAAAAAATGTAACTGCGAGTATAGATGCTTAGTGCGAATTTAATGCAAATTACCGATCATATTTTTCAGATTGTCGATGGCCAATGATTATTGCAGTAAAATCAGCATACTATAGGGTTGAACAAAGACATCGTGTCAGGAAAACATGGGGTTCCAACAAATTCTTCAATGGAGTTTGTTTAGATGTTGTTTTTGCTGTTGCAAGCACATCAACCGCAGAAGAGAACGTTAAGTTAGAAAAAGAAGAATCGGAGCATGGCGATATTCTACAGGTTGAATTGGAAGAAACCTATCGGTAAGTTTTTAATTTCCAAATACCGTAAAAACACCTTCCGCCGTCGTGTTATTTGTCTCATAACGCGCAATATTTCAATGTGAATTTTGGTTTCCACTTGAGTCAAATATTGAAAGGGGCGACACCTAGAAATTTAGATGTTTTGCTACAAATGTGGGCCATACTTCACGTAGTATGTCAACGAATACCATTTGCAATTTTATACGTTCTTGAGTACTCCCGTAGTGTGTGTACCAGGTTAGGGTTAAGCCATACTTTTTTTTTCTGATTTTCCTTATTTTAGTTCTGTTACGAGTTTGTGGACTGTCTGTGTTAGCCAAGTGAATATATCGTCTTCCCATAGATTTCAGTCCCTTCACACAACTTGATGTAAAGTGGGAGAACAAAATTAGTTACTCCCATATTGGTACACACACTTCCGGAGCGCCCGTTCTCGTCTATTTATATTGGGGCCATCCCTTTCTGTAACTTATCATTTGAACATTAAAACATTAAATGTTTTCACAAAGTCAATGAAATTTGTGATTCATTCCAAATAAACTTTTTCAAATACAATATTTTAACAGAAACATCGGATTAAAAGCCCTGGCTTCGATGCGATGGGTAGCGGATCATTTTCCAAGCAACTGGATATATTCATCTGGAGATGATGACATGTTACCAGATTTCCCTCGTTTATTCAAAAATATAGAAAAATCAATACCCGAAGAAGGGAAATTTTCAACAAATTCCAGCAATCCAATCTCGAATCATCGATTAAACACGAAAAACTTCCCAATATTTTGCGGACATGGATATAGACCTACCTCAAAACCACATCGATTTAAAAGTAAATGGCATGTCAGCGTAGAAATATATCCCTACGACTATTATCCGCCATTTTGTTTGGGCGGATTTTATTCAATGTCAGTGAAGCACGCCAGCGCAATTTACTCTGTTTCAAGATGGTACCCCTATTTTTATTTGGATGATGTTTGGATAACAGGATTTATGAGATTACGTTTGTGTGATGTGATGACGGATCGGGATTTTGTATTCAATAAGAGGGATATTCACTGTGGGATATCTTCTATGAACGAGGTTGCAGTAAAGCACGATATCTAACTAAAGTTGTTTTCTTTTTTTTTTTAATTTAAATATGTTCACTATTTGGTTCGCGAACATTGTTAATTAAACGATAAATATTTATATTCGAGCCAGTTTCGGAAAACACTGTGCAATGTGTAGGTGGATTTAATAATAGCGGCTTCAACAAATACAACATATATAAAGCCCATGTTAGATACTGACACCTTCGTGAATTTTTTACCCGTGAAAGAGGGTCTTCTGATATATACATTGATAACTTAAGATAGGAAGATCTTTCAGCACTCAAAATATATACGCATTTATAATATTTCAGGCAACTTTATTAGTACATGAATCAGGCTACAATTGTGTCGCAGTAATTTTCGTACTATTTAAAAATGAGTCTTAGAAACGTGAGATAGACTTTCACACTATGCGAAAGAGAATCCTACATGATTTCATATATTAGGACAAGAATTGTTCGTAATATGGATCGACATTATTCATCTTAGTACTAAAAATTTAAAACGGTTTGGCCCATTAGATGCGCATTTTCCAACATAACCATCACCCAACGACAACAATTAGCAAAATGATCAACAGGTCCATTTCGTGTCTAATAATCCTGTCTTAATAACATTAACGACATTCATGATCAATCCGTCGTAAAAAGTGGTTGGCAATCTTTGTGTATACTCCTGAGTCAAATATCAACATGTCCAGTAATGGGCGCCTGGATTAATGTCTGCCTGTAAACAATCGTCCTATTAAACTTGATGGCGCACCCACAACGCTACTCCCGTAGTATGTGTACCAGGTTAGGCCATAATTTTATTCCGAGTTTCCCGACGATTTACGGGACTGCCTGTGTTAGCCAAGTGAATATAACCCTTGCCTATAGGTTTCAGTCCCAACTTTATGTAACGTAGGCAAACAAAATTACCTCCATATTGGTACACAAAGTTCTGGAGCGTCCCCGCAACTCCTATTACTGCGTTTACCGCTTGTCTCAATGAGACGTGTATGTTGCTGTTTTCCATTTCTTATCAAATATGTACATTGTTTACTGAATTGATTACTTATCCTCAATGTAAAGGCTGGCGTTGATTCTGTGTGATAGCCAAAGCGTTAAAATCAACTGGCACCTTTGTCGATAATATCTGTAGCTTTATGTTTGCAGGTTTGCCTTATCAAGCAAATAATTTCGAATAATGCTCAACAAAACAATATTTTTCCGTCTGGAAACTTAGGAACGTTCGACACTCTCTATCAACTTTTCTACGTTTTCCAGTCATTTTAATGACAAAGTTTAAATATTAAACTGGAATGGACTGATTATACTCACAATTAACTGACAACTGTAGGCACGTTCGGCGGCGCTCCAGAAGTGTGTATACCTATATGGAGGGAACTAATTTTGTTCGATTATTTACATCTAGTTGTGTAAAGGGACTGAAACCGATGGGCAGGGGGTATATTCACTTGGCTTACACAGACAGTCCCAGAACTCGTAATAGAACAAAAATAGGGAAATCGGAATAAAATTACGGCATAACCCTAATCCTAGAACTGGTACACACAACCGTTCGGCAAGTAAACGACATACCACAAACAAGTGCTTCCGTCTAACTCTACGCTACTTATATACAACAAAACAATCGCCGTACAACAGCCACTATTACGACACAATTCCGTGTGCAGATAATATTAAATTTATAATCAATTTTTGTTTTCATTCATTTAAAATGGATCGTTCCTGGGCTGCAAAAAATCATTTACAGGCCGCAGTTTGCCGACCCCTGCCTTAAAATATTGTCGATATCAAGAAGATGTGACGTTGGAGAAACCTGATGACCAACGAACATCTGAGGGCACTGTGTTGTATCGCCGTAGTTAAAATTGAAACGATTCTCAAGTTTAGCATGTGGGTTGAATATAGTCACGATATTATTGAATCTGTGAATATCCAAGGGGAGAATCGAACTAACTTACATGTAATTTTACGTTAACCTGTTTTCACTAATCTTGTCTGGGACTAAGTGGAACAGTCGAGAAAAAAAAACGAAATAACATTTTTTAGATTCAATTTACCGTACCCTGTCGGTTGTTTTTGAATATTATGTACCGACATTATACAGCGGTATTACCAGACGTCTGCATGCCAAATCAAATTAATATTTAACCAGATAAATTTCAATTTCCCAGCAATGGGCTACTTTTCATCTATCTATGATGCCTTTACGGAGAAATTGTTGTTGCGTGGAGAAATCTATTCTCAATAACTAAACCGGGACAACGTTAAGCTAGCGATATGAACAAATGAAACCCCTCACTCAAGTTGAAAAATGATCATTTCACATCTAATCTTGAGGAATTGCGCCATAAAATCCAGAGCAAACAATAACAAAAAAATTCGATCAGAAGTTGATGTTTCATTGGGATGCTCCAAGCGATTTCAAATTAAAGCTGTCGGCGGGCTTTAATCAATGGAACTTGTCATAAATGTTTAAATAGCAATTCACTGTAACGTCAATACTGTTGAAAAAGCGTCAGTTTTTAATCGTTTAAATAGCATTTCATTGTAACTTTTATGCTGTTAAGAAGTGTCAGTATTCAAACATTTCAAAATTACCCTATTTACAATGCCGTTCTCCCAAATGTACGTTATACTGTTGGCTGTGAATTAGCTGAGCTAAACAGCGGGCGAACATGGATCACATCGGTTGGAATACAAACAAGTTTTGAAAAAGAAAACATCGAAATTTTGGTTTAAACCCCAGGTTCCAATTCCACAGCCAAATTTTGTCTTCAGAATAAGGGAGTGCGGTATTGGGCTTAGCTGGCTAATATTTCTCACATTTGAATCTTAAATGTCTTAAGCAGCATTGAATTTCCTAATGCAGAACTTCTAATGCTCAATCATTACATCAGTAAACATACATTGTTGAAAGAATTTTCTTAACCAATACAAGAGTGCATTTAGTTGGATTTTACATGATTTGATTACGGATTGAAAATAACTATGAAGACTGTTCGGTTTTAAACACTGCAATCTTAGCTGCTTCTCTTAATCCACTAAGATAAGCACCAGTTACAGTCTGAGGAAAATGTCTGTTCGTTGCTTCACCAGCAAAGTACAATTTACCATCAATAGACTTTGCTAGTCTGTCGTAATCCTCACCACTGCTTCCAGTTTTAATGTAACTATAAGCCATTTGAGCATATGGATCGGTTTTCCATCGTGTCACAAAATACCGTATAGGCTGTGGAATTGATTTGTTTGGAAACATTGCACGCAAAACAGTCATAGCAATGTCCACAACCTCCTGTTCAGTCATTTTTGAAGCAGCATCAACAGAATCCCCTGAAATTACACTCATTAGAACATTTCCTTTTTCCATCGATACGCTTGGCATATCATAAAACATAGTGAAAAATCCCTTTTTTATTTTGTCTGAGGGTATATAACCGAAATAGTTTGCACCATTTATTTTGTCTTCCCAAAATCGCTCTGAAAATTCCAATCCTACTTTTTCTATACACCCACACCCTATCTTGCCCATTGCATCCTGTTTGAAGTTGGGTAGTTCTGGTTTGAATAAAATGCTTTTGGATTTTAAAACTGCCAAGGGTACAGTTATAAGAACACAGTCAGCACTAAAAATATCTCCAGTGTCAGTTTGGACTTCAACTTTTTCATTTGTATAGTCGATACTTGTAACAGGTGAAGATAATCGAATATCAAGATTATAAGCCAAGGATTTTAGAAGAGCAGAAAAACCATATTGTACCAGGGTATGATCACCCCCAAACTGAGCAAAGGTTTCGTTTTGATCCCAATGAAAAGCCGATACTTTATCCAAACAAGCACCGCATGCAAATTCAAGATTACCAACATGAAACTGCAAAAGTTGCTCCTCTAGTTCAGAAAATGTTAGTCCACTTTTGTCTTTTCCACTCAGTGTGAGCCTCAATAATTTTCTCTCCCAGAGAAGAATCTGAATTTTCTTGCTGAGTTCTTCGCCAATTCCGCTATTATGTCGAGCAACGCATTAAAATGAAAATCCATTCTCTTGTCACAGTGCATTGATATCGGAACGCCGTTGCTGTCATACAAATCACATTGTGGTCTTAGTACTTGCATCTTCAATCCTAACTGTTCTGAAATAAGTGCCATTGGATTATTCACACATCCATTGACAATTTGAGCTCCTCTTCCAACACAGGTACCATTCAAAGACCAATCATCATGCACTCTTCCGCCGATGCGATCTCTTGCTTCTAAAATTGTGACTTTTATACCAAAATTGTGCAGTTGCCTTGCGCCCCCTAAGCCAGCTGGGCCTGCACCAATTATAATAACATCCTTATTCAAGTACTTATTTGGTAGCAAAGCGACACTGGACGGACTTGAAAGTGCCCCAATGTTTATTAAACCCTTATAAGTAGCGAAGCATAAAATTCTAGGCAAAAGATGTTCACACAAGAATATTCGTGTCAAGCCTCTGAGAATAATATATTGACAGCATCGCTTAACAGTTAAGAAAGATTTTTTGTGAAGAGTCCATAAAGCAACCACGAGATTTCTAACAGCAAGGTATATTGATTGATCTTTTACAAATTCAGGGAATTCTTGTGCTTCGTCTAATTCCATTACATCTGGTCTCATACAAAGCGCTTTACCATGTTCAAATGGTTTATAAAAAGGATGAAAATACCCATTTACCGCTCCTGCAGCCCTGTTGGACTGGTTGATACTTTTTCTACCACCTGGCGACATCAACAATCTACTGTCTCCTTTTTATTTATTGGCAACACAATATTCTGTGGCAGTTCTTTTGTTTCACTCTGCTTTGTGACTAATTCACAAATGTCAGGGGGTCGTGAAACATCATTCTCACCAAAACTAATGATATGAGGAGTTTCATCAATGTCTACTGCACTCATGCCAACTCCATCTGGATAATACGAAGTTAAGTAAGGAGCAGCGGGGCTGTATTTTAAAAATGGTGTGTAATTCAAACTAGACATCCAAGGAATACTTGGATCCAATACAGTTTCAACCTGTGTATCATGCTTTTGATAACATGTATATTTAACATGAGGCTGGCCTGTGCCCACAGTAGAGTCAGATAAAGTATTTTCCATGCTTCCCATCGAGCAAACATAAGTTTTATTTATATCAATAGATAGTTCAACTTCATTTACCAGTTGTCTCCAGTGTTCACATCGCGTACATTTCACCCAATACGATAACTTTTTTTCTGGAATATATGTTGTTATGTTTTTGAAAGCACTATCCGCTTTGCTATTATTCATCCAAGCTCTTTTCCATTCATGAAATTGTTCAAATCCATCATATTTGTTTCTATAAAATTGTTCAAAGCACGCATTACAATAATGCTCTTCCAAAGAGAGATGATACCATCTTGAAGAATAACCAGTGGCTTCACAACATGCAGCATCTGCCTTGACAGCGCAGCGTTGTATTTTTTTGCCACATCCTGCTTTCCTGCATATATAGATTCTTTCAGGCTCTTGAGAAGACTTTGGTTTTCTTCCACGAGGATGAGATTTGATAGGATCAATTAGCTTCCCTCGTCCTCTTTGTTTCATAGTGGGTTTTAGCACTCTATTAACTTTAGATTCAGGCTGTTTTGTTGACGATTCTGTTTGCTGTGAAATGAGTTGATCTTTTGTGATCAACTCTCCCTTGACTTTATTTTCAGCATCAACTGTGCCATTGTTTTCAAGCAAACCATCCTTGAGGTCTGTGTCAGAGTGTAGCGTGTTTTCCGTAGAACTTTTAGTTGGATTGTTTACATCAGTCACTGAAGAAAAATCTTCTTGTATATCTGATTTAAATATTTTGTTTCTCGACGACTTCCCACCATCTTCAACATAATCCTGATAACTTTTTCGCTTGGGTTTACGACCCGAAGTTCGTACAACAGCGCCAGTGTTATTGTTGCTCATTTCTAATATCTGTAAAATGTAATGAATTATTAGTTGATATCAGGCAGCTACTGGAGCAAATTCAGAAATTTTTAGCCTATAATTTTGCCTATTTAACAGAATAATAAACAGCATTCATTTGATTCTATAAATATCTGGCTTCATGCCAGCAATAACAAAAATATGGCTCAAATGAGAATTTTATTTTATGAATTTTGGAAATTCGCAAAGATTAACTAAAAGCAGAGCAATTCGAACTTGTTGAATGAATGAAATTAACTGTCAAAGCAACTGAAATGAAAACATACTCTGGTACTACGAATGAATAATCCTAAATATTTTAATCCTTAGCCAAAGTAATCAAAATACAAAATTTGAAACCATTAAAATTTGAATACAAAATATAAAGACATTGAAGCAGATAACTACCATGAAGACAAGTGAATTTAAAGAGTTTTAGATTACTTTTACTGCAGGGTAATTTCAACTTTGTGATGCAAGCTATGAACAAAGTCCAAAGCTGATGGCTTTGGTGAGGAAAGAGTTTAAAAAAATCTCGGCTTGAGCTTGACACTGTGACAGGGGTACTTCAGATCTTGCTAGGAATTAAAAACATACTTATAGCCACACAACTGATTAGTCTGAGTGGGTTAGAATCCCATGGGTAATACCGGTAATAACTAAATAATCTGTGAACAGAACTGCTGGTCTTCCCAGTTTTCACATTCATGGAGTGGTTCTCAAAACCACACACAGCTTGCATGCATTTTTGTCTCTACCTGTTGCCGAGAGTTAAATAATCGGCGCTCCAGAAGTACATGTGCCAATATGGGGGCTGGTATAGTTTAGTATCACATCCACTTCTAGTTGGCCTGGCTCAACAATTTTTGCATATAGGATAGGATTTACATATTTGTCCCGGGGGAGAGGAAAGCCGATAAGACAGCTTATCCATATGGCGAACCACGGCATCTCGTTCGGTTACCATTCCAAGTCGGGTATGGGATTAGTTTTACTGTATTGTTTGTTTTCGGAAGCATGGACTTGGTGGTGGAGGAAGCCGTAACCGACCAGCGGTTACGTGAACCACCCAACGACGGCGAGGAGTCCAGCAATCCTCTCGCACATAACCATCCCTGCATGGGATTCGAACCTGCGAACCCACGCAGAGTAATTAGAGGTGCGGTGGCAAGCGTATTCCTAACGCTTAGCCCGTTGAGCCACACCGCCGCTGTCAATCCTAACCACCACCTGACTACGGTATGTTACCGAAAAATTACGTCATTCCCTCAAAGTGGCGTAATAGGGCCCAACGAAGTTTAGCACCACATGTACTTCTAGTTGACCTGGCTCAACAATTTTTGCATATGTCAATCCTAACCCCCACCTGACTACGTCACCGAAAAATTACGTCATTCCGACATCACAGTGGCGTAATAAGGCCCACCGAAGTATGCAGATGGTCTTCCAAAACGCGCAGACGATAACCTGAAATCGAGCAAGCAAGTTCTTATCGGCGACGCAGATGCCATTTCGGGCGATCGTAATTATACTTTGCAATCCCTATGACGTGATGGTGACGTCGTAGTGACGTAATTTTTGGATGGCATAGTCAGGTGAGGGTTAGGAATAACATATGCAAAAATCGTTATGCTACGCCCACTGGAAGTACTTGTGGTACTAAACTATACTAGACCCGCTATCTCACTCCTATCGTGCTCGTTGTGACGAGAAAACGAGAGAGATAGCTTGCTCGATTTCGGGTGCTCGTCTGCGCGTTTTGGACGACCATTCGCATACCGGTACTTTGGTGGGCATTATTACGCCACTGTGACGTCGAAATGACGTAATTTTTGGGTGACGTAGTCAGGTGAGGGTTAGGATTGACATATGCAAAAATTGTTGAGCCAGGCCTACTAGAAGTGCATGTGGTACCGGTACTAAACTATACCAGACCCGCAGCTTCACTCACAGACCGTCCCCGAACTCGTAATACAGTAATAGAACTAAAATCATGAAAATCGGAATAAAATTATGACCTAGCTCTAACCTGGTACACATACGACGGGAGTACCAGAGACCAGAGTGACTATAAACCAATGGGACATGCATTGGTAACGTTATAAGCGCTCGTGTGACGCCACGCCAGCCATTTTGTGTCCAGAGTTCTATTGCTGCATGATCCTAACCAATATTGTCCTAACTAAGTGATTTAAACCTGCAATCGCTACAGCTGATTAAAAAAAACGATGCTCAATAATTCGGACCAAACTTTCGCAGCGGCAAAACGAATGAACATTCTTCTGAAAATTAATTATCACCAGATGTTTCTTGGATAAATCGGCTCGGCGGTGTGGTCGGCATATACGAAGTTAAAGTTAAAGTCATCAAACTTCACTCAATAAATCAACAACCCAATAAGACCAAAATATTAAGCAAAAAGATGCACATTTTATTATTAAATTATTATAAAATTCCGGATGTAAGTATCGCTACTTGCACAGAACCTATTTTAACAAACTGACAGAACTACAATACAAATTATACTACAGAAACTTGCATTATTTTTGCGGTACATGTTATGATATTAAAATATGCGTATCACAAATTTTCAACAAGGTGTACATTGCCAAAATAATATTAAAAAATATACTACATGCATGAAATGAAGGATAACGGCGTATATCAAGTTTACAAGAACATCTAATAGTCTTGCGTGTATAAAATAATATATTATCTATTTGACTTGAGCTCTTGCCGCAGGTCTACTAGCATACCGTTTTTCAATAATTTTATTTGTCTCCTCTTTTGCGTGAATATTTAACCTTAGGTTGAGAAAACGTTTCAAAATTTTAAAAGCGATATTGTGGCAAGATGGGAAATTATATTTCAAGCAACTTTATATCTGTCAGAAAAATAACAGGCGAACATATATTATGAAAGGCATTAATATTTGCGCGAAATATAGTTTATACTTCACGCAAATATACGATTGCTTTTTTGGATGGGTGGCATGAATATTGGGTAAAACTATCAATTTTCAAATATTTATCAGATGTGTAAGACCTAAAAAGAGTTAGTTTTGTGGGCATTCATTAAGATTGACACTTTCCATAGAAACAAACAAACAATTTGAACCCTGTGTCTTTATAGGGTTCCCCCAGAAACACCAAGAATAGTTTTTCACTGTTAGACATCGATAAAATTACAATTAAGTTTTATCAACGAAAACGTAGAAGACATGATGGTGTCGCTAGATCACCTAGTAAATATTCAACATTTTCCGACGCAAAAGAATCGAAATATCCTGCCAATAATAATTTGATAAGAGCTGCAACACCAGTCGCGGCGGCTGGTTTTTAAATTTTGTACCTTACAATGTACATGCTTCGATGAAATTCATTAGGCCACACAATGTGCTAGCCATGAAATCGTTTACATTCTATAATTTTTGGAGCAACTGTTGCAACAGCTCGTTAAATTAAGAAACATTTTTCCGAGAAATTTCATTTCATCAGCTTCTGGAATGATTAATGTAAAACGCAGGCTTTAAACTTCTGGCATGGTGTGAACAGGTATCATAATACCAGTTCAAATAGTACCTGATTTAAACGTATGCGTTAGGTTAATGACGTTTCACACTTGCGAAGGAAAGCGATATGTGTTTTTCATACGGAACGTTGCTACGTTGCGACGTAATTGCGTAACGAAGTAATTAGGGAATGTTGTTGTTTAACTCAAATTGGCGCAGACATGTTAAGAATTGGAGAACATTGAATGAAATAACTTATACACTTTCACTGGTCCACGACAAATTATATCTAATGTCAAAAGCTATTCTTAACCTCTGCAAATGTGTCGATGTCATATTAGGTTAAAACAAGCAAATCGAAGTTTTTGTTATTTAATTCAAAAGCTTTTCAAAAAAATTTCAGCTTTTCAATTTTGCTGATTTTTGTTTGATAATCGCGACATTTTATCGTTATCTCATAATTATAATTACTCTCCTAGATTGTCCTTCAAACAATATAAAACTTATCTGCATATATTAAAGGTTTGTGAGATATGAGGTTTCAGAGTTGAATAACTCAAACGGGATAATAAGATAACTATCGCAACTTTCACGAAACCGCACGATACAAGCATGATTCCACGAGGCAAATAGCAAAAGAAAAATAATAAAATTACCCAAATAAAATGCAAAACAGTAAAAAATCTTCAAACAAATTGACGAAAGAGACCTTTTAACGAAGCTAAAATAAACCGACGTTTCCGCGTTCTTCCGATTCGCTGGACGCAAAATGACGTCCGGAATGCATCATTGCACTCACATTGTCTCTACTTGGTTTATAGTCACTTTGGGGAGTACCAACTAATCAGCATGCAAAGAATAGGGAATAGACCTTATTCTTTAAAACCCATCACCCATCCTACGCGCAAAAAGAAAAGTGATGTAAAAAAAACAATTTTAACATCAGCTCTTATGGGGAATGTGATCAACAGAGCAGAAATTTGCATTTTTTGTGATTTTCTATGTATCTTTCATTGTATACGTGAGCAGTTTTGAAGATAGAATATTTTTTACATCTTTTTTGAAATTTTTATCATGATAAACATAGTCAAGATTTTTGATAATCGTTCCTTGAAATTTTAATGAGTGCGGTGTTCCCGATGACGTCATTCTCTCCCCAGGGCTCCGTGAGAGAAACCCAGGGGCTCCGCGAGCTATTCGATTACTTTTCAAAATACTGAATTGGCTAATTTTGTAACTGTTAAAAAAAGCAATAACAGCTTTGATAAAATTTGACAACAGTATAGCCTCGAAATATGACAAAGAGACGGAATTGAAAGATGACATTATTTATAAGCAGGAGCGTAGCCAGGATTCTTAAGACGGAAGGGGTTCAAAATTAGAATAGGAAATTCCACGCAACAATATTCGCGATTAAAAAAAAAAAACGGAAAACGAGATTTCTGTTGCGTAAAATATTCAATCCATGATCGGTGCGAGCATATGGAGTGTCTTGTCGTAATGATTTAATTGTGCTCATCATTACTCACGTTTGATTCGAGATTACTATTAGGATTACTAAAATGAAAGAATACTATTGCGATCTTGGGATTTGTCAAGCTTGATTTTGTTCTTTCGCACTCGAGAGCAAGATATTGCCGTTTATGAGGTCTGGGCAAAATACGAAAGATTGAAGTTTATTCCATTTCATGCGGCTCCGTCGGTAGTTTCAGAATGGAAAAAAAGGTACATCGCGCGCACAATTGACCGTGTTCGGTTTCGCAGTTACTACGATAACCAAAGAAAACCTAACATAACACCAAATTTTGTGATTTACAATGTCTATAAAAAACATTTTTAATCTGACGTGAGTCTGCTGAAACTAAACTTATAGTGTTATCTCCCATTTTAAGTTTTAGTTTAAATATTTTAGAATGCCGCTTTTCAATCAAGAAATTTGAGTTGCGGATTTACCTCTTTACCATCTTTAGCAT